ATTATAGAGCGTTTGATCCCATTGCTTTGAAATCCCATTGCATTGTCTGAAAATCAGTTTGTAACATTAACAACTGCCACTACCAAAACACATATTTTCTGCAATTAATTAACTTTTTTGTGTTTTAATGAAAAGTATTATTTTATGTTTGCACAACTGTTCAATATTAGTTTGAATTCTGATAGACAGATTCAATTCAGTGGAACGATTGGGAACACTTTATTTGGATAGTCCACTTTAGATGCTTGGTAGACACTTAATTTATAACAAAATATCTACCAAATCGACCATAATCTTCTTTAACTCTAAACCTGCCTCTAATCCTAACCCTGACCTTAACCTCAAGCCAATACCTAAACCCAACCCTCACCCTGCTCCTAGCCCTAACCCTGGTCCAAATCCTGACCCTAACCCACCACTGTTTAGAATCAGTTTTAGAGTTTAAACAGATAGTTTGTGAACAATTTGAACATCTATAGATAATCTATAGGGGACTATAGTGGACAAGTGGACTCCAAATAAAGTGAGAGCGAATGATCCTTATTTATAGTGTAAGTACTGCACTTTAGAGAACATTGGTGAAAATTCAGATTTTAAAACTGGATGATTTATAATCATCAAGCCCATATGAACTCTAGGATCTGCAAGCACAATTTTGTTTTACTTAAATATTGTGTTTATCCTACATAAAGATGGATCTTTGGAATGTGCTGTATTTTAATGACTCTTCCAAGCACAAAAGGAGAAAAGAACAAGTTTCAACAACACTGAAGTGGAGTCTACAGTAGTCTAGAGTGGAGCCTGGCAGTTTTGCAGTTGGAATTAAAAGTGTACAACACTTTGAATGTACTTGAGTTAAATGTGTGCATCAGTGCAACATGAATACAGTAGTTACTCTTGGCAGTAACTGTGCTGATGTAATGTCTGCTCGTCCAATGTTTATTCTCAAATCAAGGGTATTAATATGGAGTTTGTTCCTCTTTGCTGTTTGCAGCTTCGACTCTACTGAAAATTGTACACTAGATGTTGGAACAATGCCGTAAGGATTTGATTGCATTCGGCCTCAAGAGCATTAGTGAGGTCAGGTACTGATGTTGGATGATCAGTTCTGGATCCCAAACTCCACTCTAACTCATCCCAAAGGTGCTGGATGGAGCTCAATCACCCCAGAGAACACAGTTCCACTGTTCCACAGCCAGGGCTGAGGGGCTTTATATCCATCTAGCCAGCACTTTGAATTGGACATTGTTATGCACTTTGACCTGGGCATATTAGGACATATTAGGCTCCAGATCATCCCTTTCTATTAGCAATGCTTTTCAGTGGAAAAAGAAAGCTGTGTGTGTGTAACTAAACATTGGTGTCAGCAATGGTGTGAGCGCCTCTAAATGAATGAATTGGCAGAGGTGTCTAGATACTTTTGGATGCATCTTTTCTTTTTTTATCTTGTGGAACTAATTTAGGGAATTTAGTTCTTGTTACATATGTAGGAAATAAATCAGATCCAATGAGCAAAGCAGCAAACAAGTTTAGAGATTTGATAAGGATCAGTGGAATATCAAAGGAGAATCTTCTATGGCATCTCACACACAGAGATATATTCTTCATGTTTTTATTAATTTTAATGTTATTATCTACATATAATGTTCTAAAACATTTTTATTTTACTGTTTTCTCTTTATGTTTTTCATTTTTTATATCAAATGGCTTTGTTTTATAATATTTGTCATTTTTTTCTATTTTTACTATGAGAGATTGTCTTCTCTGTCATGGATACACAGAGGAAAGTGCTTAATAACTATGGTGGCGTAATATTAGTTTGATTTCTGATAGATTACTTGATTGCTGTTTTAATACATTCAACAGGGCATGAACATTGATTATTGTTTCTCAGAAATGTCAAAACCATTTGTAGAACTATACAGTAAGGCTGCATCAGTACATGTTATATGACTCCGGAGGAGCGCCACGCCAGGAGAGGTAAAGATATAATTTAGGAAGCTATTAACAAATCATGAACCTCCAGCTTCAGTGAAAACAACCAATTCATTGTTAATTCCATTCATAACAAGTGAAAAAACATAGACTAAGAGAAAAGTGTGCATTTTTACATATGATATGATTACACAAGTGTTCAAAATGTAATCTAATAAGATTTATGTCTTTCCCTGAGGAACTGTCGTAATCACATATTTCATATCAGTATGAGTTCTGTGAGTCATTGTGAATCATTACTTATTAGAGGGTTTCACTTACATCTGCACACACCTGCAGGGAGGAGGAGGAGGAGGAGGCTACAGAAAGACATGAACATTTGAAGGCGGTAATCTGAGATAGATTTATGTTTAAATGTGTGTTTGTGGTTTTATGTGTTGTGTGTATGTTGTGTGTGTGTGCGTGTGTGTGTGTGTGTGTGTGTGTGTGTGGCTATGGTAGGAGTGTGTTTGCACATCCTTCATGTGTGTTGTGTACTGGATCTGGATCCATTGAGATTTTGCCCCTCAGCCAAAAACCTGCTACAGTGCAGCATTCTTTAATTTTATTATAAGTTAATGTAAACATTCATTATGAAGATTTTCACAGTGTAAAGGGCTGTGCTCAAATGATGTGGAAAAATATATATTTTTTTTGTTTTGTTTTGTTTTTTAGACAGTGATGATATACATTATTCTAAAATACACCAACGTTTAATATATGATTTCTTTTACAATTAATAAAAATTGCATACACTACAGTTGCCAAACAATGTAATGGTCAAAGATTATTCCACAGGGTGTCTTGTTTGGCGTCTCGATTACGATTGCCGAGATTGTAATCTCAAATTCAGTCCACACTGATGCCACAACCATCCATGGCCAGGAGTTGAAGACAGCATTATTGGTCCTCTAAGACCCCCCCCACCCCCCACCCCCCACAATGCTAGCCATCATGGGTGTCTGTGAGCTGATATAACAGAATTAGCAGTTAGCGTTCTCCTCCAAGCGTGTTGAGTTGTCCAGTGTTGTTGTGTTAGCCTCACATGTCTCAGGGGAAGCTTGTGCTAGCCTTCACCCTCCCAGCTTGGTAACGTCGTGTGATAGAGCTTCCCCAGGTGGAACTGGCTTTAACGTAATTGGGGAGGAGATGGAGTCATTCAAACGATGTTTTGTTTACCAAAAAAAATTAAGAAAACTAAATGCCTTGTAATTTTATTTTTATTTATTTATTATGAAACTCTAACACTGTAACACTGACATTAAATTATTGCTGTTCACAAAGTTGCAAATTGTTTGTTAGATAGCCGTCCACAGCATCTGAACAGGAAGTAACAGAATCTACATTTTATATTCCTATAGAGTTAAAGGCAAGTTTGAACACATTTAGTCAAATTACATGATTTGTTGATTATGAAGTGAAAATAACACATTCTCTACACAGAACACACTTCTGCACATTTTAATACTGTTTGATTTGTTGAATTTAACATTTTGGAAAAAAATATATATATATATTTATATGTATATATATATATGTTAAACTTAGCAAAGGAATAGTTGCAGATAAATGCCATATTTAAGTGTGTTCTCTGTAGAAGATTCACTTACAAATGAACTAAATATGTCATTTGACAGCATTTGACAAACATTTGAACACAGCTGCATTGCACTGCACAGCATTTTCTCATTATATAATAACCTGTCCATTTTTCTCCCATTTCATTTTCAAGTTTTAGTCCTGTCAGCAGTCGACTGCAGTCCTACTTGAGCACGGTGTTGTTTATTTATTCAGTGCAATTCTCCTCTCACCTCAAATACCTTTTTGGAGATGGTTTGTATCACGCTAAAACAGTTTTGGATGCTCTGTGAGGAATTTGGAGGGACTTCATGATTTTTGTATACAGCTGAGGATGAAACCATTTCCCACAAGCGTTGCCAATAAACTAGAGCTGGGTTTACTAGCAACACACTGCATTACAAAAACTGTGGTCATCATAATAAACACAAGCGCTGTGGAAATTTGAGAGAAACTTCATTGCAACATTCATCAGTAAGCAATGACAATCAATATTTTACACACTCAGAAAAAAGGGGCTGTGTCACTGGGGTGGCGCCTTCAAGGGCTCATCTTCAGTACTTTAGTTAGGGAACATAACTGTAGCATAATCCATTCCAATGACTGACTCCACACACCCCAGTCTCGTCTCCAGCCATCTTAATTTGTTGTTCTGTTTTAAAACATGAGGTCATGAAAAAGTGTGTTTAATCCTCTGTTGTACCTTCGAGGGTACATTTACACTGTTTGTACCTTGACGAACGAAAATGTACACAATACTTCTTTTTCTGACAGTGCAGAGGCAATTGAAATAATAACAAAAATAATACTAATAAGCTATCTGGATCATGTGCTTTTGCATGGTTGCATTTGCAATGTGTGCTCCAAATAAAATATATTTATTTTTTATGGAAATCTATGACGTGACCTTCCAGGCCTGATAAACAAAGTTCTTAAAGGGTTCTTGGCTCGTATGTACAGTTAGGAGGAAGGTTTAACTGGTGTAAAACCAATACATTATGTGGGGCTTCATTAAACTTTAAAAAGCTTCTTCACAATTACACAAATGGTTCTTTAAAGGACCATTCACTGAAAGGCTCTTTTGGGAACCAAAAGGCATTGCCTTTATTTTTAAGAGAGTAGGCGTGTTGGTATGGAGAAACATTTTTGCAAGCAGCTGTCGTCTTTTTAAGGTTACCCACTAAATATATTTTCATTTACATGAACTTTAACGACTTTACACAGGGGCACTTATTTTGGTTACTTTGCAAACCATTCACCGAAACAAAGGTCTTAAATTGCAGATCACTTTGAGTCATGATGGATGCCGTCGTTTTACTACAATCCATCTTTCAGCTAAAAGCCTAACCTGGAGGACAGTGTTTTTCTGCTCATGACTTTCTCTCTCTCTTTATAATGAATATGCCTTGAGGGTCTGTTTTCTCCAAGCTATATGTGCCCTTCACAGGCAGCTACTTACAGCCCCTCGTCTTGTTCAAACTTGCAGATAGAAACGGTGAGTCAGAACAACTGGTGTACAGTAGGTCCTGCAAAATTCCTCCAAAAACGCCTGCATACCTGCCCGCAGATTAGTCACCCTGACCCGGCCGTAAATATAATCAGTTTTCAGCACTCAGCACTCAGTCACAGCGCAGAAGAAGCCAGCGTAACCCATTTCTCCACAAAGAGGGAACAGGTGAGTGATTGCTACATTCTAAACCCTGTAACTCTGGGCTTATTGCTTTAGTAGGTATTCACCTTATTGTGCAATAATTACTCTGATTCATCACTAATATGAAACTAATATGTAAGATATGTAGTTGTGGTGATGTTGAGTTAAGTGGTAAGGTGTAGTGTGATGGTTTTACTACATTATAATTGACTGTCATAATATCACAGACAGTCAATTAAAATGATATTAGCACAACATAATTGACTGTCTGACTTCATCTAACTTTGTGACAGTCAATTATAAGAGTATTACTACATTATAATTGACTATCATAAAGTCACATGAAGTCAGTCTTTTTGCCAAAGCCATCAATGCTGCTTCAAGTGTGCAGGCAGCATTCATCCACTGCAGCTACCTGCACCCTTTAAGACTTGCAGCATCAAATATGCAGATAATCATAGAGTTGCATAATGAGTATTGATGTAGTGAAGGCCTGATGGCAATGTACACTCACACTCGCAGGATTTCTTAGTATTTTGAAAAAAAAAGTGATGCATTCAATGTACTCGATTCAAATGTGTGCATCGTTTTGTACTATTAAATTTATTTTTTTTTAATATAAGCTATTTTAAGATGCATCTTGACATCTGACCTAAAAGATTTATTAAAGGCCACTGTCCCTGACAAATAAATTAGTAAATAAAATAAATACATTCCACATAGGATGGCTCTGATCCAATACCAGGTATCAGTGTGGAGCCAGCAGAAAACTCTGGATTGGATGTCAGAAGGAAACAAATTGAATCTGATCAATCCTGTAACAAATGGCATGATACTCCACATCCTAAGTGAAGTGCTTCAATTAAAAATAGCTCCCTTAAATGGCCAGGGTCCACCAGGCAGGCCCAAAGTTTTATTATGCACTTCTATAACCTAAGAATAGCTTAACAGCTTCTAGTTTGCATTGAAGTCCCTGTAGTTAGTGAATAATAAGCCTTAGTATCTAATAAGACTGGGAATTTAGAGGGGTTGGGGCTGAGTGGTTTTTTAAAAGAAAAATAATGGACCAATATTGGCTGATGCTCAAGGTTTCAATATCGGTATTGGTGATGGAAAAGAAAAAGGGGTATTGTGTCCTTTGCCCAATGTGTGTAAGCTGACAGAGCCGTGCTGGTGTAATATGTCGTCATGTTAGGCATTGGATAAGCTTGATTCTGGTTTAGTTTAACTTGACTAAATGAGAAATACTCTGTTGTGAAAATAAAAATAAATGGACTGTTGGAGCAAATGGGGGAACATTGCTGCTGCTTCTTGTGTTGTTGTTGTTGTTGTTTACTGTTCTGTTGTGTATTTAAGCTTCCTTCCATTAGCTTATATATTTTTGTCCTCTCAGATTGTCTTAGCAATCTTCTCTCGCACTTAATACGATCATCATTTTCTCCATGTAGATGAACGATGTGGCTATGTGATGTTTGTCACATGAAGTTTCTGTATTACTATTCAGTATTTAGGTCATTTATACTATGATAATGGCCTACTGCTGTATGTACCAGTGGAAAGAAATACTTCAGTATTTCCCAACCTAACCTCTGTATGCTGCAGCTGTACAGTTGATGTACAGTTGATGTCCATGATAATCGACTGCATGCTACGGATGTGGCAGATAGATATTAGGAGTATTCCTTCAGTTCCTTTAATAAGTCTGTAGGTGTCATTTGACATTTCACAGCAAGACAAGAATATGCTTTGATTTCAGTTACAGCTTAAATGCTGTGTTTGTCTCATTAAAAAAATGATCAAAATCTGTTATTGTGCACCTTCATAAAATCAACTCAAAAAAAAACATGACAGCACTGTCGTGTGTCTACAACAGGAGAACAAGCATGTTATCTTCAAAGGCCAAGTAACAGAGTGATTTGTACAGGAGGAGAGAGATTAGTACAGTCATACAGTCAATTCATGTCTGTGAGACGTTAATCACTGTTATTGTCATAAGATATGAGGAAAACCACAACACTGTAGAACATCACAGAATAACTAGCCTTGGGACACACACACACACACACACACACACACACACACACACACACACAGATCAGTGTTGTATCTGGAACTATGCCTTGAAATCTGTAAACATTATTTATGTATTTATGACTGTTTAGGAGTTAGCGGATTACCTTCCTCCTAATGAAAGAAAGAAAGAAAGAAAGAAAGAAAGAAAGAAAGAAAGAAAGAAAAAAAGAAAAAAGAATAAATAATAAGCAAGAAAGAAAGAAATCAATAGAAATGAAAAAGAAAGAAAGTGAAGCAAAAAAATTAATTGAAAGTAATAAATAAAGACAGAAGGAAAGAATCAATTGAAAGAAAGAAAGAAAGAAAGAAAGAAAGAAAGAAAGAAAGAAAGAAAGAAAGAAAGAAAGAAAAAAAGACAGACAGAAAGAAACAATTAATAGAAAGAAAAAAGAAAGAAAGAACCAATAAACAAACAAAAAATAAACAATGAAGAAAGGAAAGAAGAGAAAGATACAGAGTTTCTGTTCATGTACTGAGACATTAATAAACATATCTGTTTATCACTTTCATACAAAAATAAAAGTTCTACGAAATAAAATATAAAATATTATGAGGAGAGGACGTAGAAGTGTTTGAACTGGAAAATGGGTTCAAAGGTAAAAATGAGAGTTTAAAATTGAGAGACATGTAAAAAGACAGTGGAGAAAAACTGATAAAATACTTAAATAAAAAGGAAAAACATTTTTTTATATACTCACAGATGTTAATGTGTTGGTTGCTGCAGTATGTCTACGACATTTCACCTCAAATAGTAAGTTAACAGAATGTAACTCATTACTTAATTTTCTGTTAACTTACTATTAGAAGTCCATACATACATACATCATCTAAACCGCTTATCCTTCTGGGTCACGGTGTATTAGAAGTCCAGTGAACTCAATATTTCACTTACTTTTTAAATTACTTCAGACAATGTTACAGAAAAAAAATTCAAACCTTTAAGGTGCCAAAAGTGTTTTTTGGAGTGATGCCTCTATATTTTGGATTTCATTTGACAATGTCTAAGGTAAAAACTAAAACAAAAATAAAGGTACAAAAAGGGGATTATCGGAGCAAGACCATATAAGAACCACTTTCTATGCCCTAAAGAACCCTTCAATGGATGGTTCTTAAAAAAACATTTTCGTAAATGAGGTTTGAGACTTGGCTTTAATGTACGGTTCTAGGAAATAATTTTATTGGTGTGGAACCTTTACATTACGAAAAGGTTCTTAAAAAAATCTTCACACTCATTTCATTTATATCACATCTACAATGTTATTATTTAAAGAATCATCGTTTTAAAGGTTCTAGGAAACCAAAAGTTGTTCTTGTAATACATTCTGACTCCTTTATGTATACGACTGTGCAGTAGTGTGGTTCCCCAGGCAGGGTGTGGATTAATGAGCCTTCAGAATGTATATATTTCATACAGTGTGTCCCATATGGAGTGAGTGAGCAGGTGCCTGAGGAGAGGAGTCTTGTCGAAACCTGCGGCGTCCAGATGTATTGAGTATTCCTGATGCCATAGTTAAAATCGCTTCATAGGGTGTGTTAGGCTTCGATTTCTTTACTCAGCCAGTGCAGTTCGGGTCTGTAGGATGGAGCTGAGCTCTACCAAGAGTGGTGAGTTTGAGCTTAAGGAAAGCTGGTCTGATGATGAGAAGAGCATCTAGACTGTCTGATGTGGCTGCTGTAGTGCTGCTGCAGGCTGCTGTTTTTGTGGATTTTAGCAGGTGTGATAGTGATAAAATTTTGGTTAGAGCAAAAGTAATCACATGTCCCTATGGCAGGGACGTGTAAATCAGCTCTAGCATGTTGGGATGCAATTAGAGCCTTATTGTTGAGGGTTTCCTTCCTTTCTAAACTCAGAGCATTGAGTGCAGTCGGTAATAAGTTGAAATGCCCTTTTTGTTTTCTGATGGTGATTGTTGTGGCATGTGAACAGCACTGAATGTAGAATTTCTATCTAGTATTTCTATTCTAAATCATTTTTTGCTAATTTGGTGGTTTTGATTTGATGAAATTTGGTGATTTGATCATTTTGGTTTCATGAAATTTGGTGATTTGGTGATTTTAATTGGGTAACATTTGTTGATTTGGTGAATTTGATCAAATATTCTTTGTTTTTCTTTTAATGCCACAACAGCAAAGCTTATTCTGGTTTATGTCCTTTTCAAACAGTTAACATGGAATGGACAGTTTAATCACATCCAAGATTGTGAACGCAGAGGGGGGATCAGGGGTTTCAGGGAAAGGTGAGTGGAAATGAATGTTCAGTGGAATATCTTTTTGATAGATATTTTCCAATAAGAACAATAAAACAGGCCTATAAAATAGTAGATTGTGTAGTAGTAACAGCTCAATATTGAAACAAGCTTTTCTTACTCAGATTTCCCAAAACAATCTTTCTTCTTACAGCTCAGACTGTAAAACGGTTGCTTCTTGTAGCTCATATTGTGAAATTATAGCTTCTTCAAGCCTCTTCTAGCTCAAACTGGGATGTTGTAGTTTATAAAATTCTTTCAGCTCAGATTGAGAAAGTTTAGCAGTGTGGCCCAGGCAGGACGCCACACTTCTTATTGCATCTTGTAGCTCAGATTGAGAAATTTCAGCTTCTTATTGCTTCTTATATCTCAGATTGTGAAATCCCAGCTTGTCCCTCAGAGCAAGCTTGCCTTTGTTGATTGATCAAGCTGCAGGCAATGTCTTTTGCTTACATTTTATATTATGAGCGCCACCTAGTGGTTATGAAAACGTCATGGAAAACACAAACACTAAATTTTGTGGCTCTGTTATTCAGTATTTTAAACTTAGCTCTTAAACTTAGCTTTAAATCTCAGCGGTGGGTAAACTTTTATTCTGAAGTTGTAGAACAGTTTGTGCAGTTTGGAGATTAATCTGTTCAGATACAGCTATTAAAGCTGAACAGTACCAGATAATCAGGTGTGTGTGAGCAGGGACTAAACTAAACTGTACTGGAATAAGACCCTCCAGGACTGGAATTTGGCCCCCCAGCTCGCATCACTTAAGAACATGTTTTTCTTCTTCTGCAGTTACAGAGACAGTGACCACAACAAGATTAACATCCCTTCCACCAAGTGAGTCGGAATTATTATTGTAATCTACACTGGTGCTAATGACAGATATTTGACAGATATTTGACAGATATTTGTACTCTTCAGAAAATAATGTTTCATGATCATCTTACACCGCGACCCAGAAGGATAAGTGGTTTAGATGATGTATGTATGTATGTATGTATGATCAACTTAATGGATAATTCACTTCACAGCCACTATCATGACCATATTCATGTGCTGTTCTCTTTCCACCACTAGAGGGCAACAGTGGTTCGGCGAGCACGCAGCGGGTCGTGACTTCTAGTTCTAGTTCGAGCTCCGCTTCTGCTTCTGGATCTTCTTCTGGAGGAGCAGTGCTGGTGGAGAAGAGGATCATCACACAGAGCAGTGGAGGAGGAGGCAGCAGCAGCAGCAGCAGCACTAGTTATGTCATATCCTGTGAGCACAACTTCACTTTCGACATCACTTCCTGTGATGAAATAACCTGTCTTATTCCTCCCATTTTACCAAAAACATGGCTGCAAATTGGGAGTGTACAAGCGAGCCCTCAGTGAATGGTGCCAAAGAACTTGTAGAGAGGAGAATCCCCAATCTGTAAGGTCTTCCAGGTTTCTCAAACGCTAGAGGGCGCTCCCGAGCGAGTCCAAAATGAATAGTTAAGATGGAGCATTTGAGCAAAATCATAGTTTATAAATGCTTAAACGTTTTTTAATGTAAAAGAATACAATCATTTCCTGAACACAGAACAGCATAAAACATTTTAACATTGCTGTTATACTTTTAAGAGCTTTTAAACTCGAGTTATAGGAGGTTGAAAGGATGTCTGTGAGTGCGAACAGCCAATGAGCTGCTCCGCTCGCCAACCAATCAGCACTCACTAGCAGTAATGCTAGTCCTGCTTCCCAAAACCCGTTTGCTGTATAAAAAAAGGAAGTATATATGTAGGTCGGTTTTCTTTGCTTTTTTAGTGAAACACGTCCTTCGACTTTATAAAATTAAAGTTCTGGGCAAGTGATTAGAAACTATTTTAGCTTTTTGTTTTTAGCCATTGAGCTCCATTTACTTCTATTCATTGAGGACTCACTCGCGGGCGCCCTCTGCTGTTTTGCAGTCCTGTTTTTGACATGATGGGGAAAAGAGGAAGTGGCCAGGCTGCTCAAAAACTGGCTCTGATGGTGCTGAATGGAGTTGAATGTTAACTCAGTTTTTTTAGTCTTCCATACAGGAATTTCCTTTCATTTTGAAAAGAAAAAATCTATGGAAATTTATCATTATTGCTCCATTTTACTAGAGAAAATAGGTTTTGGGCACTCACTGTTAAAAAGGCCTACAATCGGAGCTGAAAACTCAAAACATATTTCATGCATATTTATGCTGTTCTGTGTTAAGACAACTAGTGCATTTGTCTGTGTATTATTTACAAGATTTTGCGCAAAAGCTCTATAGGAGCCCATTCAGTCTAGACTCTCTCAGCAGTGCCCTCTAGTGTCTGACCAACCCGGAAGATTTCACTGAGTGACAGTTCTCCTCAGTTAAAACTCTCTTGTGTCAGTTTACCATATTTACTGTAAATTCAAGGCCACATTATTAGGAACCTTCCTTACAGGTTGGCCTTGCTGACATTAGGCTAACATTAGAGATGGTGACTTACATATCATGGAAAATGTCATGGAATATCAGGAAAAAGAAAAAGTACAAGAGCAGTGCAGAACATGGGCCCTTAAAGTCATTTTTCTTGCAGCATATTCATCCACTGTTGTCCCAATAACTCCATATGAACTGGAGTCATTGTTTGTTTGTTTGTTTGTTTGTCTTTCTTCCAGCATCTTCAGTAGGAGGCTCAAGTGGTGGTTCTGTCCGAGTCATCAGTGGTGGAGCTGGTAGCAACTCATCTGGGACCTCGTCTGGTACGTCCCTGTCCGTCTCAGGTGGAGCTACTGGAAGTTCTGGAGCCTCAGCTGGAGGTTCTAGCAGCATCTCGGTTGTCACAGTTGGAGGTTCCTCAGGAGGAGGTTCCTCGGGCGCCTTTGAGACCCGCTCCTCCTCCTCTTCTTCTCGGTTGGTGACCGGCTCTTCTGCGGAGCTGGCCGGCATGTCCGGCGGTTCCCTTACCATGTCCTCCTCATCGGCCATGTCAGGGGGAGGCGGCTCTCTGACAGTGACCAAGTTCAGCTCCTCTTCCTCAGGCAGTGCGATGAAGAGCGGTTCCTCATCCATTACCTACTCACCAATCCCAGCAGAGAGGAAGAGTAGCCTGACCATGCGCTCTGCGGTATACGAGGGTGAGTGGGACCTTCTGACCTCTTGACATTTCATCGCTTGGACCAATCATGATGGATATACACTGTCAGCTCCGTAATTATTGGCACCCTTGATTAAGATGGGTAACAAAGGTCAACAAAAAATGTTATGGTTGATTGGTTCTGCAGATTTTAATGCGCAATTACTGTTTATTTACTGAAGTTAACATACCAGAAAAGATCAAATCGAGCCAGTGCAAAAGTTAAAAAAATAGTTTTATTTTTGTACCGCTATGTCAGACTTAGCACATAGATAGAAACTGTGGCCTACAATTTTCAGAAACAAGCCATAATTAGGTTTATTACCTGGGTTAACTTGTTTTCACTAAAAAACACATTTTATTTTTCTACTTTGTTTTTGGATACGTTTTTACTTTAATGAAAGGTTAGAATGTTTTTTCTTTTTTTTTCAGTTTGGACTAATTAACCACAAAGATTTTTTATGATCTTTTTCCCATCTTTACCAATAATTATGGAGCTGACTGCAAGTCCCTGTGCGTGATATGCACTAGTCAAAAGTTTGGAATCAATGGTTTCACTAACATAAAACATGATTCTTATATGCTAGTTCTGTGCATGTTCGCAGTTTTCAAGTAACTAATAGGATGCTGTAAAAATATTATTAAAAATAATTATATACATAATGTCCTGTATTTCAAATGTGGTGTTCAAATTTTAAGGCAGATAACTTGACAAGAAACTAATGTAAGTAAATAATTACAGTATGTTATTTAGCATTTAATAGTGTTATGAAATGCTGAATAAAACATCTAAAAATACCTTTTAGTGTCTATTTTATAATATATAAACCTACACTGTGTGAGCTACTATTGCATGTTCTAAAATAACTGAAATATTCATAGACACATATTATTTAAGTGTTAAAGTGCTAATTTGAAACTTGTGGGAGGGAGAGAGACACATAATGAGGGAGGAACTGCATTACTCAATTGTGCGAGAAGCCACACTCTTCACTTATACACATATTAAATAAGATACATCTATCTGCATGATCTCTTTTTCTTTCATCAGGAAGCTCCAGTGCCAATTCTTCCCCTGAATACACCAGGAAGGAGTACAGTAGGTGTATTTTCTTTGCTAATTGAATAAATTGTTGTACATTTAAACCGTACTGATAATAAGTGGATTAAGGACACTTGTGATCTAAAATGATCTCCATGTTCACTGTTCTTACGTTTTCATCTTCAGCAGCTGCAAGTTCGGCCACCAGGGGGCGCAGCCAGACCAGAGGTACATGTAAAAGTCCTTATGTGTCATTCCAAAGCTTGAACAAAAGTGGCTGTAGAAGTGAAAGAGTAACTTGATTCTTGTCTTTTGCAGAGAGTGAGATCAGAGCCAGACTGCAGAGCGCCTCACCCTCCACCAGATGTCAGTACCAAACTACTGAATGAACTAATGTTGCACATTATTGTCTATGTATTGTACATAGATATACATACATATCATTTCAAAGACTGAATTCTTGTTTTCTGTAATCCTCCATCAAAACATGGTGACATTTGCCCCCCTCAAAACAAAACAAATCAAAAAACAAACAAACAAAACAGTATTTTGAGGTTTGGTCACCATGCTACGCAGCCCCTAAGGTGACGGTGATCTTTTTTAATAAGGCCTGGCCACAAATTACTATACTGAAGCCATAAATTACTATATTGAGGCCACATGTTATGAGAAACGTAATATATACATCATGTTCCCCCTGCCACCCCTAGGGACCCTTTCAGCCCTATAATAATAATAAGTTCAACTTATATAGCGCCTTTCACAAACCCATTGACGCTTAAGCCATATTGAGGTCTATCATATAAAGAGTTGAGGGAATACAGAGTCCTGGGAACATTTAGGTACACTCCTCACGTAGACCAGCCAAATGTCCCCACAACATCTCCCGTTCATGTTTCCCATCATCCTGACGAAATGTGGTCCCCACACAGAGCTGAATACATACACATAACCAATTTGGTATTCCCATTCTTCTTTTTCCTTTTGTAGATTTCTGTACTACTGTAGCTAAATGCTGCTATGCTAGCCCTAACCTGGTCATATGACCTCAGGAACCAAAAGCTCTTCTTTACTTTTTTCACACAAAAGCTTTTTTTTTTGTAATAAGCATCTTCCCTCAGGGATCAGCCAGATGTCCCCAGAACTTCAATGAATGTTCATGTTTTCCATCATTCTCTGTATAAGTTAGCTGGTTAGCTAAAATGTTTTCCTGCATGCTGATCTGCATCCCCATAAAATACTTAATATGTGGCCCCATAAATTACATCAAATAACCTTCAACTCCCTCTAGTCAACCTGAATAAGACATTATACTGCATTTTCCTTCCCTACTGTGACACATTTCAAAGTGAAACACATCAGGGAGCATGTCTGAGTGTTTTCTGTGCATGATGTTTTGATTGGAGTCCTGGGGTCATCAAGGTCACACAGGGGACAATAAACAGTCAGATTTTCAATATGAACACACTCACCTTCAGCTAGGCTAACCTCAGTGAGCTAATTAGCTGGCAAAGCAAACTTTGTAACGCAAACTGTTTTTTTGAGAAGTCAGAGCGTATCAGTCATAAACTTTGTGAATAATCAGAATAATAGAATATCAGAATATGTACATTTATAAATGCCAGCAGTTTGGACGTTATTCTTCCATTGGAACTTCATGAAAACTTATTTAAGGAGACATGACTGAGGAAACATGGGGCCATGGAAACAGAGTTGTTTTCTAGAAAACAACAATAAGGGATCATAGGAAGGATCCTGTCTGAATTAAGAAATTCAGGTTCCATTTGAAAAAGTAAAAGCCAAAGATTTCTTTTTGTTTCCTGAGGTTCAGCTTAGTGCTGGGTTGGGGTTGGCAGTTAGCTACAGTAATCAGCGTAAAAGAACACCTGTGTCTGTTTGGGTGTGTGTAGGGACTGAACTGGATGATGTGAAGAAGCTGTTGAAAGGCAGTCGTTCCAGCAGCAGCAGTCCTCCTCGCTCTCCCACCAACACTCTACCCATTCCCAAGAAGGCCAGCGTAGAAACACGCACTGAGAGCCACTCAGGTAACACACACACACACTTCACACACACACCTTACACTTTTACACACGCTTGATGGTATTCAGTCTTGGTTTTGTTTTTCACGGCAGGTTATGACAGCACTATTCTGGATTCTGCGTACAGTGGATATGGATACCACACCAACCCCAACAACCTCAGCCCAAACGCCACCCTACAGCACAGTGGTGAGAGAGAGAGAGAGTCTATATACTTATTGATTGTTTCTTAGATGAAGGGTATCTGTGTTTATGTGGTGTCTGTATGTATTATTTTCAATATTCATTAAAAATCTATTAGGATGAAATTTAGTTATCTTTCAGGTGGGGCGTCTTACTGTCTTCTATTTTACATTTTAAAGTATTTTTAACAAATTATTTTAGTTGTAGCTTCAATAATCCTAGTAAATCATAGAAACTGAAAAATATTCCTTTCTGTTTTTGTCATTACTGGAAATGATTGTTGTTTTCATTTGACACTATATTTCTATCCAGACATGCTTCCAATTAGCGATTCAGATACTTCATGCTGTGCTCTGATTGGTGTTCCGTGTTCATGCTGTGCGCTGATTGGTGTTCCGTGTTCATGCTGTGCTCTGATTGGTGTTCTGTGTCCATGCTGTGCTCTGATTGGTGTTCCACGTTCATGCTGTGCTCTGATTAGTGCTCAGTGTTCATGCTGTGGTTTGATTAATGTTCTGTGTGTATTGCCGTTTGTAGTGGGTCTGCAGAACAACCTGGCGCTGAGCTCTTCTGCCATGAGTGGTGGTCTTTCTGCTGGCGGCGCAGGTGTGTCTCAACACTCAGACCACAGGCCACTAATTCCACAGTAGTACACTATATACTATCAGTTTCTCAGCACATTACATGGTATAATGGGCTGATTTTTTTGGTAACTCTTAAGACCTCAAATACATTTCCTTTAAGCTGTTTTCATTCATAATGAGCGAATTTGTGATCTACACTCACTTTGTTAGAAACATGTACCTTGTACTTCCATTCACTGACCACTTTATGCAGTCTACCCACCTTAAAGGTCCACAATATAGTGTACAACTACAGACTGTAGCCCATCTGTCGCTGCACAAATTATTAGCCATGCTCTACCGCACGCATCATTGGTCAGTTTCCAACCACATGCCACTGTTGACCAGGTATTATGTGGGGGTTACTCTTAGCACAGCAGTGACACTAGTAGTAATTTACTGTCTCCAACAGTACACAAGCAGGGTGCAGCTACAAGGGTGGTGGTTCTAATAAAGATGTAATACATTTTTAATAACCAGAATGTTTCTTCACTTGTAAAGTCGTTCTTTGCTGTTGGCTTTTCTAGTGTATGGAATGCAGAATAACTTAGCCACCAGTGGTGGTGTGGCCCTCACTGCAAATGGAATCGGTGCTGGTCCAGGTGAGTGAGCTACTGAGAAAGTAGCAATGAACTTAGCCATAGTTCAAGAGGTCATGGGTTTGACCTTTGTTTAGAAGAGTTCGTCCTCAAAATAAGGTAATTAGCTGTGAATTAGCTAGTTAACTGTATTAACTGCAAAATTTACCACTGACTTATTAACGCTATTCAGTAACAACCATACATTATTCATTAACTACTTTGAATCTAATATGTTGTTGTAGTGAAGAACTGAAATGTGGGCCCACATTCAGTCACTTACAGTTTAAGGGCTTAGTGTAACTTGAAACCATTGTGAACTTGTGAACTCCCATATTACACAGTTTAGTGTTCTTTCTGCTCTAACAACCTCATTTTAACCTCATTGAAAACTTGTACCTGAGCTAATATGTCAACCCCTTAAATGGCCAGGGTCCACCAGGCAGGCCCAAAGTTTTATTACACACTTCTACAACCTACAAATAACTCAACCAGTTTGCACTGAAGTCCCTGTAGTAACTGAATAATAAGCCTTAGTATGTAATAAGCCTGGGATTTTAAGGGATTAAACAAAGATTTAGCTAAAAGCCACCAATAGTGTTTGTTTATAGTGTCTCAGTGAATATGATAAGGACACGACAATTTAATAAAAGTTTTTTAACCTGTCCTCGCCAACTTTGACTCAGCACTAGGAAGTGTGTTACACCTACACTACACGAGTGACCGCTTGCAACACAAAGGGAGGACAGGACAGTATGCGGCAGATTATTCAATAGGAACGCACTGACCCTCAGCTAGTCAGGCCTTAGTGAGCTAGTTAGCCAGCCAAGAAAACTATTTTAAAGGACATTTGAGCAAAGTACATAAATTCTGTATATATTTGCTTTGTCTGGCTATAAGCTAATACACCTATAAACCATGATGAATTGCCTTTTTTTGTTGCTGTTAGCTGTGTAGTCTTTAGTTTGCTAACTAGCAAGTTAGCAGAGTAAAGTAATGAAGTTATATCAGCAGTCATGTATAACAGATGGAGCAGTTTGCTACCTAAGACTCCTTCTGAACTTATTCGTGCGATCCCTCAGAGCGCTCATGTAATAGACTTCACTTGAGCTAATAGAGTAATGGAACCACCCTTAAGATGGTGTCAGGTATTCAGTGTCAGGGTAAACAGTAAATGGCAAGGCCAAGAGGAAGAGTGCATGTTAAAGCTGAAAAGACCAGCAGACATCAATAGATTGACCTCTTGAATATCTTTTCATTCTGAAGGTTTAAGGTTGAGGATTTTTTCAAGAGCTTTTCAAGAATATAAGAGGAATTTAAGGGAACTGTCACATGAAAGAGAGTAGTTCTAACTATGTGCTTGTCTTTTGCAGTGTACGGGGTGCAAAAGAACATTGTGGCCCCCGGAATAACAGCCACAACTGTTGGTGAGAAATAAGGACAGCATTTTGAAAAATACAAACCAATCATAACTCAGTCTCAGTTTGACTTCCACCCAACCTCCTTTTCTATTTTGCAGCTGCCCCCAGCAGTCCTGTCACCACAGATGATGTGTTTGTTAAAGACTACAAGTTCATGCTGCTGGAGAAAGAGAACGCTCCAGCGAAGAAGGAGAGCGAGAGGCTGATAATGTCTAAAAACACAGGCAAACAGTTCACCTCAATCACCTCCTCCAGCGGACCGAGTAAGGAGAAGATATTATGGAAAATTAGAAAATAATTCTACCTAAATGAATTTTACGTAATTAAAAATTCTAACGTATTGAAAATAAAATCATTTAAAGTGTACATGATATGACTACTATCTAAATCACAATAGTAATTGTTTTATCCTGAATTTAGAAATGCATACATACATATACATAGATACACACATTAATTACATGTTACATGTTTTGTTAACACATTCTCAACAGAAAACACACTTGGACATGGCATTTTTAGGCAATTTTAGTTCCCAATTTCTACTCATTTGCTTATTTGCTTATTTATCTGAGTTCAACATATTGGAAAAAATAAAACACACAATATAAAATGTGCCACAACTTTTGCACGGACCACTTTTTTCCCCCCATTATGTTAAATTCAGCAAATAAACAATAATCGTGCATTAAAATGTGCAGATGTGTTCTCTGTAGAGGATGTGTTAATTCTCATTTCAAAAATCAACAAAAAATGTCATTTTATCGGGGCGCTCAAACTATACATGCAATTGTATATACAGTGGAGTCTAAATGTCTGAGACCACATTGAAAATCTGGTATTTTTTCATTTAAACCTGGAAATAAACAACAGTTTAAGAATCTTTGAGTTGATGTTGATATCTGATGAAGTTTCTGTCACGACAGCCTCATTTTCAGAGGACTCACTGAAGCGGGAAAAGAAGATGGTCTCCAGTACTGTTGAAACAACCACAGTGGCGAATGGTCAGTTCAGAGATTTGATTACATTGATTCTTACACAAAATCCATCAGTTAGCATCCACAAACAACCTGTATTCTGTTTTTACAGGTGCTAAAGCTTCAACGAAGGACAAGGCCACATACGCAGGTATGCAACAATAACTATTACTTACTTATTACTTATTATTAATGTTACTACACTGTAGAAATCACATAACAGTGCTTGACAGCTACACAAATAAAGGACAAATCTTAGTACTGTAAATATGGTACTTTTTATTTTCTTACATAAATCCCTAAGGTTACATCATTAGGACATTTTAAAGTTATAATTACGTTGTTATCGATTATTAATGACTGTCTATTCTTACGTTACTGCAGAGATTCGTAAAGAGGAATCTGGGGCAACTAAACTAGGATTCTGTTCCTGCTGTACGTGGTGGATGTGGCTGCTGGGATTATTGCTGGGGCTGCTGTTTATGCTGGGCCTTCTCTTTGGACTCATCGCTCTGGGTGAGACACGTTAGCACAAGCAATGTAACAATGCAAAATGTGTCTTTGGGATTGTTTTGGCTTCTGTCTGTTTGTTTAACAATGTTATATTTTTAATTTGCTTTGCTTTTCATTTAAGTTATTTAATTATTCACATGTGATGACCAGCGGTGTAATGATACACAGCTTTTTAATTTTGATACCATTTTCAGTTCTGAGGTTGAGATTTAAATCCACCATTGATGATATTTTGAGAATATCTTGAGTCTGCAGAGATCTAAGTATATTATTAGCTAGTTATATCACTTATTAAGTTATTAGCAACACAAAATACAGTTTTGATGTGGTTCTTAAAGATTAAATGATTTGGATGATGTGATTTGGTGTAACACATTCAACAAATCATTTGAAATGAAATATTATTCATGGTTTAAAATAGTCCTGGGAGCAACTACAAGCACTTAGGAACTTCTTTTGAAGGGCCTAGAATCATGGAAAACTGAATTGTCCTCACTTTTTTGAAATAATTTGAAATAGTATGTATACATTGTTAATTTCACAGTGTACCTTTTATTACCCAGCCCAACAGCCCATATTTGGAAACTAAGGTGCAAAAACAGCCTGTTTTAATTTCATTGTCTCTGTGATGTCACAAAAAACAGACATATTTAAGTATATCCACCTATTCATCCTACATTAGTTTAGCCCCGCCCACTTATACTGAAGTTATGAGGAGACTTTTGACCAGGACTACTTTTTGAATGAGACACAATACAGAGCAGCCAATCAGAACAGAGATACTTCACATATATATGGTCTTAAAGACACAGTAACAAAAATAGCCTGTTTAACTCTAGTGGGTAGAGAGGTAAAATAATTCTGACTATTATTGGTACACAAAACCCACATTAATGTCATAAGTGGAGTTCAATGAAAAAAAATAAATGCAAAGAATATAGAGACCTTTATTTGATTTTGTATATCTGTGTGGTTCTAGCTGAGGAAGTGAAGGCCCTGAAGGCTCGTGTAGATGCTCTGGAAGGGGGAAAGGAGAGCTCGGCCTCGGCTCGCACCAGCCGTTTATCGTCTTCTGTGAACATCGTGGATCCTCTGGACTCCTCATACACCTCAGTAACACGCTCGGAAAACACTATAAACCTGAGCTCCGACCCGGCACAGCCTGACCCTGCAGCTCTTCACAGGACAATAAAACAGCTCGTCCAGTCTGAACTCCAGTCTGAGAGCGTCAGAGGTACCCCAAGAGTTTGTGACTGAGTTTGTTCTGGAGGTTAAACATTTATGTAGATGCGTATTTCTGAGTAATTTATTAATTCTTTCTCTGGCCATTCATTCATTCATTCATTCATTCACAAATCCAGCATTTGTATAAAGTGACGATTTCATTTTGAACTCCTTTGTGATTATTTCATCCATCTTCCCTCTTTATCATCTATGTAGCTACACTTGCGACCTCACTGAGAGGAGAGAGAGGAGAGCCTGGACCCAAAGGTGTGTACCTGACCATTTCTAACATTCAGAAATTCAAATTCAGACACTGTGATGAGTAACTATTTGAAAAAGTTGCTAAATAAGCTAGCTGTGCCATGTTTCTTCTGAAGCTCTTCTATTTTTTTTTTCCACCTCCATTTTTATGGACAGGTGACCCAGGAGCTCCTGGGGTTAAAGGTAGGTAAATCATCTCACACTACCCATGTACAGAGTAAATTATCAATCGGTTATTAGAACCCAATGAAGTCTAGTATGTCCAATTAAGAGGCAGTTTCTTTCAGTGTCCTTATTTGTTTGTTTTTTTCAATCCTTTTAGAGAGCAGTGTTCTGAATCTGCATACAGCATATCTCATTTTTTATTTTCTTTTAAATATTTACATAAAAGCAATTTACAGTGATCCCTAAAAAGTATTTGAACACGTGTGCCATACTTAACAATGTAATAAGTTCATTGTGGTAGGAAACAAAACGTCATACCACGTGCCGTTTATTGTAAACAGACCATTCCAAGACTGTAATTTTCTTTTTAGCAAAGTATTTTTTTAATGTGCTGATGAGTTTCAGATCACTATCATCTGAGCAGTTTCTTTGCAGACTTCTGCAGCTTTGGATCCAAAATGCCTTCTGAGTTCAAAATTCCATCAGTAAACACAAACTCACCAACACCACTGTAAATAAATAGCCCCAGACTTTTTCACCTCTGACATTTCCATCTCTATAATTAGAATTCTCCACACAGTCTACCAGCAGTTTGATGTAGCACTAAAAGTGTTTTTCTCTCAAAAAAATTTATTTTGTTGCACATTTTATGAAATAACCTAAAAACGTGGTGTATTAGTGTCCAATTACTTTTTGAGGCTGCTGTATTTTGGTTTAAATTAAGTGTTCTCAAGAGATTTGTGACTTCATTTTTGATTGGAAACATGTACAAGAATTATTTATAATCCAGAAAATGTAAAGTAAAATCCTGGTGCTACATTACTGATCTCATTGTGGCTACATTTGAACAGTTTTCGCCCTTTTTTTCAGGTGATGCAGGATTTCCTGGAGTGCCAGGTGAGAGGATCATCACCCACACTTTTCATAAACAGGAAACAATCAAAATATTTCTCCTTTGTTTTGTCTTAACATTTGATAACTACATTTCCTCCAGGTCCTCCTGGTCCACCTGGCCACGCGGGACAAGAAGGCCCAAGAGGACCTAAAGGAAGTGCTGGTAAGATTCTAGAAATGCTTAAAACTTCATGGCTCTTGCTAGGCTGTTAGTTTTCTTAACCTGTCCCTAAGCAGGAAAGGCAACCTGTTTTTAATTGATCATGGTTCTGATGTCACAACCATGAGCACATTTACATGTTTACAGTTTAGCTACCCATTCACACTGAAGTGATAAGGAGTGTTGTTACTGCAGACTGATGTAAAATTTTTGGAGTGGAAGATTTGGGGAAAGTGATTAAATGTTGTGCTGTTCTTGACTACAAATGTATCATGTGAATCCAGCCAATCAGAAGAGAGGCCTTTTAAACATGTCTTAAGGGGACATTAACAACACAGCCTACTTATTTAAGGGATAAAAAGAGATTGGAAAAAGAACTGAGAGACTACTTTTGGGACATTTAACCACATGTACGTCATAAACAGACTTTGGGGGGAAATAAGAAATTAAAGAAAAATACAGAAACTCTAAAGTTCAGACATAAGCAGATATGTTTCAAACCAGGTGAGCCAGGCCATGATGGTCCACCTGGACAGAGGGGCCGTGAGGGGCCAACAGGACCCAGAGGAGAGCCAGGCCCTCCAGGAGTCGGAGAGAAAGGAGACAAAGGTAAGAACAGTTAATGCTTTTCAGCTCGACTCTTGATAGATGTTGAGTTCTGCAAAAATGTATGGATCTGCTGAATTTTCACTGAGAATCTGTGTACTGGAAGCTGATTGGTTCCTGGCTCCACTTTCTAAAACATTTCATCCAACCTCCTGTTTAGGGATATTTATCCTCACAACCACCAAACTATTTCATACTTTGCTTAGCGATTAAATGCTGACATGTCTTTAAATTTTAAGACAACTTAGTTTAGTCAATGACTTTTTTAGTACTGCATCCACAAACTACAGTTTACATGGAGCTCACTCAGAATACAGGGATTTTTTGGATTTTTTTACTCAGTTCCTCCCCAATTTAATCATTGATAGTTTAAACCTAGGTTGATTGAGACAGCCAGTTAAATCAGCATTGCTAATGCAGGACCTGACCACTTTAGTATTATTTCTTGTTGTCATGACTGGTCTTACTGGTATTACTTAATAAATTATTGTTAATTTTATTGCTGTCTCTAATTCATCATCTGCACAAATTAGTTTATAAAAGTGGAGATAAAGCTACTCTCACCTAAATTGTTGTTCTTCAGGATCAGCGGGAGATCCTGGAGCACCTGGACCTGCTGGACCACCCGGACCTATGGGACCCAGAGGTGCGATGTGTGCATGTTGCATGTGATGTGGTGTAACAAAGTGATGAAATAATTGCTACTCAAGTATATTTTGATGCTGACATGTAGTTTGCATACAATTATATGTGCATATACATCAGCCACTGAGTTAGCAATATGGCTGCATATTTTGAACTCGTTTTCATATAAAACGTATGTGTATGTAATGTGTCATATCAGGTGAGGTGGGCGCTCCAGGTAGTGCAGGACTTCCAGGGGCTCCTGGTCCTCAAGGTTTCCGTGGAGACGCTGGAGACCCTGGACCAAAGGGTAAGTATGAATTTTTAACATGCGTTTGTATTTATTTATTAATTACTTAACTTATTTATTTATTCTCTTACAGTCTAAAGGAACGTAGATGGGCATAATACAGAATCATTTCTAGTGGCTACTGAATGATAAACCTTATCAACTGAGTAATAAGCCAGGAGTTGAAAGATGAAATAATGGTTTTTTTTTTAGGTTTATAACAAACTTTTCTTTTGCTCTTTTTTGTACAGGAGAGAGAGGACCTGCAGGGCCTCCTGGAGCTAAAGGTTAGCCAAAAGCTGAGAAATATAGTTCAAATATTTATTAAAATGGTAGGTTAGTTATATATGGCGTATCTCATCTTCAACAACAGGTGATCAAGGAGAAAAAGGACCTCGTGGTGCCACTGGTAGGTCACCTTTTTACACAAGATATGACTGTATGTTCTCTGAAAACTGGACAAAAGTGGAATAAAACTGTGTTGCATAGCTATAAACATTAGCAGCAGGAGCAGAAGTCTGAATTTTGGCTTTACTTTTTCATAGCTGAGCAAGTAAGCCAACAAATGAAGATGTTTTTATTGTGTTTAAATGCTATTTTTTATTGTGGCAGCTGTGTGTGATACTTTGATATCAAGAAAGCTGTGGCTATTCTGTCTGTTTTGTGCCGACGCGACTGTCTTTGTGTATTGTGTACTGTATTGTGTACTGTGTTGTTAGCTAACTTTGGAGATAAACTTTGGACACTGTATTGTTTTATATATTGCCTGTGTGCTTACTGTGCACTATTAGTCACAGTTGCATCATCACTGTGTTTGCAGGAGAGCCAGGACAGCCAGGACCTGCAGGTCCACCTGGAGAGAAAGGACCTAAAGGATCAGCAGGTGGGTCATTTTCATGAGCAAGACTGGGATCAGGAAAAAATGAAATGACTAAAACTTAGTTTCCTTTTTTTAAAATACAAATAATGATGCCTGCTAGAATAATTAAAAATAAATCTCAATTTATAGCAACATTTTCAAAAAAGTATTTTACAATTGTATTTCACTACTGCTACACACTGACAGTGATTGAGGTTTTTATTTTCATTTGTGCCACATGACATTTTGTTCTCATAGTTTACATGGACATCAGTGAAGTAAAACGTTTTGATAAACTCATTAACCTTTTCTCATTAATCCTCTAAAAGGCCTGGGCCCACTGGCTGGCTCAAACTTTTATTACACCCTTCTGTAATCTAAGAATAGCTCCATTAGTTTGCATTGAAGTCCTTATAGTAACTTAATAATACACCCTTGTATGAAATGAATCTGGAATGTTATTAACCCCTTAAAATCCCAGTCTTATTACAAACTAAGGCGTATTATTCAGTAACTACATGGACTTCAATGCAAACTGGCCGAGCTATTCTTTAAAACTTTAGGCCTGCTGGTGGACTCTGGCCATTTAAGGGGTTAAAAAAAGGGAAAAAATGATAAATATCGCTAATGAGAAACACATATGTGGACACACTGCAGAAATAAGTATTAGGGTAAAAACCTTTATAATAGAAAATCAGAGCTGTACCATGTAAAGCTACGATTGATCTACTAAATGCCATGAATGTGGCTTATCTGTGTGATTCTTATGACATTCAAATATTTATGGATATGTCTTGAGGCGGTTTTCTGAGAATGACCCAGGTAGGTACAAAAGGGAAAGACGGGACAGGTGAGGCAGTGGATGGAACTACACATGAAAAAGGGATGTATTTTGAATGGACTTCAAATTAGTTTCACACGAGAAATGTAGCAGTTTTTCTACCTTCACTGAAGCAGCTTCAGTAATAAAAAACTCAAAATGATAGTTGCGTATATTACCCACCTATCAGTAACTATTTGCAGCTTTGCATACAGTGCACATTGAATACAGTATATCTTATATATACTAATCTCTATATATTTCATCATCATTCCTATTTATCTAATTTTGCAGGTCCCCCTGGGCCAGATGGTGAAAAAGGCACTCGAGGTAGGTTTAAAAGGCAGTGAAAATGTTTCAATATGTTTACTCACTGATTGTGCTTGAGTTTCCAGTGTGGCCTTTTTATCCAATAAACTTCAGGTGACCAAGGACCAGTTGGGCTGCCAGGTCCACGTGGACCACCTGGAGCTCCAGGAGATGCAGGAACACCAGGTACTGAGCAGGAAGAGTGATTGATTATTGATTATTAGTAATAACTTGTTCATGGCCTGGTTGAAGTCTCACTATTTCAATGGACTGTTTTCAGGATCTCCAGGGCTGCAAGGACCACCAGGTAGGTTTAATCGTTTAATTAACATCAGCAGTACAGAAGTTTCATCAGATAATATAAAAAGATAACCACATATGTATTGAGCTAATGTGAACACTGAATTGAACATCTCACTAGGGATGCATTCAGAGACTTTGGCTTTGTCCCCTTTAACTTATTAAAATCTTCCCCAAAGAAGTTACAGTGTGTGCATGTCAACGAAATTTGGATCACTGTGGAAACTGTCGTTATTGATTTGTTGCATGATAGTAACAATAGAAGGCAACTGAAATGTAAAGTAATTCTATTAATGTTTTCATGCTCAAAATGTTAGTTGTTATAGTTAAAACAATAAAAAAGCATGAATTTTGGATCGTGAACTTTTTTAGATCCTGTTCTTTATGTGTAAAAAAATACGGCACTGAGACATCACATCATTAAAGGAAAATAGTTTACTGAGTAAAAATATAAATACAACACTTTTGCTTTTGCTCCCATTTTGCAGCAGTTTGATTTAAAAAAAAATCCAGGATATTTTTTAAAAGTGTGTCACACTGTTACAGGCAAACGGTGGTCACACCAGACACTAATGTAGGAATTCTGTTTCACGACCCACCCTGTTTTGTGCAAATTTTCAATAAATCTTTTCAGAAAAAATGTTGTGTTTATATTTTTGTTTAGTGTAAATTAAAATGAATTTAAGGGTTAATTGACTTGAATATCTGATATATTTTCAGTAAATTGTAGTACTTTTTTAAGGGACTATTTCATTTTGATTCCTCTTTATAGGTTTGCCAGGGACACCGGGTCAGCCTGGAGCTAAGGGTAACACCCCTAGACACTCAGTACTTCTTTTGTTAGACTTGATTGATATGGTCATTAAAGCTGCACCATGTAAGGTTTTTTTTGTTACAGTTGAAAGAAGTAGTGTCACCAAGTCAAAAACAGGCTAAAATATGGTGTGCGTGCACTGAGTCGCCCTTGAAAGCCTGAAATAATGATTTAAAAGTCAGAGATTTCAGGTCAGACATTGGAGTTTTTCAGACCACGCTATATGTCTTTACGTATTAACATCACATGAACAGGCTCAAAAAGAAGGTCTGGCTCAGTGTTTAGGTCTCAAATGCAAAAACAACATTATACTGATGAATATGTGATGACAATAGTACATAATTCACATCCTCAGAAGACGCATCCTTCACCAAGTTTTCACTGAGATCTTTTTCAACACTCAAACGTCAGATCAATCCACTTGTCAGGGTCCAAAGCACAACCCCATGTTACAAAATGTTCCTCTACATGTTGTGCAGTTACACATTTTCACCTGAGAGGTCTCCAAATCCCCAAATCTAACATTCACTTTCAGCAGGTGTGGTTTAGTACACTGTCACTATGTCATTAAAATGAATTTGCATATTCATTGCTCTCGTTCAGGTGAGCCAGGTGAACCCGGAAGAGTTATCTCAGCAGGTGAGTAGTTCTCTGTCTTCGATCTTGATCTTTGAAGACTTTCTGCTAAACAGTTTAGCCTTTGTTAAAGGAATAGCTATGCAACACAAGCTAACACAGCTAATGTTGGATGGAAACTAGTAGCCATCACTTTTTTCACCATGTCACTGGCATAATTCTATTTATCATTACTAGCATTTCTAAGTGAACCACTGCTTTAATGTTTAATGTGGAATTGATTGTTGATTACCAAATGTTCTGTTGTGTGATAATTTAAATATTTCTTTTGATCTCTCACTCTGTGACAGGCCCAGCCTCCAGCACTGTGGCCATTCCTGGACCTCCTGGACCTGCTGGACCTCCAGGCCCTGCTGGCCCACCTGGACTGTCAGGTAGGCCATCTTCCTAACTAAAAAGTACATCTGTAGCAAGGTTCACTTTGTGCAATCATATTGCATACAAGGATAAGAAAGATTTTCAAAATGATAAATAATAATCTGATAACATGTATGTTGTTGTGTTGTTAAGGGATTGTTCTCTCTTTTCAGGTCCTATTGGTCCTGCTGGTCTTCCTGGACCACCAGGTAAGAAGCTAACCATCATTCATTTAGAGAATCAAAATCAAAGCACATTGCACTTGATTTTACACTGCATAAACAGTATCTTGGCACAGGAAAGCATTTTAAAAAAGTAGACAATACAGCTAATATTTCTTATTGTTCTAAGAATATTTTTAGGTCGCTACCTATTTCAAGACTTTTTTTGTAATATATATTTTTTAAAAAATAATTTGACTTCCATCAAGCATACTTTCTTGAAACAATTAAAATTATGTCAGTTCAATAACCTCAGTTGATAAAATTACTTAACAATTAGGTGAAAATGTTTAGAAATATGTTGTGTAAGTGTAAAACATGAGACATTTTCATTTGCCAAAATATAATTTTAGCAGTGTAGTAAATATGCCTTTTGTATGTGGTCGTCCAGTGTTGTATGTTGTATGATTTCTTATTTAGTAAAAGACTTCTGTGGACATTTTTTTGTGCATTGACATTTTTACAGGGCCAAAGGGTGATAGAGGTGACAAGGGAGATGATGGAGAGCCTGGCATCTCTGTGAAAACTGTTGAAACAATCAAGACTGAAAGTATGACCTTGCCTTTCTAAATAATGCTGGCTAATACCATGTCTGGACTACTTTACATTAGATTTTTAGAATATTAAATACTGAAATTAAATCCACATTCCAATTCAAACTATGTGAACACGTACAATATATCACTGTTGTCAGAAGAAAACCTTGTATCTCCATAATGATAACTTTACAGGAGAAGGAAAAAACATACTTTACTTTTAATGTAAGTCAATGGAACCAGAATTTTTTCCAAGTCATTTTCGGCCATTTCTTTTCGTTCATTCATCATGAAATTTATGTACAATGTAAAGGGCAACAAGCCTTTTCATACTATGTCACAAACTAAAAAACGAGGTTTTGTTCTGACAGCAGCGATGTCACTTAGAAAGATGGTAGAACAAGAAGTTAATTTGATAAAAAGGCAGCTGGCCAATGTGTTGATGTTTAAAGCATATATAATATAATTTCTACACACAGAGCCACCTGTTGCTGGTCCCCCTGGTCCTCCTGGCCCACCTGGACCCCCTGGACCACCCGGAGAGGCAGGAAAGCCTGGTAAATTTGGCTTGTTCTTTTGTATCTTATCACCATGCTACTACTAAAGCTATAAAGAGTTCCTCTGAAGTAATGCAATGTTATTTGTTGTGAAGGTGAAGGGAAACAAGGCCCACCAGGACCACCTGGAGAGCCAGGTACATTATCTGCAAATTGATATTGCACTATTTTATGGCCCTAGTTTGGATAAATACACTATAAAAACATCAGTGTTTAAGTAGTAATTACATTGTTCTAAATATTGCTACTGCCTTGAGTGTAATATGTGATTTCCTCTGCCTTTGATTTCTTCTTTTTCCTACCTGTATGTCACCTTTTTTACTGCTAGGTGTTGGTCAGCCTGGTCCACCTGGTGAGAAAGGTGAACCTGGAAGCTTTGTGCCCAACTCAGGTAGGTGACTTATGACAGTCGCTCTTAAATCTATACAGCATTAGATTTGCTCTAGAACCAACATTTGTCCAGAATAAAGATTCATATCAAACCAGATTGATCTTCAGTGTGCTGATTTCAATTATTCCACAGAAACCTTCTTTGCAGGACCACCTGGACCCCCTGGACCTCCTGGACCTCAAGGTTGAATATATTTCTGAATATACATATACTGCAGCGAGTCTAAATACAGTTTATTATGTGTTTATTATGTTTATAATGTAAATCATGCAGGGTTTTTGTACACAAAGCCCAACTTACAAGCATATGCAAAGGTTTAACAGCCCTGGATAGATTACACATCCTACACATCCTTTACAGAGAGCAAAATTAAATATGGCACTTTTCTGCAAATTTTACAGTCCAGTTTAACACACTGGAAGAAAAGGAATTGTGCATTAAAATGTGCAGAAGTTTATTCCCTGTGGAGGATGTGTTTACAAATTTTTACTTAGAAAATCAACAAAATATTATTTGACCAGAGGTGCCCAAATTTTGCATGTGACTGTAGATCTAGATTATAGTGTGTAAATTCAACAGTGAAATTTTAGTTTATAACAAATTATCAGACCATATGAACCAATGAACCATAATGGATAAATAGACCATGATACTCATTACTTGTTATTGTTTCTTTCTCACTTTTACCAAGGATTCCCAGGTATGTCCTTTGTTATCCTTTTTAAAAATATCTTTTTATACTTTTGAAACGTCTTAAAATATTTTTTTTTAATGTTAACTATGTTAACGATTCTGTTTTTTGTTTCTGCTGTAGGAGAACCAGGGCATCCTGGATTACCAGGAGAACCTGGTCTTGGTAAGAGATCTACAGTGACGTCTTTTCGGTTCTCTGTCTGATTTGTAAACTTGCACAGTGTTAAAAATACTCCTACTGAAAGCAAGATCAGTCAAATTCAGTAGTTTTTAAGATAAGAACTGTAGATGATAATTTAACATTGATTATTTTGGATATTGGACCCTTAATCATGGACGAAGAGACACACTGTAGGATAGTTTAATAGGTTAATAAAGCAACTTAGAAAGCGTCTTCTTTCTCCTCTTTCTGTTAAACCAGGTGTCCCAGGACCAGTAGGACCACCAGGACCACAAGGACCTCTTGGACCACCAGGACCTGAAGGGCCACAGGGTCCAAAAGGTACGACAAGGGCTATGTCATATGAAGTTTCAAATTATGCCAAAAAAATTAAAAATTACATCAATGTTATGTTGGACAACAATTTAGAACTGCATATCGTATGATTTATATTATTTTATTCAGTACTAACCTAACTAACGACTATACTACTACTACTATACTAACTACTGAATACAGTGTAGATTATATTATAAATCACTATGTGGTTTAAGTTCTTATTAATGAATTTTATAATTCTTTGATTGTAGGTGATGCTGGTGTCCCAGGAGCCCCCGGCATCCCAGGATACTCTTATGGTGAGAAGGAATGACTGGGTTTTCTAAAACAGCTGTAAGGTATATTGTAAATATTTTATATTTCTCTTTGTTATAAGGTGGAGGCAGAAGCGCCCCTGGACCACCAGGTCCACCTGGGCCTCCAGGACCTCCAGGACCTCCCGGTGACGGTTCCAGCGGGCCAGATGTTTCTCAGCAGCTTTCTGACCTCCTCAGAAGTGAGTGTCCTCAAAAGTTTGGGAAAGCAGGAACTCTAGATTCGTTAACGCTGTGCAACTAAAACCTTGAAAAGTGTCGGATGCTGATGTTTCTCTGGATTATTTATAAAGGTGATGGTATTAGAGAATACCTGGCTGGTCCTCCTGGACCCCCTGGACCACCTGGAAGTGTCTCTGATGCTGACTTGGCTGACCGTGTTATCAACTACCTCCAAAGTGAGTCTTCAGAACTATACTGAGCTCTTAAATTAAACAGAATTTGCTATTTCATTCTTTCTTAATTAAATCCCTGCCTCAACCCACCTGATCCAACTCATGAGGGGCTCCTTAATTACGTGATGAGCTGGATCAGGTGTGTCAAAGAATACTTCAAACCGTGCAGCGCTTTGGGTTGCCAGGGGCAAGATTAAGAAATGCTGTGCTAATTTTTGCAACTCTTCCTACATCCTGGCGATATACAGTGCCTACACACAAATCAGGGTTAAACAACAATGTTGATTATTACTTACAGCGGTGTTGATAGATAAAACCTTAGATAAGTGAACTGTGCACCATTTGCTGGGTGTTTTAGGTTTTTGTGACAGAACAGTCCAAAATCTGATATCTGGTTAAAGTTTGCTACACTGTTTAAGGTTCTTTTTAGCATCATTTTAAGAGAAGCAGAAAATAAGCTATGACAGACTTGAAAGATGTTTCAAGTTTAAAAAAGGTTCATTAACTTTACTCATACAATTTTAAATATCATCTGATTTGAGAAAATAGTGCATTGAATTTACATCATTCAAATATATCACTTCTTTCAACATGTATAAATTGCTGTCTTACACAATTTCTAACTTTCATTTTTCTTCTTTTGGCAAGAATTTTGTTAATGTAACTGTTATTCAAATTTTATTCATGTGCAACCTGCTTACACATTTGAATCTAGTAAATTCAGCGTTTCCCACCAGCCTGATATAAACCTGGGGGGGGCGCTACTCTCAGCAGGTGGGGGGAGTTATTTAAGTATACTGACATTTGAACACATTACAGGATGTGTTTACTTATTCTGTATTGAAATATGGCATCAAATAAGTGAATGTTAAACCTTGTTTTTAGATGTAAAGCACCTGATGAACTTAGTTAAAATGAAGATTTAGGTTGTGTAAATCACCACAGGGAAAAATAGTGATACTTTGCATCAGTGACACTCTGTTTCATTGTTTATTGATAAAAATATGAAATATTTTCCCGCTGCAAGTTGTTAGGATGGAACAAAATGGAAAATATATATATATATAAGCTGTAAACTCTTGCATTATTTGAATGTGATAAGTCGCACCCATTGACTGAACAGTGTCTGTTACTGCTCTGAGGTTTTTTGCTTTGATTAATCTCGCATTAATCTGTGTTATGACACAGGGGAGGAGGTGAGACGATATCTTGTTGGGCCTCCAGGACCACCTGGAGCTCCAGGTATACCTGGAGGTTATGGGTTTAACACTCAGGAAGTGGCTGGAAGAGTCCTCAATCTGATGAATGGTAAGCTCTGAAATTGGTTTTTAAACAAAATGCTATTCATAATTACTCTGAGTGCTCTAATTTTGTCAATGAGTAAAATTAATTTCATATTTAACTCATAAATTTAAAAATCTGTGCTTTTTTGTTTTTAGAGCAGGGTATTCTTAGGCAAACTGGACCCCCAGGCCCACCTGGCCCACCAGGACTTCCTGGACCTTCTTATGGCGATCTCTCTCTTCTTCTACAAAGTAATGACCTTTAATATTATTTTAACTATAGCATCCTCACAAGTACCTGTCCCTTTGGGCACCGTGTCCTTTAGATGCTCAAGGCCAAAGATTTAGTATTAGCTCAGGCTAAGTTAGCCTAGTTAGTTATAGTAGCCTTTACCGATAGTTAATACTGATAAGTTAATATATGTGATGTAGGCTGAAATGCATACAAGTTTTATTGCACACTTCTATAAGAATAGCTCAACCAGGTTGCACTGAAGTCCCTGTAGTTACTGAATAATAAGCCTTTGTATGCAATAAAGCTGGGATTTTTAAAAGGGGGTTAAAAAGACTTGACTGGCACACATTTATATTTTTTCAAATGAATGAAAATGAATACTAACTAAATTAATTTCTTCTTCTCTAAAGACTCAGAGTATAGAGGTCTCATTGGACCACCAGGGCCCCCAGGCCCTCCTGGCTCCCCTGGCTTCCCAGGACCTCCTGGACCCCCAGGGCCAGTTCCTTACACTGGCTCATTTGGTCTTGAAGACATTCAGAGATACATGGAGAGTAAGCAGAATTTGGATGGGTTGGGTTTCCTCTCACATATCAAGCATAGTAGACTAGTACAATAAAATTTCCATGGCACGTTCTGACTGACACTGAAACTGAGTCAGTGGTTTGTTTAACATGCTTGTGACTCTACTTTTTAGCATTTAGGGTCCATATCAATAGTGCACCAATGAAATGTAAACAATAAAACCCTAACAACCTACTGTCTGGTACACTTGTTAGGCTTACAATTACTGACTCTAGCCAATATCTAGGCCATATGTAGCCCATCTATTTCCCATATGCACAATTTGTAAGCTGGACTCTATTCAGCAGCTACTAAACAAATACAGTCCATCACTTAGGATGATCTGTGCTCAGCAAATTTGTTATTTGCAGATGCTGGTTTTAGAGGACCACCTGGACCTCCTGGACCTCCCGGGCCTCAGGGTCCTCCAGGCATTACAAGAGGGCTGGTGTCATACGCTGAAAACGCACAACAAGAACCTCTCCGTGCTGAACTGCAGGAGTACCTTAAGAGTATGTCTAAGGAACAAATGTGTACCTTAGACAACCAACAGGCAACTGTGCTTCCATCACAATGCAGACCAAAGTCTGCTGAAACAGTGGCAGAAACAATATTCTAACAAAGAGCATTGCAAACTTTCATATACCAGATTTGGTCATGAGTTTGTAATGCATCTGTTTGCTAGTGTGCTAGTCAGAGTGATTCTTGGCACTTAATGCTGCACTGTTAGGAGATTTGTTGTCATTTTGTAGTTTGCCATTACCATCCAAAAGAGCCCAGGGTCTAATCCCTAGTAGTTTTACAGCAGTAAAAAAAAGTAGTTAAAAAAGGTTGGCAACCTCATCAAAATGCAAACCAGCAAGGAATTGTGGTAGTTAAGTATCAATGCTAATCTATTTTTTAATTATAAAATATATATCTTCTTTAAATAGCTTTCTTATGTTTTCTTGAAGGTGAGCCTTTGGACTACCCTGGTATTGCAGCAGAAGTGGTGAACTACATCAAATGTAAGTAAAATAATTGCTTTATGAAACATTACCATAATTATCTTGAAGCCAAAAAACATTACAAGAAGTTCCTAAAGGCCAAAATGATGTATACAATGTTCAGCATCTCTACGATATGTTACTGTCAACAGGGTATCTAATAAAGGATGAGCGCTTCAGTGCTATTTTTAAACACTACTTATGTGATGTTTTTTTCAGCTCATGGTTTGTTGCTGCGGGATGTGGCTGATGAAAGTGCTCAACGGTCTCTTCCTCAAGTTATTCAAGGACCACCTGGACCTCCAGGACCACCTGGACCTCCTGGAGTCCATGCATTCAGACCCTATAGCAACATGACTGAAATCATAAACTTTATTAGAGGTGGGCACTAGTTGACATATTTATCAATAACAATACTTCAGATACTGGATCTGCTTGTACTGAAATTATGTTAATGAGGTTGCTCAGGATATTGTTTGTTCATTGTTATTGCAATTTTGACTGCAATATGCAAATGAGCTTTTCAGTAAATAACAAAATTCATTGTCTGCTCTGAGCAACCCAAATGTCACATTTTACAGATGCATGTTTCTCTGTAATTCATGAATTATTTTGATTTGATTTTCACCTCATTACATCCAGGTTTCAGCAGTTTGTTTTTAATATAATGTATTTAATATACTGTAAGTCATATGATAATATGTTGGTACAGCACAGTGGTCTTTAGACTGGTCCTCAACGACTGCTCTGTCCTTATATGTTGTGAATGGGGCTTGAGCAAAAATGTGGACCATCAGTTTGCAAACCAGTGGTATAGCATTATCAGTACCTTATGAGGCAGACTGCCGTTTGATTCCCCACCCAGAAGCACACAATGATAACAAGAACCTTGTAAACATGATTAACACGTAAGTCACTGATAACAGAACCTGCCAAATGAAGAGATGTAGCAACATAATCATGTTATGCTTTTTTGCCCATATTATGCCATCATAAGTCATCAGCAATTTTTTATTAACTACAACCCCATTTCCAAAAAAGTTGGGACACCATGAAGAAATGTAAATAAAAACAGAATGCAAAGATGTGCAAATGATTACATTAAACGTTACATTTAATTGAAAATAGAATTTGAGAAATTTTACTGTTTTTTTTTTTTTAAACATTTGCCCATTTTGAATTTAATCCCAACAAATTGTTTTAAAAAACTGGGGACAGTAAAGGGCTGGTAAAATTGTGTAATGCTAAAAAAAAAAACACCTGGTGGAACATCTCACAACTAATTAGGTTAATTAGCAACAGGTCAGTAATATGACTGGGTATAAAAAGAGCATCCCAGAGAGGCAGCGCCTTTCAGAAGTAAAGATTGGGAGAGGTTTACCACTCTGTGAAAGACTTGGGTGGGCAATTAATGTTTAACGTAAAATAGCAAATAACTTTCATAATCTACAGTACATAATATCATTCAAAGAATCAGGAGAAATCTCTGTATGAAGGGGACAAGGCCGAAAACCAATACTGCCTGGCCATGATACTGTTTTTATTTAGAGGTTGTAGCTCTTTAGTTTTCCTCAACATATGTAGTTTCTTTATAACTACACACCATGCATAGTAACTGCATAATTTTCATGCAACCAATATGCATCTATTACAAATGCTAGCCAAGGTACATTAAGTCAGTGCTTGTTACTGTATCTACTTGTATAACCTAAATGACACACTTACCATTTTCCCTCAAAGACCATGGCATTGTTGGACCACCAGGCCGACCTGGACCAAAGGGAGAGATGGGATATCCTGGTCCCAAAGGGCCCAGAGGTAAGCCTATATACATATACAATCTGCAAGAACCAAATGAATGTTTTTAATGCAATTGGATTATTACTCAGAATGTATTTGATGCAAAATAATTTTAAAAATGTATGTTTACTTTACTGAGTGTGCAACTGAATCACCACTTTGTTTTTGATACGTCAGAATGCATCGATGCATTTTTACACCCAGTATCTACCATCCAAATGCTGCTTTAAGGTACATTATTGACACTTTCCTGTATCTTGTTATTGGATAAATCTTAGGTCCTAGAGGAGAGCAAGGCATTCCTGGCCTACCAGGACTCCCTGGCAATGATGGACCTCAAGGACAAAAAGGAGAAAAAGGTATAACCTTAACTCTCTAATAAATATTTGTCTTCAGATTTCCTACTTTTACGAGGCATTCAAAAATTAGACTCTGTTGTATGTAATATTGCTTCACAAGAGATCCTCACTGATGTACTGTTTTAAGGCGATGCTGCTTATATGAGTCTTAGAAGAAAGAGAAGAAGCAAAGGTGTTCAGACTGAGAAATGAAATGGATGAAGAGACGGATTGATGTTGTAGCTGGCAACACAAACTACTTTTACCTTTTTTTGGGGAAGAGAAAACTCCATAAATGTACTGTATTTACCAAAATAGAAATCTAACCACAAATTATTGTGCAAACTCCTTAATGTGAACAGTAATGATAATCCATTTACAGTCTGTATGTCTGAAGATATCAAACTATGTAAGATTCTGACACAAGCCAATCAAAAAATAATGTATGTAAAAATTAGTCAAAGTTAGATTTTTAATTCAGGATCGAGTGCTAAGTTTTACAGTGAATGTATAATCAGGAGATCAATTCTTATTCATATATTCTTGTACACTGTCAAGAATTTGAGGAAAATTAAAAGCATTGAGCATTTTGGCTGAATATTGACAAGTTTCATTTCACACTTGTAGTGCCATTTTCTTGTTCAGTGTCCCGCTTCAGTAAACTATTGTTACCTGAAATACGAGGTTTCCTTGCATGTTCGCCGTTTGGGATTTAGTGTGTATGGTGATATTAACTTTGTCAAACTATGTACTTTCTTTTTTAGTATTTTGATATTTTTTTTAAATCAGTGTACTAACTGTGATCATGCTAATGAGAGTGGAAAAATCTATTTCATGCCTCATTGAGGGCATTATTAAAACAATCTTTTAACCATTAATGCTTTTTATGTCAGCACTGTGTAGATCCACTGTCAAAATGATTTTCTATATTAAATGGAAAAATAAAATCTTTTTTTTCTTATACTCTTTCTTTTTTTTTTTAAACAAGACATGCATCAAAACTTGCTGCTTTAAATGCTGAATAGGCCATTCATGTGAAGATTCTCATGCAGATTTGATGAGATTGTACTTTTGAGAAAGTTGCTTGGGGGATGGGGGGTGGAGTGTGGGGAGAGACTACTGTCAACAGAGATCTGTGAGAAAGGATCCCTCCTCTCCCCAAACACAGCACAGCAGCAATTTACAGTCATTATTCAGCCAACCCACAGACACAATATTCAGTTTTTATTGGCCTATCAAAACTAAGATATTGTCGGTTTCATTTTTGGATTTCTTCATTCAATAGCTTTTAAATGGTGGGCGACAAAAAGGTTAACATAAACATAAGCATAAACTGCTGCAAGAGCTAAAAGACCGTCTGTATTGCAAGTGGCAATCATAGGGGTCCAAGCATTGTGCGCCTAATGGAGCCAACAGAACACATTATTGGGTTTTTAGAATTTATATACACATATATATTGACATTCTGACCTTGCAGATTTTTAACATATACATCAAAACACCTAGAAAACACAGTACAGTATTTGGACATGACTTGCATTTGCGTAGTTTACCTCAATCGACAAAATAATTCCCCTGTATTTTTGTCTCAGAGCATAACTGAATTTTTTTTTTGGTTAAATCACTAAAAATTTGACCTTTCTGGACTCCAGTCATCTTTTTTACTGCTCATGAGTTTTCATGTGTGACAAGAGATTTTTATTGTCTGAAAAAAAATTATCAATATGTGTGTTCATTCTTTAATCATACCATCTTAAAGTAAAAATATAACTAATTATTTAAACGCTATTAAGAATTGCTTCCAACATGCCTACAGAAGTTTATTTCCTTCTTTATTTTCAGGCTGTGGCGTGTACTTGAAAAACTAGAACATACATCTAATATAGGATATCAGTGATTGATTCTCTGAATAAAGAAGCACTTCCAAAGAACTCACCAATATTTACAACAAAAGTTTTATTACAGTCAAATTACTGCAAATCAACAGTAGCTTCCTAAAATCACAATAACCTGATCATTGACATGAAGACAGTATTTCTTACAAGTTTACGTTACTAATTTCATACACATTGGAAATGGATAAAAATATAGTAATAATAATGTCTAGTCAGGACAAAAAGGTTTCGAGCACGATTAGACAAATGCATGAATATATATATGACAAAAAACTGGCCAAGCTAGGACATAAAACATAGTGTCTTAATACAGATATCCAATTAAATCTGCTACTGAAAATGCCTCTGACTTGTGGAAAAGTGCACAGCACTTTCTCACATTCATCAGACTGATCTACTAACATTATCTTCATCTGACTTGCTATAAAACACAAGCACTGATTGAAGCTCTGAAGCCAATCAGAATGAAACCAAGATGCGGCAAAAGCGCCTCCATTCATTACAGTTACCTTTTAGCAAAACATTCAGCTTTTTTTTAATCAAAAAAGCCCACTGAACTAATGTCTCATTAGTTTTTAGTTTTTGCCCCACTCCCTTCAGATTTCACCACTATCATTTAATGGTAAACTGGTACAGAAAACTACAAATTCTGTATTTCAAAATAATAATAGGATATGTTCTCAAGTTCTATAAGCACAGATAAAAATGCCATGATAAAACTCAAAAAGGAAAAATTCACTGTATTCTATACAAATTTTTTAAGTAAACCACTAAAAATACAGTATTGTAGTGATAATTCTCAAATGAACAGCTTAGAGTCTCGAAAAGCATGCATTCTAGCTCAAAACTATTACAGTATTTGGTACTGAGATGTTGTAAAAGAGCGTATTACCTCCTGCTAAAAACCTAGGCTAAACATGGCCGATATGTTGAATTCAGTTTCAGAAATTTTCACGTTGCATATTCTTAAAGTCACACTTTTCATACCACAGTGATGTACATTAGGTTTCAATTTGCATAAATTCAAACGGATATGCATATACCATCAGTATGGCTGCCACTCTGAGAAAATTTAAAGTAACTAATAAAGATTACCCCAGTTGTGTGGGGCATAAAAACAAGGGGACCATTTCAAATGACCTTTTTGACATGGAATTGTGCTGTAAATGTGAAGGCATTTGCAGTAATCTTACTACATATTAAAGCCACTGTGCTACAATTTTAATTCGAAACCGATTTCCTTCATTTCACTGTCCTTTCCATTGTTTTTATTTTCTCAGCTGGGCTGTTCCTTCTTTCTTTATTGACGTTACATTCTACTGCATTAAATTATGTTCCTTTACCCAAATTCTAGCTTTCTTAGCTTTCTTCATCAGCTTTATTAGTGCAAAGCTAAGGGGTCACTTAAGAAAATTTTCCTATTAAAAAAGCCAGTGCATGCAGACAAATTGTTTAGGCACTAGAACCACAGGTTTATGAAAGTAAGGTTTAAAGGTTTACCTTTCCGCTTTATTAAACCTTAGAAATCGCAGTTATCGCCGGCGATAACAAAATTTGATACTATTAGCTCATTGAAACAAGTCGGTAGTGCGGATTCTAAACTTTTATTCAATACTGTGTTAGTATTTGTAAGCAGAACTGAAAACATATTATTATTATTTGAATTTGATCAAAAGTTGCTACTGTAGTTACTTCATTTTGCAGAAACAAAACAATTTCTGTTGATATTGTGACGAATGGAAAAAAGCAGTAAGTGCAGACATGAACCTGTCGAAACCGAACGTAAATTGAACAAAAATCTAATGTATGTGTAACTCACTAAGTAATCAGATACATAATTACATAATTACACTTGAATACTACAACGAACAAAATGAAAGTAATTACTCGATTTCTAAGGATCAACTAATGTTTTCATTACTTAGACATGTCTATGCTTTATATCCATTTTAAACAAGATTGTGGTTTAAAAAAATGCTACAGTAGCTCCCAAATAGTAGGACATTGTAAAGCCGTCGTGTGCATGGCCTGTAGCTTATTGGAACAGTTTAGTCTTTCCACAGAGAAAGTAAAGAAGGGGCTAACCTCCCTTCTAGAATGAGTGACCCCCTTTATTTAATCTGACTGTTATCAGACTGGTGGAGGGAAGGCAGCAAAGGTTCAGTCACAATAATGCCATGTAGTTTGCACACATGCTAAAGATGAGTGCATGTATGTGTGTGATCTGTTAAATCCCACTTGTGTGAATAAAGTGGCCTGTACTTATAATGGCTTTGTGTAAGTGTAGTGTGGAAAAAAGATATGTATGCATGTACTTTGCACTGATCAAGTGAGTTTATGTATGTTTTTACCGAAATGTGCATCGCGCATGTTTGTTTGCGTATGTGTGTCTGAGTTAAAACCCAGTGGAGTGGACGCTGGGGACGGGGTAGAACTTGGAGATGCGGCTCTGGGTGGTTGGGTTAAGGCACTCGGACTCTCCGCTCATCTTAAAGAAGACCTCTTGTTCCTGAAGCTTCCGCGCAAACTCTTCCTCAAGCGCCTGAACAAGCACACAAAGAAAAAAAAATACATTATTTGACCCACATTATGTGGACACTCCTCCTAATTACTGAGTTCAGGTGTTACAGCTACACCCACTGCTAACAGGTGTATAAAATCTAGAACACAGCCATGCGATCTCCAGCAGCAGAATCGGTTGTACTGAAAAATTCATTGACTTCAGGATGATTTTCAGGATGAAAGTGGCACAAGTCAGTTCATAAAATGTCTGCCTGCTAGATCTGCCCCAGACAACTGTGGAGCAACAACAGCTCAGATACAAAATGGCAGACCACTCAAACTCACCGAGCGGGGTCGCTAAAGTGCATAACATGTTTTAATCGCCTATTCTCTGTTGCATCACTGACTAAGAAGTTCCAAACTGCATAGTGCCAACAGTAAAGTTTGGTGGAGGTGTCTTTCTTATACTCAAGGTCGGAGTTTGAAAAAAAAAAAGAGCAAGAGAAACTAGGAAGAAGAAAGGTGGAAGTGTTGGGAGAAAAGCTAAGTTTTATGATGACAAATCCGTTTATCATTTGCGTAACGGTGGAAGCTTAAGGCTGTGTTGCCGAATGATCTTGTCAATGGAATACTTATACATATATGGTTAAAGACAAGGAGCCAAGTACTGATCCTTGAGGGACCCCTCATGTGACTGTGAAAGTAGAGGATTTATGTTTATCAACGGATATAAATGTACATGAGCCATGCCACTAATTCCAGTAGAAGAAAGCTAGGGAAGAGTGTCATGATTAACTGTCAGAAGCTGCAGTGAGATCTAAGAAAATAATGTTTAGTGCACCAGTGTCAGCTGCGAAGAGGAGAGCATTCGTGACTCTTACTAGAGCAGTCTCAGTGCTGTGTAAGGGATGACTGAAAAGTATCACAAAAAATGTCGATCGTAAGATTTTAACAGGGTGTAGGTGAAAAACGTAGAGTTGGATAAAGTTCAGCTGTAGTTCTTAGTGTGACAGAGTGAAGCTGTAGTGTTTATTGTGTAACTGCGCACACTGTGTGTTGAGTTGTGCTAGCCATTTACCTTCTTCCTGGGTCGCAGTTTGTCTCTCCAGTCCTTCAGCTCAGAGCTGTGCTCTTCATCCAGCTCCTTTAGCTTTTGCGTCTCGTGTTCAATCAGCAGATGGCACTTCTCATTCTGACATCACATGCACACACACACACAAACACACACACACAAAATGACAGATCAGTGTACATGACAAGGAGGTGCTCTGAAATTTGATGAGTAACTACCAAAATTCTGGCCTTAAATGAACTGTCAAAATGTAAGAAAATTTTTTATAATAATAAAAGTGAGAAATTGTCAGTAAAACGCTGTTCCTTTCATTCTCCTGTGCTGGTCAGCATAGATGCATTCAAACATTTTAAGCCACAGCAGAGTGGAACTATTTCTCTGATACTAGACAAAGAATCTGTATTCTCTATTCATTTGGGTATGAAGAGCTTTTTTAACTCATACATGTGAGATGACAAAGGAATTTCATTACAATCTAGTGACTGTTGTCCATAAAGAAGTAGGATAAGACCTATAAACTGTGCAAAACATCTCTAGTGTGGATGGATTAAAATCTATTCAAGAAAAGTGATTTTCCCACAAGGGAATAAAGTTTCTTCTTTCTGTGCTTATATTGAAGGCAATAATTAAATTAATTGGTAAACAATGTAAACAATACATTGTTTACCAAATCGATTCTTCTTATTATTCTGAAACCTGACACTGTTTTGTGAGGATTTCTAAAATGTACACCGTATCACAGAGGGGCAATTTGTGCAGGCATGATATCTGCCTGCAGCAAAGAACGTGTTTAACTAGGTCTGCTGCATTTCTAGAACAATCTCATCTAGGTTAGGCACAGTAATTGTAGTATTAATGTAGGATATCACATAACCTTTAAAAGTTTAAATATTTAAAAGTTCAGTTATGTTTATGTGTGGGAATAATGCTGTGTTGCTGTGGTGTGCATGAAATAAATCAATAAATGATCACCTGTTTATTATATTTACTCACAGTAAGTAAGTTTTTTACCATCTGTGGAGGCTGTTGTCACGGTGACCTGACTAACTGTTGCCAGACACAGGTTAGGTTAGGTTAATTTAACCTGATTAACCTAATTAAATTAACCCACTTAAAACTAAGATAACAGTGTTGATAATGTAGGCTATAATTAAAATCCCAGCTCTTGCAATTTGAAAACTGCACTTTTTCAAGTTGCAATTTCAGTCTAAAAACGTTTTCTTTCATCATATCACTACGTGTGTGTGTGTGGGTGTGTGTGTGTACCTGTAACTGCTGCAGCTCTCTGACATTGTTGTCACACTGCAGCTGCAGGTCTCTCATCTGGTTCTCATGTTTCTGATGCTGATGGAGCCTTTCGTTCTTCTGCCTTTTCTCCTCCTGTGCTGCAAACTGCTCAACACACACAGAAACATACACTCTGAATAAGCACACTAACAAAAATACATTTTGTGTTTTCACATTCACTTGCTATTAAGTCTACAAATCCAGTGTGCCACTTCAGGGGAAACACTGCATTAATGGTCACTGAATAAGCCCCTCCCAACCAGAACATAAAAAAGCCTGGATTTGCCCTCTGACCTGTTTGATCTTCTCCCTCTCTTGTTCGGGAGAGACGCCGGCAGAGGTGATGCGCAGGCTCTTTTTGAACATGGCCATACGTGTCTTGGCATCACTGCGTTGGATCTTGGGTAGTCTGGTCCTCTCCTGAGTCTGCTTTGATTTCAGCTCCTCGACCAGACGCTGGTTATACCTATGCATCTGTTCCATTTCCTGTAGAGAAACACACACACACGCTGTATGTAAGTGTATATTACACCGTTTTTTACAATTCAGTAATGTGATAAGTAATAAAAAAAGTAGGTATTATTTAGGTGGTGAATCATTCTCAGCACTGCAGTAACTCTGACGTGGTGGTGGTGTGTTAGTGTATGTTGTGCGGGTACTAGTGGATCAGACACAACACTGCTGCTGGAGTTTGCTGGAGGGTGAAAGGGGGCTAAGAAGTATGCACAGCAACAGACGGACTGCAGTCTGTATTTGTAGAACTATAAAGTGCACCTATATGGTGAGAGAAGCTGATAAAATGGACAACAGATGTAAAAACAAGGAAGTGTACTTCATAAAGTGGCCAGTTTATGTTTATATATACTACTTTTCAAAATAAGAAATCTTGTTACTTTTTACTGTATGTTTATTTGCATTTATTATAATGATATATGGGGTTTTACAGGACACACTCACTGCCAAGATAAATAGTTTTACAGACTTTTGCACAGTACTGTATAAATATCTTAGATCAGATATCGTCAAGTAAAAGCTCCATTTTTCTGCTATACAGATTGAAGCGCCTGATTCGTGAAAAACAATCCAACCTTCTCGTGTCTCTTGAGCAGCTGGTGTCTCTGTAAGAAGTACTGATCTTTAAGCTGCTGTTTGTGGAGCTGGTGCTTCTCCTGTAGATGGCGCTCTTCCAGCTCCCACATGGCTGCCTCCCGGGCTGTAGGTAAATCAGGAAAAGGAGTTAGACTGAAAAACAGACGTGCAATCTGGGGACAAGCGCTATGAGAATTTGGCCCTGATCTCAAAAATGATTGAGACCATATAAATAAATTAAAGGACTATGAGTCAGACATAAAGCACAAAGTACAGGAACAACAAAGTCTTGAATTTATTATAGGTATGAGAGCTGGTCATGTACATCAACACTGCTTAGTTACACTGTTGGAAACATAATGTCGCTGTCACAAGAAAACCTCAACGTCATGTTTTTATTTTTGGTTGTTTTGAAAAACACAGGCACTTTACAGACTGTAATCATTTGATGATGACTGGACCAAAAGAAATGGTCCAAAATTACTTTTAGGTAATGTTTACACTAACACATGATAACTTGATTCAGAATGCTTTTTTCTTTCTCCTGTAAAGTTATCATGTCAAAAGTTTTCTTACAGCAAAAAAATTTGCTTTCTCCCCTACTAGACGTTTCCATGGTCATGTGATGACTCTTCACTGCTGCTATAGTAACCATTCTCTAACAATCTGAGGTGGCTCCAATGCAGTGGAAGTCAAGGTAATGCATTAACCTCCTGGATCAGAAGGAAGTGGCTGTAGTTCTGATCTGCAGTGCGTGGGAGCCACATGACAGGCATAAGCCGCTGCGGTATGGCTTTATCACGCTGAGAAACAGCCCAGGTCTAAAGCCTGCCAGCTTTCTCCATAAATACCTCTCCACCCTGTTGTGCTAAAGGTTGCAGGGCTTTCTGTACTCTGTTTCCGATTAGTGAGAAGAAAAGTGGTGAGAAACGAAATCCTAGTGAGTAAACATTATGGTAGTTTATGGGTTTTACTTTTAAGACAGTAGCTAACAAAAAATGCCCCATAATAAACATGAATAGAAGATGAAAACATATAGGATTGTATCTGAAGTGACACCATGAGTGTTAAGCTAATGGGTGACAGGTATCTATGTAGTTAGCTAAGTGTTTTAACTACCTTGCCATGTGCTATCTAGCCTTGCCAACAGCTAGACTATGTTCACTGCATATGGGGTATACAGGGTGCACACACAGTTTGTGGCATAAAGTATTTACAGCTATTTGTAAAGTTTGGGCACCCCTGGTCAAATGACGTTTTGTTGATTTTCTACGTGACATTAAGTTATGCATCCTCTAAGTGAAATTACTCAATTCTGCACACTTTAGTGCTCAATTATTGTTTATTGGCTGAATTTATTATTTTGCAAAAAATAAAACATAAAATGTCTCAGCATTCAAATAAAAATTGTGCACAAAAACATTACAGAAAAATGTCATACTTTAGTGTGTTAAGTATGTTAACTTATTTTCCATTGGAAAATAAAAAAAGCATGGACTTTGACTGTTGGTGTTCAAACTTTTGCATATGACTGTAGTACATAATTAGCAGTGCTTGTCTAGACTGAAGAAACATGGACGTTTTGCAGAATATGTGATCAATGCAATGTTCATGCCACTTTTCCAGGAAAGAATGACTTAGAGATTAGTGAAATCTGCATTAGTTCAATCACCAAAAGAGGCCATGGTGAGCAAAAGGACTTTGGAGCTGAGCTTTTAAGGCCTCACCTCGAAGCAGCTGCTGTTTGTGGTTGAGGCAGTCTCTCTCCACAGTGGCGAGCTCATGCTTGTGTTGCTGGATGATCTTCTTTAGAGCACTGTCCAGTTCCTGCTGCTGCTTCTGTAAAAACTCCTGCTCCTAGAGGCAGAGAGAGAGAGAATGAATGAATGAATGATGAGAGACGTGCGACGGACTCAGTTATGCAAGAGAATGAAGGAAAAGCTAGAAAGTGCCTGTCAAAAGTTTGAAGACAACAGGCCATGTTCGATTTTCAGTTATTTTTAATTAAGTAAAAAATTATCAGCGAACGTTTGGTTTACATAAAATAGCTATTTGCTAAGACTTTTAATATATTTATCATGTTTATCTAACTATTGTTCTTGATATGAAGAGCAGGCTTTGCCTAAATAATAACTGGTCAATTTTCTTTAGAAACTATTGTTTAAAACATATACTGAAAATCTGTTGCACCAAATGTTGTTTAAACAGCTGAAAGGTTTGAGTGCTATTGCGTGCTGACACCACAAGGGGCTAAAATGTCTAGGGTTTGGCATTATTCCCAAGAGAGTATGGTCACAAATACTGATCCAAATATTTAATAGTAAATAATAGTATTTTCTTTTAAATTCACCTGCTTGGTCTTTAATAAAACTATTTATATTGTTATCATGATAAACGATGTCACCTATATGCACAATATGCTTTAATGTTTCATTGACATACAAAATGTTTAATGTTACGTTACAAACAGAGCATAATTAGTGCCACTAAATGTGCCTCTACTACTGCATTCTGTCTGTAAAAAAGTAAGTATTGTGATGTATATTGTGTATCACTAAAATGTCATTAAAAGGGATTGTGATTTTATATTTGTGCCATATTGCCACACCAAGTCTTCAACATGGTAAGTTATTGCAAAACAAAGAAAACATACTCATTTGTATTAAAAACTCTTTGTAAATCTAGTTATCTCCAAACCTTTGACAGACAGTGTAAGCCCATTGTACACAGAGCTCAAGTTCCTCAACAAACAAACAGAAGTGTTGAATCTGCAGTGTCAAATCTGTTGGAAACACTGAGAACACAATATTCCCATTTATCTGAATTAATTCGGCACAGATGTTCACTTTCAACAGAAAATGTTAGAATATTTGTTTGTTGGGAACATCTGCTCATTGAACCTTTAGACACAAGTTTGCCATAGTGCCAAACCCAAGCAAGAACTGCAGAGAGATTAGCATGCTCCTGTGTGCCATTCCTGCGTCCTCAAATCCACCAGAGTCTGAGAGGACACAGCCTGGCTATCTATCAGACTACAACAGTCCAGATAAGCCTACAGTGGCTTAATTTGGCGGTTTGAGGCTATCAGTGCTGCCTCTGAATGCCATTAGTTCCCAAAATAAGGGAGTGACTGACTAAATACATCACACATGAATGGAAAAGAGACAGAGCAGATCCTGATTTGAGATGAGGTACTGGTTGAAAATGAGCTTTATAAGAAAAGGGCGAAAGGCTGGATTCAGATCAGAGTTTCACAGCACATGGTTAGTTAGCACTTACGTCCTGCATTGGGGCGTTGAACAGTGTGCAGGAAGAGAGCTGAAAAGACTGTATCATTACATGAGCTACGCCCTGTGGGGTTAGAATACAGCTAAAAGCAGTGGCAATGAGGTAAACTTTGAAATATACACAAACGTACACTGCAGACAAAAACACATGCAGGGATTAGAGACAGTTTACAGAGAATGAACACAAGAAAAGTAAAATCAACAATATTTTTTTCCACAGAATGTAACCAAGAACAGAAACCAAGTAACTTTCAAATTTCAGAGTGAAAACTTCATGTTAAAATGCAGTAAACAAGTTAGTAATGTTATTATTTCTTTATTTTTTTTTCATTAAACTTTTATTGAATAAATGCAACAGTGACTGATTTGGTCATATTTAAATGAGCTTAATATCCACACAGTGTGCTCTATCAGAAGAAGAATATTAACTTATTTTAACTCCTTCTAGTCAGTTATCTACTGGAGGGGCACAAAACAGAAAAAAACATTTCTGCTCAGAACAAACCCCAATTGTTCCCAATCCCCGATTGCATGAAGTATGAGGTTTGGATGAAGTTTCACTTGATTTTGTGCTTGTTTTTATTTACATTTTGTATCTTCTGACTTTTGTTTCCATTCAGTGTATCATTTCTAATCCCTGCACACAAGCATGTTCTTGAGATGAACAGATGATACAGGAGGAGTGAGCATGGATATGCGTGACAGTTTTAAAAATCTCAAGTGGTCAGCAGTGAGAAAAAACAGATCAAATATGCATTCGAAAGATTTGAGAAGGACAGTGGTAGGAAGAAAAAAAGATGCTGTGTTCACTCCAAACACAAGAAAAAAATTTCATTTACATCCAAGACTACAGGCATGTTCTTACTCACAATAATAAATCAATGAATAATCAAAAAAAAGTGCACTCCCAAATTCACACCTAATCAAAGTGTTCACAAAAACTCAAATCTGTGCTGTTGAGTTGACAAAAAATTGATTGCCTTGTTACCTCCTCATGTGGTGCTTGTATTAGATCCTCTCTAAAGCGTTTCGCGATTGCTTTCCGTACGTGGTTGGGGGAAATTCCCATCTCCTGAGCGGCCGAAAAATGTTGAAAAAGTGACAGAGAGGACATAAAAAGAAAAAAGTGCTGTGTGGATTTGTATCAGTGATGTGGTGTTTAAAGATGGTCAGAGAATTCAGGCAGGTTAAGCCTGAATTAAACATGGTTACATAAAGAGCTACAGGTGAGGTTGCCATGTTTGTGCCAGGAGATTCCACTGGCCAAAGGTCACGAGTGCTTAAAGAAACACTAATGCTAACAAGGTTAAAAGGTACTGAAAGTGGTAGGAAACAAGTACATCCATCATCTTACAGTATATTTGGCTATTCATGTGTTTATTTAAGTCTGCATTGAATAGTTACGATGTATCCGAATGATGTTTTTGCCAGATGTATTGCCCAAAACAGGACAGACAAGTATAGCTTTAACCACCTTAGTAAAAAATACTAAAGCAATATGTCAGTACAATGAAGAGCAATTAATGTGACTTGGCAGTCCAAATGTAGAAATTTTCCAAGCAACCATCAGGTCCAACTAATTGACTGATACTGGCATTCCAGCATTGGTGTGATAGCACTGGAGGCACTGGCATTTACACAAACTGTTCTAAAACTGTCAAAAAAAATCAGCTCCATCAACCCTATTCTCCCTCTCCCTTCCTCCCTGTCTCTCATACCTCTTTCTTGCGATTCTTCAGCATGTTCTGGTACTTGGAGAGCTCCTTGTCCTGCTCGCCTTTGATCCTCTTGGCCTCATCACGGAGGTGGTTGGTGTGTTCCTGCTCCAGTCTCTCGATAATCTGCTTTTGCTGCCGCTCTAGGTTCTCCACCTCAGTATCGTACTGACGTTTTTTGCTCTGAGAAACAAAGCAAGTGGCTTCAATTTTCCTATTTTTTCTTCTATTTTTCTTGCATGACACATCAATTGCCAGAAACATCAAAATATGCCATTGCCTTAAAATAATATACTGCCTTAAAATACCAAATAATCTGATTGATGTTGACCTATAAATGTATGGTATCATGTAAAAGAAAAATACAAGATGTAAAAGTATAACTTTAAAAGAGATGAAGCAAAATGCTATAATTTTCTTTTTTTTTTCTCTTTCTTCTATTTTTCCTGCATGACATATAAAGAAACATCACAACAAGCTATGGCCTTAAAATAATATGCTGCCTTAAAAGACTTAATAATCTGACTGAAGTTTATGGTGTCATGGGGAAGAAAAAAAAAGTTATTTTAAAGATATAAAGGTACAAGTCAAAATTTTCTAAAAAATTCAAAACATAAATGTATTTTGTACATAAATATAAATACAATAGATGACTAATGCTGACTGGCCCCCACTGGCTTATTTTCACTGTTAGCCATATAGTACTTTTAGGTGAAGTATTCCTTTACTGTTCTTATAGAAGTTCTTTGTGCATTTTAGCAGGTACTGACCGTGGTTTCTTGCTCAAACCGTCTGTAGATCTGCTCCCTTTGCTGCTGCAATTTGTTGCTGAGCTGCTGCTGGGCTCTCTGCTCCTCCTTCTGCAGTAGCCTCAACTCCCTGAGCTCTTGGCGTCTGTCAAGGACACATACAAACATGGGTCAGACCAATGTGACCAACACGCTTCACAGATTTTAAATGCATTTATTATGGAAAAACAGGTTTACAAAGTAGTTTGGGAATGTGTGAAACTATCCTTGGATTAACACCAAAAGGATGTCCTAGACCAGCTAACAGGATATACTCCAACACATGTACAGGAAGTGCCATTTAACAGCAGCTGGCTTCCTGTCTTTGCTGTACCATGCTAAGGTTGTCAAATTTCAGTACTTGTTTACTCTAGTGCTGGGCTTGGATTTGCATCGCTCAAATCACTCGTTCCTGTAAATGCCTAATATATTGTCACTGTCAGAACAAAACATTATATCTATATTTATATATATAATAATACAATAAAAATGAAACAAAATCTTCTAGTATTAACTTCCATACAAAGTTAAGGATGTTTTTACTTCTCCTGAAAAGTTTTTGTCGCAACAGCAACGATATTCATTAGAAGTATTTTAACTTGAAAATGACCTGTAATTTTCAGACACATTTGTTTCAATGTACTTTAATGTAGTTGATGAAGCCACAGCACAGTTAAGCACAGTTGAGCACAGGAGCAGTTAACCTGTCCAGTGTGGGCAGGAGAGGGACAACCCATGTGTATAGAGAAATCTCACAACTAAATAAAAAAAATGATAACTATCACTTTCATAACTGATACACTCTGCAAGCCCTTTAGAAACACTTGTACGCCTACTCATTCATGCAATTGTCTAATCAGCCAATCATGCAGCAGCACTGCAGTGCAGAAAACCATGCAGATACGGGCCAGCAGCTTCAGGTAATCTTCACAACAACCATCAGATTGGGGAAAAAATGTGATCTCAGTGATTTTGACTGTGGCATGATTGTTAGTGCCAGACGGGCTGGTTTGAATAGTTCTTCACACACAACAGTCTCTAGAGTTTGCTCTTGTTGATGAAGACGTCAATGGAGAATGGCCAGACTGGTTCAAGCTGACAGAAAGGCTATGGTAACTCAGGTAACCACTCTGTACATTTGTGTTGAGAAGAAGAACATATCAAAATGCACAACACGTCGAACGTTGAGGTGAATGGGCTACAACAGCAGAAGACCACATTGGATTCCAACACTGTCAGCCAAGAACAGAAAGGCTGCAGTGAGCACAGGCTCACCAAAACTGGACAGTTGAAGACTGGAAAAATGTAGCCTAGACCAACAAATCAAATTTTCTGCTGGGGCACACAAGATGGTAGGATCAGAATTTGGCACCAACAGCAGAAATCCATGGACCCAACCTGCCTTGTGTCAACAGTCCAGCTTGGTGGAGGTGGTGTACTGGCGTGGGGAATGTTTCCTTGGCACACTTTGGGCTGTTAATACCAATCAGTCACCACTTGAATGTCACAGCCTATTTGATTACTGTTGCTTACCATGTGCATCCCCTCATGGCCACAATGCCAACTTCCAGTTAATACACCATGTCACAAAGCAAAAGTTGTCTCAAACCAGTTTCATTAACATGACAATGAGTTGTGCTCTTCAGTGGCCTCCCATTCACTCAATCTGAATCCAACAGAACACCTTTGGCTTGTGGTAAAATAAGAGATTTGCAGCATGAAAGTTCACAGCATGAAAGTAACTTGCATTACTTGCACTACAAAGAAACTTGCATGAACTGCCTGACGCAATCATGTCAACAAGGACCAGAATCCCAATGGAATGTTTCCAACATCTGAAGAATTGAGGCTGTTTTGAGAGCAAATGGAGGCCAGTATTATTATTGTGTTCCTAATGAAGTGCTTGGTGAGTGTATAAAATTAAAAGCAAAATATTAAAAAAATAATAAACTCATTCTAAATAGACAATCGAAACTAGTTCAAATAAAAGCAAGCAGTCACATGAACAATCGTGTGAATTAAATTCTTGTGGGCTACAGAAACAGCGGAGCCTTTGGACAGTCAGACGGCCAGGTCACAGCGGTGGAAAGAGCTCTTGATAAAGGTGAACACGCGACAATAAAGCCAAATAAATTTGACCTGTGGCAGTGATTTTCAGTTGTGATTAACACAGATGGAAAGCAGTTATACAGGTCTGCAGTCGGGAGCGGGATAAAACGTTTAGGTTGGGGGGTGGGAGCAGGACATATGGTGCAGATTTTCTGTGGGAGCGGGATGAAATCTTGTGGGAGCAAGACTAAACAAATTGGTCCTGCGCAGACCTCTACTGCAAAGTTTCACAAAATCTTGTAGTCCTGTTAGGCCTGCTGTTTTGTAATTGATGTGAGCTAAACATTTAATACAACATATCCTCTCAAAACATGTAAATTAGCTAATGAAACGCCATCTGTCTTAAACAAAGTGTAATAAATTCTTAACTGTAAAATTCCTGTGTCAGTGACATCAGTAATGTCAATAATGTTAAATGATCACTACAAGATTTGAAAAGGAATTTTTAGGATTTGAAAAGTGCTAGCCGCCATTTTTAACTAAGGCAGAATGCAAATCATAGTGCCGTTATTCTTATTGGTGTAGTCTGACAATATATTTAAAGTGAAGCCAGCAGTGACAAAGAGTAACATGGAAGGGAAACCTAAAGCTGAACTGTAAATAGAATCAATTGACCCTATTCAGTCTATCCAGTCATGCTAAAAATGCTAACAGCACAGTTAAGCCCTTTGGGGATTTAGCTACCTGTGCTAATTAAACAAGAGGCCTTTGACACCTACACAGTCTCTTTAAGTATTTACTGCAGGGGGCATTAAATGATCTTTTCAAGACTACACATTGGTTTGAACTCAATGGTAATCACAGGTAAATGTAAATGAGTATGCAAATTACATTAAAATGTACAAAAAACAGATTGGTCACCTTAGGAATCTCATCTCCTCATTTTTGGCATCATTGTCTGTGATTATTTTGGATGTTGTTACGCTGACTTCTACACCATCCACAATGAACTTGCGGGTCTTCTTCAGGGTCTTCTTCTGACGCTTTGTATCCTGTAGAAGTAATGAATTACAGGAGGGATGATATGAGACTTTTTTATCATGATATCAGTGACCAAATCATCATATTTCATGGTATCCTTTATTGTAAAATGTACTGAATATGTTTAAAAAGCACTTATACAATGATAAAGTATTTTCTATAACACCAAAAATAACTTCCACTTAGATAAATAGGAAAGTATCACCAGCACTGCATGCAGTGTAGTGGTCTGTTGTGTGCTTTGCAGAGAAACTGCAGCAGTAGTTCTGCTACTTTTAAAATTTTGCACAATATGATCCCATTCTAGCAAAACATAACTTGTAGTACTGTGCCTGCATCTCAGTGCTGCCACCTAACCAAGAGGTTTCTGGAAACAACACCAACCATTCGCATTTACCTTTTCTTTAAAAAAAAACAAAACAAAACAAAAAAAAAAACACTCACCTGCATGGATCCTGACTCCTTAGATTTGCTTATGAAGCTGGAAATGGACAGGTTTAGATCTATGCTGCTGTTATCTGCTGCAGATCTGATCCTGGAGTCTGAATTTTTCTTCTCAAACCTTCGCTTTGTAGAGGTCTTATTCTCTTTCTCCATGGCAGACTTCTCATCTGCTGTCTCTTTTTTATCTTCTTCTTTCACCGGAGAGCTGGGAGGTGTAGGTTTTTCCTCAGGCTCTACAACAGTGGCATCCTCAGTGACTGGTTTATCCCCTTCCACAGTGGAAGTCTCAGATACAGGTTCTCTCTTCACCACCTCATCATTATCGTGGATTACAGACACATTTTCAGCTGTGTCTACCTCCTTCTCTCCTTGTGTTGGCTGTGCATTCGCTTTCATCTCCTCTTCTGACTTCACTACATCTAGCTGAGTAAAAGGTACCTCTGGTTTGAGAACCACATCAGGAGTTTCTACACGGTTAACCTCTGCCTCTGTAGGTTCCTGAGGTTTCGCGTTAGAAATTGGTACCTCTGCAGGTTCTTTAGCAGCAGGTTCTAGTGGTTCCTTGATGTGATTCACCTCTACTTGGGGAGTTTTTGGTTCAGCTATCTTGTCATCTTTAACCTCCACGTTTTGCAACTTGGGAATCTCTTCAATCTTCTCTGGAACAGCTTCCAGTGTAGAAGGCGACTGGGAAAGCTTCTCATCTTCAGAGCTTCCAACACTGGCATCAGATGAAGCACGCTTGTGTCCAGGCAGCAGCTATAAAAGGAAGCGGGCATTTAAAATACTGATTGATCCTCCACAAAGCAATCATCACGAGAATCACCCCATAGTGTCTCTTTGAGGTTCTATGGCTACATTCCCATTACCAGGCTGAAGTGGTAGGTTTGTTGCCTTAATACAACACAAATGTGTTTTTACAGAGCTGGGTGGACACACAAAACTGATCTTTTCTAACCAGATCTGAGCCACTTTCATATGTGGTCCTAAACCAGATACATATACAATTTGTGGCCATGTGACCTCGAGGAGAACAAACAGATCGGAATTAATTCAGAATCAATGTGGCAGCAGTGCCAGTAACAGCAATGCATCTAAATGTGATTCATCAAGTAAGAAAGATCAAATCTGAGCTAAAAACTGGAACTGAACATTGAGGCTTGTAATGTGAACAAAGCCAAAATGCAGCAAAACTGGCCCATTTCCCAAATCCACTGGAGGGTGATTAATACTGGTGAATGGCGGAAATGGGTTTAAAGTGATGCTTGTCAAAAGAAGATTCAATTTGCATTTCAAAACACTAAGAAATTCACCTGTATATAAATGCAGTGGGAGTAAAACTGCTACATGTATTGCTGGAACATTGAATTTTCAAATGAATAGTGGTATTGAGAGTTTTTAGAATAAAAACTTCCATCTTAACTCTGCAACACCAGGGTGTGGCAAAAACATGGCACCAGTTACCAGTTCATTGGCTGTACTTCCAACATCAGAACAATACTAATAATTTATCTGGATAAAATATAAGCCACTGATTTATCATTTACCCCCAATGCCCTGTACTACAGTGATTTTTGAAATAGGGATACAGTTATAAAAATAAGTGCCTCAGACCAAAAGCAGCTTAAAAGTGTATATAACTATGTAAAGAGAATATATTCATTCATAAAAGTCCCAAGACTGTCTCACCAGCTGTCCTTCATGATCATCCTCCTCTTCTTCCTCTTTCGATTCCTCTATCTCTTCGGTGACTTCAGCCTTGGCCTCTGCTATTAGCTCTCTTACTGGTTTGCTATCAGTAACACTGCTCACAAACGGGTGCTATAAAGTCAAAAAAGAAAACATTTATTACCGACAGCAAAGAGAATTTAGGAATACCCTTTTAAATCAATAAATATACTTAAATATACTAAATTAGCCTTTCTTTATGTATCTGAATGGTAATACATTCAGAACATTGTATGTAAAGTTTTTAGCCTTATCAGATTAGAATTTAATTACACTGGAATTTGAAGAAAAACACAAATTTATATAATGTAGTTATTATACAATTGTTAATTAAATACAGTAGATCTGAATTACTGTAATGCAACCTCTATATTTCTCTGTAAATTTCTACACAGCATTTACATTCTCTTCTAGAATACAGTTTTATACATAAAACCTACATGCCATGCAATCACACCAAATACATCAGTGTAACCAAAAGTTTCAGTACCATTCAGCATCTAACCTTCTACAGTCTTACCTTCTTAGCCACCTGCTGCACATAGTCAATAGCTGGCCTGAGAATGTGCAACTTCTTTGATATTATGACCTTCATTGGAGGAAAACTCCGATCTTGTATTTTCAGCCCCATTTTCCTGGACCAGACAGTTCGCCTCTGTTAAACAGAGTTCCTGTAGCACGCTGTGTGAAGCGTGGGAGTGTGGCGAAGCGTGTGTGAGACAACTATGCTAGGCTCCTTAACTCCTTGGTTAAGAAAAGCTCCTTTGCTGACGTAGGAACCCAAGGATGAACTCGGGCACAATGAGTGCCAGACAAATGAACAGCTAAATGAGCAGATGTCTATTCAGTGTGGCCACCTGGTCCAGCAGGTGGTTAGGAAGCTGAATGAGAAGTTGGTAGAACTCACTCACTGATCTGAGACCAGTTTTATTGTCGTGCTTGCTTCTTCAGGCTGCTGAGAAACGCAATAAGGTGCTGCCGCTATGCGCAAAAACAGATCTAAGACTAGTTTTGGGGTTGTTCCATCAGTGACACAGGGTGGAAGAATGTTTAGAATGACGAGCAAGATGTAGACTCACCTGAAGGAGCTGGGCTGCACTCCATCTGTTGTCCACATTCTTGTCCAGAGCACGTTTCAGGAAGTCACTGAACTCTGGAGACCTGGGCAAACATGGGTCAGAGATGAGTCTAAAAGTTCTAAGTTGAATTACAGAAGAATATGCATGTGCAACTGCAATCCATCGTTACATAGTACTCTCGGAGACCACCTTTTGGTTTACGCTCCAGTCCAAAGTGCCATTATGTACAAGTACATTTTTCAGGGTCCACAAAAAAGGTAACATATATTTAATAGAAAATTACACAACAACCTCCAACAGTACATAGAATATCAAACATCAGTATTTAGTTTGTCCACTTTTTACTTTGCTCACTTCAGCCATTTTAACTGACACCAACCGCAGTAATCTCCCAACAAGACCTTTTACCAAACATCTCTCCAATATTATGTTTCCCTTCAAAGACACTAACATTCACACAAGAAACTACCCAAAAACACCTTAGCTACACCTTACAAAATGTCTTTCTCATGTGTATCTAAAATCACTAAGGGAGATATTTCTGAGGAGAAAAACCACTTGCATATGGAAGGGTAGTTTCCAAAACTGGAGTTCAAAAAAATGATTAAAAGATATAGAGCAAATGAGACTCCTAACAATCACGGCAAACTGGGTAGACCACCAAATCTGTCACTAACTGATACTAGACTTCTGAGGTGTGGAATAAGGTTTTATGGATTAATTAGTCTAAACTTGTAATTGGTATAACTTGGATCATAAGAGTCAGAAAGTGCAAACAAGAAGCAGAAAATGCAACCATCCTCTAAGGCTGAAAAACATCCTGAAAACTGATAGCGAGTCCAAATAATACTGAGAAAAGATACATTTTCTGCAGTATAAAAGAGTCAAAAAACTTGAAATTCAAACAGAAAGATAGTAAAACAGATAGGTTGTTTCTTTTCCTGCTATTGATCTATTTGTTATTTTTTATTTTGAGCAACCTGGTGAAGCCAGACAAATTTCTAGAAATGCACAATAAAGTTTACTCTGTTATGTTCTATTCTAAAATATAATGAAAAAAGTGTTTTTCAGAATTACAGGAGGTGGGGATTGAGAGCACCCTCAGATGTATCCCCCAACACAGACTTAAGAAAATGTGAATGTGAATTAAATAAACTATGCATACAACTGCTGATTCATCATTACATAAGAAAGCTATTATAATGGAGACTTATTTTGGTTCAGCAATATAACTAACTAAATACAACATCACAAGTTCAGTCAACACAGATAGCATCTCTCATTCGCACCCTGATGACATCTGCACCAGTAACTCTCAGTTAGAGCCAAGTTCTCAAAGGTTCCTGAATAATCTCCACCCAGTCAACTTTCACCGAGATAACAGTACTATAAGGCCCGGTAGCACAGTTTGGAGAAGGGCAAAAACAAGTCTTTATCTCACTCTCCAAGCAATGTGATGTCCATGAAGAGAACAAATACAACGCAAACATATCACTGGCCCCACTGAGACACAAAAAGACAATAATCAAACTACTACTAATGATACTTTTTTCCGGTTATGTCTGTCTTTCTTTGTCTCACCATTTCGAAGGCTGCATGAGAGTAGGTGGGTCAGCCTTGGCGATCTTCAGCAGCACCCGCATAGGGTTCATCTCATGGTTAGGTGGCTCTATCTGAGCCAGCTCTATCAGTGTGACGCCCAGGGACCAGATATCAGCCTTGTAGTCATACGGCCTGTCCTTCGATGTCTCGCACATCACCACCTCCGGAGCCATCCTGAGTGTGTGTGTGGCAGAAAGAATGATGGAAAACAGTGACAGTGTTTGATAAGTATGTAGTTTATATAAAAAAGACTGATTTTTGTTGTTGCCATTTGTCTCACCAGTATGGAGTCCCAATGAAGGAATCTCTTCTCTGAAGAGTTTTAGTGTTTTTGGCTGACACTCCAAAATCCGCTGTAAGAAAGAAAGAAAAAAAAAGACACATGAGCTTTAGCAGTTGTGTTTCAAAGGCACATTAATTGTGGCCTAAATCAATTCATCAACTGAAAATAGACTGAGATTTGATTTTGTCCATGCTGTTATGAACAAGGTCATAGTTGCAGTTAAAGACTCTGGGAAAGAGTCTTAGACAAAGATCAAGTTTATTACTGGACTACCTTACAAGGCAATAAAACATTACTGTTTACACCCACAACATTCATGCCAGTTGAACAATAACTTGATCCCAGCCGTAGGTTTCATGCGTTGTCAAGAATCCCTAGCAAATGAGCTGCTGAGGTGATTCTGGTTTAGTATTTATATTAAGCTTTAGAACTTGCAGTTGGCCTTGGCGATAACAAACGCATGGTCTACTCTGGCATTAATTATTACTTACTTGTAGCTCATTGAACTAATTGAAGAAATTCAGTTGAAAGTGGATTCTAAACTTTCAGTTGATACCACACCTGGGTTTGTAATTAGAACAAGAACTATTTTATTGCTATTTTCATGCATCTTTTAGTTACAATATTTCACATTTTTCTAATTTAATAAAACCTGATTATACGTTAAGGTTCAGCTCATGAGGTGAACTTACTGAAAAGAAACTGCACTAACTGAAATGGAGCTGACGTGAGGCCTGGTAGTTGGAAAACAAACCTAAACCAGGACTATATCCACTGGCTGTAAATTGGTTTGCAGAAAAGGGCATCATGCAGCTGGGCAATGACATCACAGGTTTATTTAGACCTCTCTAAACCTCCTGGTGGGTTCCTAACTTTGACAGGCAAATGGGGTCTTCCCTCCCTCATTCTCTCTCTTTCTCTCTCTCTCTCTCTCTCTCTCTCTCTCTGTTATGTCATTTAACCTGCTTATTAGCACATCCAGCCACTGCTGACAGTGACTCACTCTTTACGTGCTGCCTGCACCAGCACTAAACTGGAAGCCTATGTGGGGTTAGTCGTTGATAGCACAATAACAGAATGAGCAAACGTAAGCAGCATTTTGCTTCCGCTATTCATTTCAGCTGGGTATGAGTCACTCCCTCTATATAACCTGCAGCCCTACTGTGGTGGATTGTTTGTGCATGTCAATAATAATCGGTATCGACAGCAGTGACAAGAGTAATAACCATAGCATTGGTACATAAACCACATACACACAATAGAACCTTTTAGCTACATGCTGATTGTTTTGCTTATCTAAATTAAAGTCTATGTAAACACAAGTGTGCTTAGAAGCTTTCAGTTGCACTAAAGCACTACTGACTGGTATGTGGGATGTGGGAATGTGGGATTTACTGTATGTGGGAAACAGTATTTCAGTGCAATGTAAACTTTTAGAGGCCTGAACTAAAATTGCAAAAAGATTATAGTTGATTCTGGCAACCTTTGGAAAGACAAAATGTTTGAATTACATTTGTTTTTTCACCATTAGCTGTTCAGATTTAATGGTTCTGCCCAGGATTGTTATAGTAAACTTAAACAACGCAAGCACAAAACAATGTTCTACTTGACTCGAGGCTGAAGGGGCCCAACAAAAAAAATAATTTCTTACAAACATCAGTCTAGATTTAGTTTTGAAGGATTATATATATTGCCTACGTGACCTATGCCTATGTTAATTTCATACATATGCACACATTTTCTCTTGCGCTCTCTATCATTCTCTCTTGTAACATTATAATCTAAAGCTGCGTCCACAATAGTTCCGGAGTTTGAAGAGTGGGCGAACGTACTTTTGAATGAAACTGGAGATGAAATTCAACAGTACAGCAGTCACAATCACACCATGGATGATGAGAGGGGTTTGTTGGGCTGGTGAAAAGGTCACAGCAGATCATTCTCCTTGCTTATTAATCTCTCCTGAATTGTCTTAAGCATTTCGGCAGCAGCAGCGAGAAGAACTTTAGATCAGAGTAGGGTGAATACTGCTCTCTGCTAGGTACTACCAGCAACTCAAGAAAAATATATGGATAATCAATACTCTTCAGATATTACAAATGTCTAAAATACCAGTTTATTCCAGTATAACATTTTGTATTCATCAATTCAAGCAAAGCAATCCACTATAAATAACCCAACCCGACAAGTACCTACAACTTTCAGACCAGACCTGGTTAGGTCCAAGTGTGTGTGTAGCTTCAGATTTAACAGTAACACTCAGCACTGGATAAGGTTTGGGTTCCAATTTCATGTCCATACAGACCTCTAACTCACACACACACAAACATTATCATCCATTATGCTTATTCAGCACGGTTTCTGTTGGGCAGACAATTAAAGCTATGTTTGCATTAAAGGGTAGAGAGTTTTTTAGTTTTAGAGTTTTTCAGACCACCGTAAACACTGGGATCATAGTTGATTAATTTTTATTTCAGTTTCACTTCACTGCATATGAGCATATCAATGTCATCTTCATCCAGTGTGGGAGGGGAGTCAACAGCGGCTATCTGTATGATAAAATGTGGTAAAACGGGTTCTTTCTGGACAAAGGTGTCGTCACACTAACGACAGATATCAGTCACTTACAAACATATGTTAACCTTCAAGGCCAAAAGATTATTTCCGAGCAAAGTAGAGTAATTGAGCAATAACACCTATATGGTGGATACAGCACAAAAAAAATCATTAAAATGGCTCCAAGCTTGGCCCGGGCCAAAGAAGGAGTGAAGGTCTGTGGCACACAAAAGCTAAAGCTTCATCTTTACCAAATGAAAGAAAATAATAATAGTGTAGTTCAGTAAAAGTAAAGGTTGTTGTTTATTGTCATCTTTCAGTTGGCCACGACTGTAGCCTGATAGTATGAGACCTGAGACATGACAGTGTTGTCCCTGAGACCTGAAACTAGTATGTCTGATGTCTGAAACTTGATGCTGTACTGTACTGAAACCAATTAAACAGGACTAATTATGTTTTCTTTTTAGTAAAACTTAACATGGGTGGCTTTTTGTATATGTATGATACTGATCTGCAGCTTTACCAGAGCAGCTCAACAGCTGTTTTAGTTGTATTGGATTTGTATATTTGCTTTTAGTATATATTTGAAGAATTTTCCCCCATTGAAAAGTCTGGACTTTTTCAACATATTCTGAGATACAGATACCAAGTCTTCATTCAAATAGTGTTGACAGATAAAGGTGATATAACAAGTGACACCTAGAGTTAACATTTTTGTCTTTCTTTGTATAATTGAAATAAACAGTTATGCACTTTTTTTTACACAGAAAAAGTAAATACACCTCAACATACATGAAATCAGGTGCACTTGATCAGGTACTAATGATTAGAACATTGTTAGAGAATTTCTCGAGGAATTTGTCGTAAGTAAACCTTATATCTGATATCTGGTCTGGTTTGTTCTGTTATTGATGTGTGTGGTATCATCATGTCTAAATCAAAAGAGCTCTTTGAGGCCCTCAGAAGGAAAGTTGTAGATGGCTTTGAGTGTGGGAAGGGGTTTAAGGTGATTTCCAAAATACTGGAAATCAATCATGCTCTCTTGCTCATATAAGGAAGTGCACAAACCCACATCCACTCAAATACACTCATACATACCGAGCTTGACCTCCCCATCCAGTGTGAGCAGTATATTTCCAGCCTTCAGATCTCGGTGGATGATCTTGCTTTCATGCAGGTACAGCAGGGCCTCCAGAGTCTGCCTACACACCACCCTGATCTGTGGCTCAGTCAGAGGCCTCTCCAGCTCTACACACACACACACACACACACACACACACACACACACACACACACACACACACACAAAGACATGCCTTACACTTTAACATTACCATAAATTATGGCTGCACATTATGGAGAAAGTATATTACTGCTACAAAGTATATTACTGCTACATATTGTGGTAGCAGTAAAACACTGGTCAATCATGTGACATACTGCTTCAAAGTGACTGCATTATTTTAACCAAAATAATTTACTTTTATTGAATTGCATAAATACTTTGGTTCAACAAAACACCCACAGAAACACTCATCTGTAAATTTGTTTGGCCGGGATGCTCACAGTACACAATTAAAAAACAGTGATTGGTTAGAGGGTCTTCTGCGGGGTAAGTATTGCAAAGACTAATATCGCAATAATGATTAAAAACTTGGGTTTTTTGTTTTTGAAAGTGAAAAATGTCACAGTAGTGTGTTTTGTATATGATTAGGGTGGCATACTGCTCAAAAAGATTGGCCAAAATACTGCACACTTTGCATGCATGCACGAAGTGAAATATTTCTTTGATGCTTTTGTTACAGACAAGTTTTCAGTTTTTGTGAGAGAAAAACGTAACAAGAGTGTATATTTGTACATGCACTGAGAAAGAAAAAACTGTTGGTCATTCGTGCTTAGAAGATCACACAACACTTGATCCTCAAGTATCTGTCAATACAGACCAATGCTGATCCTACTCAATAGATGCCTCTAAATTCTGATCACTCCATTAAATATTTTATTTTGGTAATAATAATGTTCTCCATCATAAATAAAACATACTAAGTTTGAAAGAATGGAAAATACTGGTTGGATAAGCAATGCCCCAGGTTTTGAGTGTGAAATTGCTGTGTGTGTGTCTGTCTGTGTGCATATGTGTTTTTACTCACCCAGCATCACAGCATCCACAGCCCCTCCAGCACAAAACTCAATAAGAATCTGCAGACAAAAGAGGCACATTGCTCATATCATTTACTATAACTGAAAACCACACTAACGCCTACTTTATTACTGATTACATTTAATTCCACACAATGAATTGACCGCTACAGCTCCCAAGGGCTTAAACTATCTAGTATCAGCCTGGCATGATATCAGCACTATGAAATTATAATTATGATTCACACTTCAGATCACCTGGTCCTCTTTTCATTCAGACTCGTTTGAAGGATTTGGAGCTTATTCATAAACAGACCAAAAGGAAACAGATGGTGCAAAGCTGAAACTAACAAACATTTCAAGCAGATAGAGCCTCATTCATTCATTCTGTTTACTGTAATGTGACTGTGCCACATATGCCAGAATCAGGATCCTACACACATGCATCTTCCTAGATCATCAGGTTTAATTTAAAATAGCCTGAACTTAAATGCTACTTTAAAGTTGACTGATTTTCTTAATCAGTTTTTGCTATTAGCTGTTCACTGTCAAATAAATAACGCTGCTGGACATTTCGCTTAGGAAATTCTTTCGCTTTTGTGTTTTCTGTTTGATTTCAATTGGGTAAGACTGTGCAGCAAGAGGCTCATGTCACAACAAAGTCTCTTTAGGTAAGCCTGAGCAACTACCAGTGAGCAACCTACATAGTTAGCATTTTGAGCATTTTACAGGCTATGCAATTCCCATCCTTATTCTACCTTATTCCTTTCTTTTTATCTATCTCATGCCATCACCTTTTTTGGGGAGGCTGGTAGCCTAGTAGTATGAGGTGAGCCAGCAACTGGAAGTTTGCGGGTTCAAAGCCCAGGACTAACTGGGTATACCTGGTTGTGCCCTTAATGCACTTGGGCAATGCACTTAATCCCCAGCTGACCCAGGCAGTGCTGCTCTGCTGGCAATGTTGTTTTTCTCCCAAACTGGGCATTGTTAGGCAGCAAAACTGTAATATTCCCTTGTAGGAGCAACAAAGTACAGAACACATTTATGCTGCTTGAATGACTTGTATGTTATAGCCACGCAGTCACAGTACTGTAAGTATATGAGAACAGCATTTGCATGTTTGGGCCCAATTCTTACTTGTTTTAGCCACTACCACTTGCAGCTCCCCACTGAACATAACTTTACCTCCATAATCTAATATCTCACCAAAGTGTAAAGCCTTTTTTGAACCCGGGTTCTGTCAGGGTTAGGGTGAACACCTTCCTGATGTTGTAGCGTTATAGCTGTGGTTTGAAATCTCTCATGATCAGAAAGTGATCTTGAGTTTTGTAACCTTTAACTCTGTATTATAGATAACAATGTTTTTAGATAACAAGGTACTTCAGGGTCTTCAGGTTGACTGAAATATGCTCAATATCTTCAATCGAGTTAACAGGCCCTATAAGCTGAACCCAAGCTAGCAATTGCTTCTGCTGCCACCCTAGACACCCTGCAGTTCATAAGTTCAGTTCAGAATAATGCAGATTTGTCTGACAACTCTAGAAGCGAAGTGAGGATCTCAGTGAACACCTTCATTAGCCGTCAGGGGCGATCTGAAGAGTGGGACGGCAGCCCATGAATGAAGGGAGTCTGGAGGATTCTTCCTGCTTCTCAATACGGCCAGTGATGTAAGAGGATTGGCCAATAGAAGACGCGACTGTATATGTGTACGTGTGCATGCTGAAGGGTTTTGCACACTGACACGGAGCCAGAACCATTTCCCTAATAGGATTAGAGTTTCCATGCAGACTGGCTGGATGGCTCAGAACAATGGATAAAGCTGGGCATCTGGAGGGTTAGAACAGGTACTAGTAGAGCTCAGGACAGCAGGGCTGGCCAATTAGGTAAAGTTGTCAGTGATGCTGGTTATGGAAAATAACAGTTAATTTATTTGTATAAATAATGCTCTATGAATGACGGCAGCACTCTTACTGGGGCAAAGTGAGAGAAAACCACAGAAGGCATACTAGTTTGATTATAAGAATCAAGCAACAGACGACAGATTAATTGATTACAGAGATAACTGTTGGTTACATTCGCACTGGACAGTCGCTGGCAAGCAGAAAACAACCTTCACTGTGAATGCTTAACAACTGAGGTCCTACAAAGCTATCTACACAATGGTCAACAAAAGAAGAGAAAAATGCCTTTGACTGAAACTGCATCACTGTCAGCAGAGAAATGTTATTTTAACAAGCATACAGTGCTTTAAATTTATGGAACAAACTTCTCTTTTTCATTTTTTTCCTGTGAAATTAATTATTATACCCAGCACTTTACTTTATTCAGCTTACTTCTACATCTTTTTACTTGTTTTAGAAAATCAACAATTATTTAACATATTATTTCCTTTCATCAAGGTTTCATTTCTTACATTTCATGCGGTTTTCATGGTATCCTAAGCCAATACAGGCAGTGTAAGATGATACTTCTTGTTAGCTACAATATCTCATGACTTCATTGCAAAACTAAAGAAGGAAATTCAGACACCAAACCCATCTCAGGTTGACTGACCCGACTTAAGGTAAGAGGAAAAGGAGATTTAGGTAACAATGTTTCCTAATGATTAAATCAGAAGCCAGCTATGATCAAAACAGTTGCAAAGTAGCTGCAAACCTTTATTCTGCCAGTTCATTTTATCCACGTTAGCATTTTATCAAACTGCTCCTTTAAGAAGTCAGCAGAGAGCCAGACGCCTGGCTCCAGCCAGATACAATGTGGTGACCTCAGCTCCTCCTTATACACAGTGCAGACACAGCAGACCCACTCAGAACAGTCACATTCATTGAGCGGTCAGCTTCGGTTGTTTCACTGTGGGTGAGATGTTTGGTTTAGCACTGTGGCTATGCTAATACAATGGTCCACACAGAGAGTTCATACAGTCGTGAAGTTACAGGCAAACTGCTGGGCTTTGGCTTCCTATCCAACAGAACAGCCCCACTATAGCCATTTTCAGCAATACAGCCTGTTAATGTTTAATTAAATCTACTGCCTGCCTGGACTAATTAACTATGCACACCAGTTCTGCAAGCAGCAGATGGTCTATTTCATTCATTTTTGCTTTACTTTCAGTTCCAGGGAAGGTGGGACTCAACTTTGACGCTAGCTCTTGAATGGAACACACATTTTTTACACAGCTTTGGGCTAACAATAAATAAATAAATAAATTATACCTTTTTGTTTCACAGATTGCCTAATATCAATTGTCAGTAATGATTTCAATAAATAATCTCTTTTCGCCATTCCATTCTCAGCACAAGCCTGCTTTGACTATATCAGGAGGAAACAGGCTGGGCTTCTGTCTGTCTGTTTCCTGGTGAACCATCGAGCCTGATAAAGATCTCCTTTATCGTGTCACACCCTTTTATCAGAGCACTATGGGAAGAGGGAGAGCAAGCAGGACCAGTAATTTAATAACCAGGTGAGCATGGCTGGTCGTTTCTGACACAAAAGTCTGTGAACAATACAGCACAAGCTCATGAATCACCCAATCTCAACCATGGTTCCAGTTGTATTTTTAAAAGCAGTTTGTGCAACAAGGCAGTTTGACAGCTACCACAGACCAACTCAAGAGTTTACTAGTAGTGCTAAGTGAATATAAAAACTGAAAGGTTGGCGAATAATGAATGTTGTATCTCATCACAAATGTAGATACTATTACAGTGTAGATTCTTCAGAAAATTCCATGTTAAACACTCTTTTTTAACAAATGCTGTGACATATTTCATACAGTTTTGTGCTAGCAAACAAAATGAGGTTTCTTTAAGAAAGACTGGAAAAGACTGAACATCCGCTGTATGCAGAGAAAACGTGTAATTTGACTGCCTGTCTAAAAGCCACAACTTGCTTCTTGCTGCAGTTGAGTGCGTGTTCAGCCACAGCCTCACATTTCCAAGTACTTTTTCTTTATTTAATCTCTGCAAAATTACACAGCACAGAACTTGAACTAACTTTTTTCTTAGTCTAATTTTAATCCTGCTTTTTAAGGTTTTTTTAAGACTGCAGACATATAAACAATTCTGAATAAAAGCACTCTGATCTAAACAGTGAAAGCCTGGCTGATATGTTTTCAAACCTCTTCTCCACAGGAAACAGGCTGGGAAAACAGTGATGTAACAGGACTTTTGTCCCCTTATCCTTTGATCAGATTCCCATTGTCTTTACAGGTACTGTCCAGTCTAACTCCTAACTAAAGCTAGCCTGTTACCAACTACATGCCCAACTAAGCCTGTCACTGGCCCACTGGCTGACTTAACTAGTGTGGTAAGTTTCATATGGCTAACATTTCCAGGCAGAACACATTCTGATAAAAAAAGGAGCATGGCAAGAGGTTAATACTCACATTAGCCAAGGGCTAACCATTTTTTCTGTTCTTTAGACCATGTTCTCAACACAGCAACAAACACACTCATCGCTGTCTGCAGACAGCATTGAAATAAAGCACTTTCTTTAAGTACATAATGAGTCAGCGTGATGTGAAGGAAGCTTTCTCGACTGAGTGATGTCCTGGTCTTTAATTATGAACATTTCTGGCTAGAAGGATCACTGCTAACATATTGCTGATAATGTGTAATGCTCACTTCACTCACACAACAATGATACTATGCCACACTGACTGATACTACAGCAAATGTATGGACCATGCTACATTATACAGCTTTCTCAAGCTCTGAAAATCAGATGAGTGAAACTGAACTCATCTAATCAAAAGCTACTAGCATGGTAGAATAGCAAGCTGCCTGATAAACATCTCACTAGCTCCTGTTCCATGAAATGTTAATGGCTCAATGGTGCTCTAGGGATTAAAGCACTAGAGAGGTTACAAGCATTTCTCAAAGCATGTGACGGAAAGGTACACGGAGCAAGAACACTTCTCCCAGTGATTATACAATCAGAGAGATGTGTGTATCCACAAATCAAGTAAAGCTTGTGTTTCTAAATCAGGTTCATTCTGTTCATTGTGGCTGTCACGATCACAAAATTTTAGCTGATGATTAATTGTTATATATACATTCACTCAATTTTTTTTTTCAATATGTTTAATTTAATAATGCGTTCTTTTGCTTGCTGCTACATTTTTGTCCTACCGTTTTTTGAGCCTTGTGGCACCAGCGCTATCACCTCAAGAGTGAGCCTACAGTTCCAGATTTAAAACCAAAGCATTCAACCAAAGTACCATTTGTGTCCATTTTTTCATGTTTTTTCCTTCCGCACGGTTCATTAACTCTTGCAGATACTCCAAAATTGGTCTATATGCACGTTCCTAGTTCATACAAAGCACTTGGCAAATGTATCAAACAAAAATCCCAGTCAAACTCTGCATGCTCACCCAGAGTTTGCTCTCATAGTAGAAGGCATCCAGGAGCTTTACTATGTGGTGATGGTCACAGGACGCCAGGATATCAATCTCCACCATATAATCCTCCAGCTCCTCCTCGGTCTTAGTGTCAATCACCTTCGCTGCAGCCAAAATGCCCGACTGCTTGTTCTGAGCCTGCAATGGGGGAAAAGTTGGGGGGGGGGATTAATTTCAGAAATTTGAGCTTTGGGCTTTTTGCTTCAGAGAGGCAGAACAACAGAACCAGAATGTGTGCCCTTGTAAATATGCAAAAGAGAGACTATTTGTCTTGGCAGAAAACATGGCAAATATTGGCAAACCTCTTGGAGAGGTAAAGTGACAAGAAATTACCCTTTACACTGATAAAAGTCCTCTATGAACCAAAGCACTGATTTAAATACTCATGACATAAGTAAATAAAAAAGACTGATAAGAGAAATATATTACACAGAACCTTTGCTGATTTTGTGTGGCTTTATTTGTTTACAAATATAGGTTTTTATGGGTTCTGGATGTTGAGTTCTATGAAAAAACTGTAACTGGTATAGAACCTTAGGGAATCTTAAAGCTTTAAATAGGTTCTCCACTCTTAGACAGTTTTTTTACAAAAATGGTTTGTTAAAGAACTGTCCACTAAACGGTTCCCTTAGGAACCAAAAGTGGTTTGTCTATGGCACTGCTCCAAAGAACCCATCTAGGCACCCTTATTTGTAAGGTTTGATGAGGTGTGACAAATCATGTTTTCACTGAAATGACACAGAAGGAATCTCTGTGTCCATAATGATTCACTCATAAACTCACTGTAGTGTTTGCTACGCAGTCAACTAATTCATGAATGACAATGAAACAGATAAAAAAACGCAGCACTGAGAATTCCAACAACACTACAACACTACATAATATACAGTCCACTACTCTGTAAAAATTTTACATGTAGATCGGCAAGTCTGCAGCATGACAATCAGACTGAGTCACACAGCCGGTGGAACTTGGTCCACCACTCAGCAGCGATCAAACTCAGTGTCACTCATGCAAATTAAGGTTTTTGCTCCACAGAGCAACGAAGGTCAGTGAACACAGTGTGACTATTACAATAATTACATCCGACTTCATCGAAGAGAGGGAAAGACGTTAGTCCACAATCTGAGAAAAAAATAAATAATAAAATAACAAAAACACTGCAGGCACCATCTAACGGGCAGTGGAATATTAACCAGGCCCCGGTGTACCTGCTTATGATCGATTAGATTTGCCTAAATGAGACCATGCACTGACTGTGTTTGTACCATAAGTGACGTGGCATTGGATAAACCTTACCAAGTTAACCCTTAGAAGTCACAGTTATTACTGGTAACATTAGCATGGTGTAATTCTACTTTAATTATTTCTCATGTGAAAAATGTGAATTTTAAGTTTAATAGACACCGCAGGAGACAGAATAAAGCAATAAGACACGAGTGGCCATATGTTATTGTGATCATTGGTAGAAGATGTTCTTGAGCATAATGCAATGTGGAGTGCCTAAAACCCCCTTTCCTGTGGTAAAATCAATGTAATGCACAGCTTTACATGGCTTATCATTTTAAAAAACAGTGGCTACAGAAAAAATATAATACATACATTTTTAGTTAGATTTAAGTTATAATCATTACTAACAGCAATAAACAATTCTTCCACAAAGAAAAGTAGTTCGTTCAGAGTATGCAATTGCTGTCTCACAACCATGTACTGCTAAAGGACATCCTCTGGATACTGCAGAGATTTCATGAACCTTTTTGTCATATAATAATGAAAATATTGTAATGTAGCAGTGCTTAATGTAAAAGGCTTCGCCTTGTATGCACCAAATTACCAAATGCCACACATTTGTTTTTCCAGACTGGGTTAAATACTACTCATGGTAGATTTACCAAAAACAGAGCAGTTAAGCCTACAATATTTTAGCCTAGTTGTTATAAGTAAAGAAATAAGTTGTTAGTCCCTCAGTTTAAACAAAAACAGGCTGTTACTTCATGTATCAATACATTTGGTGGTCCACGAGAGCAACCTAACAGTCCATTCACAGCACAATGGTTTTTAGTGACCTGCTGCATTAATACAAAACTCAGCTGTTGTGAGGCAGTCGTAGGTCTGCTTATATGGAGTATTTTACAACAGCTTCAAACATACCTCAGCCAATCAGATTTAAGGACTATCTATTTAATACATAATAATATGTAATAATACATAATAATTATGACAATATAGAGCTTAATCCAGAAATCTGTTGAGTTTGTGCAGGCCTAGAAATTGATTCTGGATTTCTAGCAGGGCACTGCCACATACATGACAGGTGAACTGCATGACTGTCCCTTTGTGTTTATATCTGGCTGTGTATCAACTGTAGATATATGAATGGAATGTCCAATGAACATTCCTTCAAGATGTGGTTGAGCTGGTTGATCGCTGAACTCTTTGATGAACTGAGCAAAATTATTCGAAACTTAACTCTCCATCGCTTGTGGATCCATACTCCAGTTACTCACTCTCGCATCTACCAAAGATTAGTTTTGTAATATGTACCGAATGATTTAAAATAAAAGAATACGTCAATATGAAGTAAGTTTAGTGACTAAATAATAAGCCTGCGATTTAAATGGCTAAACAAGTCCATCCTCATCCTTTCGTAAGCTACGGAAATCCTGTAGTGTTTCCCCATTGCAGGAAATAGGCTTCCGCCCTTTTCCACCTATTCATTTTGCCACAGCTTGCTTGTCCTAGAGCAGCATTCGCTACTCAATAGTGATTTTCACCATTGCGAGAAACGGTCATTCTGTTCTAGGTCCTGTGGACAATTATAGGCCACACAAAGACCCCCACCACCTCTCCCCAGCTTAGGCCTACTGAACACGGGTAAACACTATGTTGAAAATACCTTTCGCTCTAATGCTTATCCCAGTCAGTGTTGTTCTTTTCCTAGATCAAGAATGAGCTCTTTTTCAGAGCCTACCAAGCCAAAGGCTTTGGAAGCTAATCTCCAAATCACCCTGTGTTTCTAACAAAACCTGCTGTTGTGCCTCAGAGCCAAGCAGTCATGCGCTAATTTGGGCTTGACAAACCTACGGGTTGGAAACCGGGGGCTGAACGCAATCGGCTTCATTGGATGTTGCAGAGGTGATGGTGGGGGGTCACTTACGAGGACAGCAACTAGTTGGAAGTAAACTGAAAAAACGACAATACAGACAGGCTACTTTCAGACATTTTGGGGTGTCAGAGATGTTGAGAAATGATAGTAAAAGCATCTGAGCAGCTGGAGTGATAAGGCTTAACTATTGTAGCTTTTGACACACCCTTTGTTGCTGTTCGTGTATTTATTCAGAGATGCAGCAATCCAATATACTGGTTTGGTAGAGGCTCAGACATAGGCCACACATGATGGAACCACATTCGGTGCTGTTTACTAGTCATGGTTGATATAAACTTGCAACAAGGAAGATAGATAGACAGATAGATAGACAGATAGATAGATAGACAGACAGGCAGACAGTTAGATAGACAAATAGATTCATCTATTTATCCTAGAAGGGCAATGGTACTCAATCAATACTCATATCTCAATCAATAATCAGATTCAAAATCAAGAGAGAAATTTCGTATCGGATTTCTGTATCTAATTATTTGTGTTATTTTATTATTAGTACCCTGCGTTGTCCATTTACATCAGCACCATTTAATCAAGACATCATATATGCAAGTCTACTTTGCCAATAAAAGTATTCTATGGAGCCTTGGTGGTAACATCCCATATAAATAAAAATAATGCATGCCTTAATAACGTGTGGGAACGAGATCCTAATGTGTGGCCATGACTTAGTAAGGAGTGGGAATGAGATAATTATATAAAGTAAGGCTTACAAAGTCATGGCCATGCATTAGGATGTCTTTCCCCACGCCTAAGTCATGGCCACCACTTAATTAAGTTGTGGCCACCCATTATTTTAATTTATACCAGATGTCACCAGCAGGGCTCTGTAGGATTCTGAAAGTGATTTTCATCATCACAACTTTGAAAGCAGAGCTGCTGATACCACTGCCTTTAACTTGTGATCACTACAGGTGCTACTGACAGTTAGGCTACCACCTCCCAGTCAGACTGGTGGGTGTACTGATTGCTACCCCACTTGGTACACATAGGTATTCCCATGCATTAACAGTATGGCCATTGTTCCGTTTAACAGTTACCTTGTACACCTTCCCAAAAGCTCCATCCCCAAGTTCTCCAATAATCTCCCAGACCTCCTCTGGATTCACATCCCTGCGCACGTGGTCGTACTGCTTTTTCTTCTTGTCCGGACCCAACTTGAATATTTTCCGAAAGTTAAAGAAAGACATGGTCGGTCTCCACGTCTATCTGGGTCTGACTTTGGTCGATAAAGGGGGGGGGGTTATCCGTGGAAATAACCAAGTTTTCTCGACACAGCGGCAACAGTTATCGCATATTTATTGCTCAAGAGCAGCTTCACAGTAGTGTTTTAATGCTGGAGTCGTCTGACAGGAGCATTTCTGACAGGTTCAGTGAGCACTAGCACCGCTAATGTGTCACTACTTAGTGACCAACCGTCAGCGAAGTAAACGTACTAAACGTACTAATGTTACGAAGTGTAATCTTACTTTTACTTATAGAAAACGCCTTTTCCACTCCCGGAGCTACCTATCTGCGTGAAAAAACACATTTAACTCTTCGTTTAAATGAAGATAACTGTGCCGAGGTTCCCTCATCTGTGTAAACAGAGGTAGCTAATGAACGTTAGTGTCTCTCTGCACAAGCAAAACAAAGCCTGGCGCTGCTAGCGCCTTAACGTTAGCTACTTAGCTAGTTAGTCAGCTAAGCAGTTAGGCAGTTTCTGCTGGCCGTTTATCCGCATACTGTAACGTTAATGTCCCTGACACACGGCAAAAGTGTCGGTTACTCAGTCTGTAAGCCGTGCGTAACGTTTTTTCCTCACTCAAGGCGAACAGACAGCGTCCGTTGTTCCCACCAACTCCAAGTCGATAACGCCGACCAACGAACGCGCGTCCACTCTCAGTGTGGAGCGATACCAGATAAACGATAAAAAAAACCCCAGAGATGTAGAGTCCAGTTCCCGAACTTGTACTGCTTTACAGGACGACCCGGAGTGTCACGCCTGCAAACTGGACCGCAGAGTGCTGATTTCACTTCGACTCCATCCGTGTGCAGCGCCAGCAGCACTAATCTAGCGGATCCGAGGCGCGTTCATGTGGACAACTCGCGTTCCAGCAACCCCGCGATGCGCGTTCACGTTGGCACAATGTCGCCATCTGCTTTTGTGGATGTTATTATTCAGTTTCAGTTTGGTCGTGTAGTTTCGGTTTAATAGGTATTACCAGAAGTTCATTTGAACAAGTAAAAATGTTATTAACTTAATAAAGAGGAGCTCATACATTATAAAAAGGAAGAAAAAGCCTGGATTGACTGAATTAGTGATTATTATGGCAGACAAGGCGACAGTAGTAATAACACATGTATGACAACAATACTTAACCCCTTCATATAGGAAAGGTCATTTTGTTTCCTCCTGGATTGTGTGTCAGTGCGGAGAGTGGATGTGTATGTGAAAGTACACAAATACCAACATACAGGCCAAAACAAACAAACAAACAGAGAAACAAATTAGGATGATATAAGAACACCATATGTAGCCTAGCACCACCATAGACGGCCCTACACTCTTAAAAAGATGGTCCTTCAAGAGCTCTTTAGTAGAGGCAATGATTCTATGTTTTTTACAGCCCTAAGTGTTTTATATAGAAGCATTTTATGCTTAGATGGTTCTTTACATGGTGAAACAGTTATTATGACTGATGGAGAAAACAGTTCTATGTAACACCAAAAAGGGTTCTTCTATCGTTGCAATGCCAAACTCTTTTTTTGGTGCTATATAGAACCATTTTCAAAATTTTCAAAATGGTTCTATAAGAGAACCATATACAATACATTCTCCATCAGTCTGAAGAACGATTTCACCATACAGTGAACCATCTAAGCCTACAATTGTTCTATACTGAAAATTCCCTTAAAGACCCCTAAAGACCCCTTGAAAAACCATCTTTTTAAAGCTGAGTTTTCATACGGTGATCATCGTCTGTTTCAACATTTTCTGAAGCTTCAGAAGCTTTTGTTTATAAAATAAAATAAATGTTATTATCGTGGTAAGTCATCTTATTAATTATTGTTCATATTATTATTATTATTATTTAGTTATATTATTGCTCGTGAGAAACTCTATATTGTTTATCTTATGTGATATTTAGATTATGTGATAGTAGATGTTTAATCCTCAAAATACAGTCCAGCTATCCACACAGCTCTGGTGGTAATTTTAGTTGAAGAGCGCCCTCTGCAGGACTCACTGTAAACTGTCCTTTCAATAGCTATCAACATTTTACGACAGTCAAGTGTGGACGTGATATTTTTTACGCGTGCAGGCGATTACGTGTTAGATGTTTTGGCCCAAACTGCATGCCGTACTCTTTATTAGTCTTGTGCTTTAAGAAGTAATTTCAGGTTAATATCTCGTGATGGACAGACTCTGTGGAGCAGAGAGGTAGGAGAGGCATTATTGACAGATTAAACACTACCCACGATGGGCAGTCCAGGCCTGTCTCAGTCTCACCTTATGGATTGTTATTGTGGACTGTTCATTTTATTATTCATTACAAATCCTCTATACAGTGTTTTCACAGATTGAACTTGTAGTCCTACCCTTACAGCTATAACCTAAGAATAACTCAGCCAGTTTGTATTGAAGTTCCTCTAATTACTGAATAATAAGACTTTGGATGTTCTTATTAGGGGGTTAACTGTGAAAATCCCAAAATGTGTTTTTATTTTAAATCTACAATTTCATACTGATTGCTCACCCTTTATTACTGTATATGAGCTGCTTGTTCCTGTAAGCTAGTTTTGTATGATTCAAACAGCAGAAAATAAGGGAATAATTTTATGATGAGAGATATCTGATGAATTGAAGCAAAATGATTAAAGTGTATACCTGTAGTTCATAACTACCATCCCACTTTATTTTTTTTACTTAACCACTGGATATTTCACAGACAGGTCTGTTATTTTCATTGGTTAATGTTAAAAATGTCAGAGCCATACTTAGTAAGGCTTTCGGATGCCTACATGTTGTCATACATGGTTTGTACACTGGGTGGCACAATAAGGTAGTACATGGAAATAAAGTAGCACAGGAAATCAGGCGTTTTATACATGCTCTGTTAATAGTATTTAATGGTGTATATGTACTGTTGTATGCAAAAGTTTGAACACTCCCAGTTCAAACTACCTCCTCAAATTACCTCCTTGCAACATTAGATTTCTCCCATAACTTTAGTGTAAGTTCAAGCTGGTGAATAACATGGGCTTTGTTGGCTCATCTTTGCCAAGGGTGCCAGTACTTCCGGACGACTGTAGTAGGACTTTATGTAGTTTGCTGCACTTTGAAGGGTAGACTGAATTTACGTAAGTGTATAGATGAGCATCTGTTTTTGGTCCAATTTTTGGGTTCTGATTCTATGACTGTAACAGTGTTAGATACATGGTATGCTTATGACAAAGGGGAATTCAAATCTTCATAATTCGGTCGTTAAGATGTATAAAAACTTGCCTAGTTTGAAGGGAAATGTGCCATTCTAGAGAAACTTGTAATGGTGATAGAAACCAGATGTCTGAAGCATTCAATGCTTCTAAAAGCTACGTCAAAAAAAAACCTATTACGCACAATGTTCATGAATACACTGCCTGGTGTCAGAGACATTGTGTTATTAAAGTTTAGAGAGAAGATTTAGGCCTAAAATGTATTTATTAAAATCCATAGAGGTACATGAAGTGTGGTCTAAGGCAAAATAGTCACTGGAGAAAACATTCTTTTTGGATTTATAGTTATTTTGCCACAAACAACATTACATGAAAAAAAAAATGTTGATAGTAAATAAAATGGCTATATTTATGTTAATTACATCGCAACTCCTGGTTCCTGTCACCACCACTGTAAAGAGTCTGTAAGTTTCTTTACAATGAACCACTTCACATTAAGCTCCTCTGAAAGACTGTGTTTACATCACAACAATTGAATTATGCAAAAAGAAGTTGTGGGATTACCCATATACAATATGGGTAAATACTTACTGAAAGTGCCAGAGACAACCTTCTCTGGACAGTCATGGCTGAAGAGGTCAGTGGGTTGTTGAAGAGATCAGTGGGTTGTTGAAGACAACTGAATCATCAAAAAACAAGCTGTTCAGCCCTTATATTATCTATGAATACTAACAAGCTTTCAAAATACAGTAAATCACCTTTTCCATTATAAAGGAAATCATTAGTGATAATGTGAACAGTCTTGCAAATAAAAGTGTATTTTATTTTTTGGAAAATGCAGCTACAGTAAAAAGCCTGTAGAAAGCTACTGAAAGAAAGCAGTACAATCCAAATATAAGAGAACAGTATAGTACAGAGGCATAATATTAAAGTGAGGTGTACCTCATTGAGTCTATGAGTTTTATTTGAGAATGTTATTCCTGCAGATACAGCATATTTAACCAGTGTGAGTCTAACAGTGTAAAGTGTCACAGGTTCCATTTACGGGCAGGAACATTGATAGATCACTTGCAGCTTGTACTTTAGAGTCTTTCTCTTTCCTGTTGTCTCTTTAATCCAAACTCTTGTCGCTCCAGGCGAGAGATTTCCTCTTGGCAAGCTCCATCCAAGATGGCTGACCTCTGTCTGATGGAGACTGCTGATGGGAGAGCGACGACGGGGACAATGATGATGATGACGATGAAGGCTCAGGTTTGGCAGAAGACACTGATGCAAAACACACACACACATTTTTATTAAAGTAAAACCAACAGTTTGACAAAGAAAAATCTAATTTACAGTTTTTCCCTTTTAGTCCACTTCCTTTAGTGTCTGAAGTTTGCTTCTTTGGAGCTAGGCTTATGTAGAACTTATGCCAATTAGCATCCTGTAATGAAAATACACCAATAGCATTGTGTAAACTGTCTTAATCAACACACGCTTGTCTCAAACCCTGTCAAGTTATTAATCTGAAGTAGCCTTTCTTATGTGGTTTTTGACATATTTTGATATAACATATCTATAAATATAGCTAAAATCAATCATAGCATCTTGACGCCTGAACTTTGTCTTTACCTTTGTACATTTTTATAGATAACTATATATTATATTTACAGATATAAAATAATATTTGAGATTACTCAAATGGTTTGAGGTGAGTTGGTGCCTGCTGCCTTCTTTCATGGTTCATAGCTATGACCAGACCTAGCACACGATATGTCATATGACCTTTCTATTCACAAATATGTTACTAATTTGGCAAATGCAGTTCCATTACCACATTTCTTGTATGCACCTCAAGCAAGTACACAAACAATTAGGAAAGGTTTGAGCATTTTATTTGCCATTTCCGTCAAGTCTTCCTTATTCAATATGTCAAAAAACACATAAAATATACGTATGGAAGAATAGCTGGCCACAAATACTGCTACTGAACAAAAAGCTCTTACTAAAGGCCTGGGTCCTCCTGAGGACATCAGATTCAGTCTGGGTGTTATTCTTCACTCCAGGTTTCGGTGGTCCCTGTAATAACAAAATAAAGCAGAATATTATAAGAATAATGTGTTGGGACATTGCACATTTACATCGCCAGGCTAAAGTGGCACAAATCTTTTTTCTAATCTGAGCCACTATGACTATGTTCACATTATAAGCCTCATTGCTCTGATTCTGATTTCTTACTCAGATCCGATCTTCTAATTTGAAGGTTCACATTTGTGTAGATAAGTGACTCAAATCTATCATTAATGTGAACAAACCTGTCCTGTATTGACCTGCATGCGCACATCCTAATCCATAACATCATGTGAATGAACCACGTGCAAAATAACAACAAACTAAACCAGGAGAACAAGACTTCTTTGTGAAGAGAATATGCTCTGAACAGCTCTCAGATGGTCATTATTAAACCAAGACAAAGATGAAAAAGGGTCAGATGATTTGTGTTTGCACCGTTTACTGACACTAAGGCCTTGTTTAAACAGGCAGCTCAAATCCCAACTTTTTGGCATATCTCATTTCAGCAGGACAGATTTTCTGGAGTCTGAACGGCAAGAGACCAATCAGACTTTTTCCAATCCAATTCAAGACATATATGTAGGCAGTTAAGGTGTAAACAGGCCCATTAGGGCAAAAAATCTGATTTTTGCCACTCCAGCCTGGTAACATGAACATAGCTCAGTTGTGCTCCCAGATCGGATTCTTACCTAATTTGAGGATCGGAATTCATGTGTTTTCTCTACTGCACATGCATGTATAACTGCAATCATCCTGTGTTCACAGTATTCTGATCTACAGTATTTACAACAACTGGCACAGAAGATGACAAATGACAGTTAACTCCAGTTGTATATATTGTACAAATTTATACAGCATTGTGCAAAAGTCATAGACCTCCCTTCGTTTATTTTCCAGTAAAAACGGTCATTAAATACAAGTTTTCAGTGGCAGGAAAAGGGGCAAATATTTTAAACAGAAAATTATGCAGAAGCCTCAACAGCTAAACATAATATCAAAATTGTCAGCATTTAGTATGTCTACTCTTTGCTTTTATTCAGCTTCCATTCTTTTTAGGAGACTTGCTCTCAGTTTTTCAAAGAAATCTGCAGAGATATTTTTCCACACCTCCAAAGTTCAGTCTCAGACGTTGGTTCTATTTTCTAATTCTCACAATCCAAGTAATCCCAAACACATTCAGTGATGTTAAGGTTTGGACTCTGGGGTGGTCAGTCCACTGATCTTCGAACACCAGCAGCTTTTTTATTTAATTTGCATTTCTTTCCTTTTCTAAGTAACAGCTTCTTGACAGCCACAATTTAGACACATCTTGGAAACTACTTTTCTTTGACTTTCCCCCTTCCAAGTGCATTATTTTATCTCTAACCCCCCAGAAATATATTCTGAAAAATGAGTAACTTGTGCTTTATGGTCTTTTGCCTGTAAATTAAATAAATAAAGGGTGATCTCTGCACAGTACTGTACATATCTGCGTAAATTCTACATATTTAACCCTTTTCACACGGTGCTGGTCCACAATCAGTTTTAGCTTACTTAAAAGAATAAAAGAATAAATACTTGTGGACTTTGTATGGATACTTCATAATGATTTTATTGCCTACCTTTATGTCCATTTGTTCAGCTTCGTTTGCTAACTGGCTCTTTTCAGCACTCTGTTTGGACCATCTTTCCGTCAGTGCCCTTGGAGCCGGTTTGGGTGGAGTTTGCTGTGATGACTGGTGGTCTAGCTGTAGCTCCGTGCTGTGGCATGCTCTAAGCTGGGATTTGTTGGTAGACCTTAAGGGTGGCCTTGGCTGTGGGTTTGGCCTTTGAGGTTGCTGAGTAGATGGTGTAGATGAAGATGTAGAGTTTGGTGATGGTGTGGTTGGCTGTGTGGAAGGTTTAATAGAGAAGGACTGGTGAGCTCTTGTCTTCTCCCTGGCAAGGCTCATCCATGCTGGCTCAGATCCGGTATCTGCCTCCCTGTCTGAGCCTGGCAAAGAAAAGAAAAACACCTCAAAAATGCTTCCCCATGCTTCTTGGCAAAATGACATTGAAAAAAATATGTCTGAAAACATTTAAATTACTGTGCAAAAGTCAGAGACCACTCTTCATTTATTCCAGTCTGACAGCCATTATAATACAAGTTATTCATTTTTTAGCAGATAATTCCTGGGAGATTAGATATAAGATAAACAAAATCTGATATGATTCAAAGAGAGGATGACTGAGGGAGAAACAGAGGGAGAGAATGAAAGACAGATATTGTAGGAGGAAGAAGGGAAGGATAAATGCAGAGAAAGTTAGAGGATAACTGGGAGGTGGAAAAAAGTGGAAAAGTACATATTTGTACCTTTTCATAGCTTAATGTTTTAAAACAGAACAATATAATAAAAAGCCTGGAACCAAGACGGGGTGTGTGAAGTCAGTATCACTTAGAAAATATCATTTCGATGGATTATGGTACAATTATGTTCCCTGACTAAAGGTACTGAGATGTACCCTCGAGGGTTCCACCCCAGTGACAGTACTGCAGCAGTGACAGTGTATGAGAGATAAGGTAACTTAGAAAGAGAGTGAGAGAGGCAGAGACAAAGAAATGATGGCTGATGATGGAAAATGTGAGGATCCTTAGAGAGAGACAGAGAAGAAACAGGGAGAAGATGACATGGGAGAGAGGGAGAGGATGACTGAGAGGCTGAAAGAGAGAGGGAGAGGATTGGGGGTGGATGAGAGAGTCAGAGAGAAATTATAACTAGGGAGAGAGAGTATCTCTTCAATAAAGTGGGCAGTGAGTGTGAGAAAGGTAGTGTTTCTAATATTGTGGCCAGTGAGCGTACTCTAGCATACAGGGTTGAGTATTAACAACTTGTCCATGATACGATTCAATAAATCATGATGCATCAAAACATCAGATTAGTTCACAATGATTAAAAAAAGATACAGAGAAAATGGGACTCATAACAACCATGCAAGACCTGGTAGACCACCAAAACTGTCCCCATCAGATAAACAGCACTTAAAGCTTTCATCTTTGAGACATCCTTCCACTGTGAGAAGACAACACTATGGGCCTAAAGCCATGTAGCTGTCAAGAAGCCATTACTATGCAACTGACTTCTAAGACTGAATTTTGGAGGTGTGGAGAAACATTTCTGCAGTTCTCTCTGAAAAATTGAAAGCAACTCTCCCACAATATATGGAAGTTGTAATAACGGCAAAGAGTTGACTCACTAAATATTTAATTAGTTGAAATTATATTTAGTTGTTGAGGCTTCTGTGTAATATTCTGGTAAATATGTTTTCTGCTTGTTTCCTTTTGCTGAAATGAATAGCTTGTACTTCATTTTCACTGGAACTTAAATAAAAGAAGAATGATCTCTGATTTTGCACAGTTCTGTACATCTTGAGATCTGTGCAATTTTCAAAATATTGGAAGCAACTCAACTTGAACAAGCTTGCAATTCATTGACTGCCACAAATAATGCTGATAGCACCTTACTGAAGTAATGCAACAGTTACCTGTATCTACACATGGCTCTTGTTGTGGGTCAGAGTTCTGTGGTGTAGTTTTTGGGAGAACATTTGATTTACTCTCTTTAATGACTTCTTCCATGTCCCTGGAAAACGGTTCCTTTCCAGTAAGTCCTTCAGAATCTCCTAGCTTCTGATGAGCATCAAGACTATGTCGCTTTGTTTTGTCCTCTGATTTAGCCATGTCTGATCGATACTTTAGCGAGAAAGAGGTGGTTCGGAGCTTAACCCCAAAAAGACCTCTGCTCTCTTCAGATTCTTCTTCTTTCCCACTCTTTTCATCTTCACTACCCACTCCTGTCTTGGAGATATTCTGCGGTATTACTTCCCTCCGCAAACTGCTTCTTTTATCTGGGATAGAAAGAGGGTTTCTGGGAACCTCACTGGTTTTTGCAGTCTCCACTTTTTCCACTCGAAGTTCCAGGTTCTGGCTGTTGGATGGGTTCTTCAGTAAGACTGTGTTAGCAGAGCTTTCTTCATCCTGCTTAGTCACAAGCTCACCAGATATTGTCTTGGAACGATATTTTGCGGATGCAATCGAAAACCGGAACGAGCTGGGTCTCTGTGCTTTATCATCTTCCTGTGAAGAATTATCCAGGCCTTCAAATGGTGCTGGATTCTTGCTGTTTGACTCAGGAAGTTCAGTCTCTTTTTCAGCTTCTTTAGGCTTTGTATTGGATATTTTGTCCAAAGCTGGCTTTTTGGTGCGTGGTGCAGGAATAGGATAGGGTCTAGTGAAGGGTTCTGAAGATCTTGAAACATCTACATTGGTTGGCTTTCTCAGTGGCTCTATCTGATCCACAATACCAAGTTCCACTTTCTCACTTGTTGCAACATTACAATCAGTCACTGTATTTGAAACCATCCCTGGAGAAGTGGACTGAGGTGACAAACTGGTATTGAGCTGATACCCTTCATTAGCTTCAACTACGATCTCTTTTGTATGTTGGTTATCAGCATTTAAAAGTTCTTTTTCAGAGTGTTGTAGGAAGGGCAGATTGGTCAGCATTCTGCCCTCCAGTTGGAATCGTTCACCAGACTTCAGCCCTTCATCATTCCTGGTTAGTGGTTCCACATCCATTGCCATGGACTCATGTTGGTCCTGTAAGGACAAACTAGAGGGATGTGAAACAGATACTGGAGAGGTGCGCTCCTCTTCTAGGTTTGTAACTTGAGATGAGTAGGACTGATGGTGGACAGTCTCTGTAGATGTCTCACTTTGTGGTTCCTCCTCTCTCTCTGAAAGAGGCTCGTCCAGACTGTTCATGCTGCTAGATCGAGTACGGTACACACCCTGTGACAAAAAAATAAACAAAGAAATTAATAATTGACAGAAAAATGTATATTCAAGTATGACTGCTGTTTAAAAAGCTCGACTTCTGTCTTTATTAAAGGGCCGACAAGCATATAATTATACATACAATACAAAACAAGCTATATAAAGCAGTTTAAAAATATGACTGTTTTATAAGAAAGACTTCTGTCAAAAATGCTGGCATTTCCAAAAAAGTTGGGATGCTGTGCAGAATGTAAATAAAAACAGAAAACAATGATGTGCAAATTGTTTAAACCCCATATTATATAATTATATAACTGAAAATAGTACAAAGACAACATGTCAAACTGAGAAATTGTATTGGTTTTTTTTTTAAATATATGCCCACTTAGAATTTGATGCAGCAACACGTTTCAAAAAGCTGGGACAGGGGCATGTTTATCACTGTGCTACATCACTTCTTCTTTTAACAAAACTCTGTAAGCGTTTGGGAACTGAGGAGACCAACTGCTGTAGTTCTGCAAGTGAAATGTTTCATATAGCATTTCAGCTGCTCAACAGTTCAGGGTTTGTCATATTTTTGTTTCATAATGCGCCAAAGGTAATCAGTGGTGACCGGTCTGGACTGAAGATAGGCCAGTTTAGCATTTGGACTCTTTTACTACGGAGCCGTGCTGTTTTAATACATGCAGAATGTGGTTTGACATTGTCTTGCTGAAATAATCAAGGTCTTCCCTGAAAAAGACGTTGTCTGGATGGCAGTACATGTTGCTCCAAAATATATAAGTATATATTGTTCAGCATTAATAGTACCTTCAGAGACGTGCAAGTCACCTATGCCATGTGCCCTAATGCAACCCCATACCTCACTGGCTTTTGAACTGTGTCAGGCCCAGAGAAGGTGGCAGTTTTTTATACCCAATCATGTTACTGGCCTGCTCCTAATTAACCTAATTAGTTGTGAGATGTTCCAGTGTAGCATTATATAACTTTACCAGTCTTTTGATGTAACTGTCCCAACTTTTTTTCAAACATGTTGGAATCAAAACATATATTTATAAATGTTTTATAAAAATACATAAAGCATATATTTTTCAAAAAACAATAAAAAAAACAATAAAGTTTCAACATTTGATATATTGTCTCTGTACTATGTAGTCTCGTTTTATTTACAGTTTGCACAGTGTCTCAACTAGAGGGAGTCCAAGAGAATATAACTAGCCTAGTTCTCTCTTAAAACAAAGTACAAGTATTGCCACAATTACTGAGGAAAGCTGCTGCAAAAATAATCACAGGTCATGAGATCCTGGCAGGTCTGCATTACTAAAGCTACTGGTTATTTGTTATTTTGTGCACACTGTTGCTTCTACATGCATCGTGGCTTTTTGTTGCAGAGATGTCACGGTTTGCGCTGCACATCACTAAAAGGTTATACTCACTACAAGCACAGAATCATACAGTCCCTAAACAATTTGGACGCACTGAGTGCAGTTAAGGATTTTACAATATCGCAAGGTTTCCAAAAGCGGTCTGCACAGAGCTCAAGTTTAGCTCATACTACTAGCCGAAAATAAACATTTATTTTGAAAGAGAAAGTCAAAATAATCACTTATTTTCTTGTGATGTGTTATTTCAAAACACATCACAATGTTCTTGTTATGTTCTTGTCGTTATTTTGACTTCTTAGTTCAAAATCTTGAGAAAACAAGTCATTATTTTGACCGAATGAGTCACTGTTTCAACCAGATTAAGAGAAAGACATTTTTTTTTCTCCTACCTAGTGGAAGCGAGCTTTCATATAAAAAGCTTGTGATCATAGGAGATTATGTTGTGCAGGTCAGGTGTTAAGAAGTTGTGCCTGTGTTCATTTGCATGGAAGGTATTAGCAGCTAACTCACTACATTGCACCTCCACCAGTGCACTGTGTCTGTAGACACTGCTCTCTTAAGCTAGAAATTCTTACTGCTGGCTGTTTCCTTCCCTTGGTGCTGGCTCGTTGATTCCTGGGCTTAATGGACATGCGGTGACGAGCGGCTGAATTGTCTAAGCAGGAGACATGATGAGCAGGGCTACTGAAATCCACCCCAGCAGGAGTTGAGGGTATATCTGTAGGTGATGAGATGACTGCCTGCGGAGACAGTCGAGAGACCGGCGAGAGAGGCCTTGATGGGGGCTGTGAGGAACCACCCTGAGATTCAAGTAAAGGTATTTTGTTATATTAAGGAGGATATGTAATTGTTTCATTATGAAACACTCTAATATTTACTACAGGCACATTCCAGCAATGGAGTATTTAGACTGAGGTTACCCATGGGATGTGGCATTACCTGCTCTTCCTCTTCACTGCCTGTTCCTGCCAAACTTAATGAACTGAGATGTTTTGTTGCCTCAGGATCCTGTGAAGGATGCAGATTTCAGTAGGGGTTACTGATAGTAATCAAACTGCAAAAACACTTTTAATCATGTTTTAGCTGGACATTGAGCAGTTTCCTCTACCTTATAGGATGCTCCTTGCGTGGCTACCTCTTGGAAAGACATTTCAGGAGGACTGCAGGGTAAGCCATCATCTTCAGACATTGTTCCTGAGTCTTCAATGCGCTTTCCAGGAATCAAGAAGGGAGGAGGGCCCAGTCGCATGTTCTGTTGCTGTAGCTTCACCTGTCAAGAGTTGAAGACAGTTTATTCGCTTTCTAGGTTACATTTACATTCTACGCAAATCATCTTACTAAAGTTCTCCTCTAGAAGCTGGTGCTATTGATATGCTTGAAACGTTAGCAAATACAGCTAATAGCAACAACCAGTGTCACCATTGCTAAGACAACATTCATAGCCTATACACACCATAAAAAGAATAATGACTCCTGATAAAGCCCCGACCTACGAGATAAGATTACAGACTTTTGAATGTATGAGTAATGCTTGTGAATAGAATCATATAGACAGGGTGGAGCTGAGTGTAGGTCAGCGTTTTTTTATTCAGACAACTGCTTTGAGACTGCTGCCTCACCTGCAGTGCTTTAATCTTGCTGTGCACATTCTCCTGTGAGAGGACCCTTTTGGGCTCTGAGGACTGAGACTGATCAGCCAGGAAAATGCTGTCATGGGACAGTGCCCTAGAACTTAATGTCCCTTGTGGGTACCTGAAACATTAGATAAAGAGCACATGGACATGAAAAGACTAGGGTTCAGCCAATATGTCATTTGTGTGTATGTATATATGTCAACATTTTAGCCTTTTCCAATATGTTAAACTTAGCAAATAAATGCAAGCTGCACAGAAAAATCGGCAAAGTTTTGTAGACATTGTAGACAATGTGTCCCCATCACTTTTTTCAACAAAGCATGCAAAATCTTTGCACATGTAAATATTGGGGGCTGGCTGTTCTGAGATGTTTTTCTCCACTATTTTGCTATTGAAGAAGGAAACCAGATAGCCAACAGCGCTTCTAGAAAGCTGAACATCACATCTGTATTTATTAGCCTCTATATGAGTGGTACATCAGTGGATTTCTTTATGATGCATTTGCTTAATGCATGATGGGTACTGTAATGAGAGAGCATTTTTGAACGAAAAGAAGATACAGAACACAGAATATTACATGCTGAATCAATATTACATAACATTAAATGCTAGTTTTTGTGTTGTATCACAGCAGACCCTAATAAGAACTGCAATTAGAATAGAACAAAGTGGTTTATTATTAACTGATTCTATATTCAAAGTCCCAGTCAACAAAAGAATATACAACTTTATGCAAAATAGACTACCGTATTTAATTACTAAAGTAAGTGACCCTGAGAAAAAAGCTTAAGGTGTCTTTTTGAAGCCTGCCTTTAACATAGTGGATAATGCACATGCCATCTATCATTCCTGTGAAACATTTATTTTTATTTATCTAAACACAATGCATCCATTAGTAATACCAGTTTCACTATTTTAAATGCTTGTCAACTGTTGTAAGTGACAAATCCAACAGATTTGTTTGAACAGTAAGTTATCTACTCACTGACAGTCATCTTCTGAGTCGTCTTCTCCTCTCCTGACCCCCTGTGCAGTAACATCACTGGTGGACTTGCTCTGCTTCATCTGGCCTTCAGTCTCCTTTTTCTTCAGACGGCCAAACAGTCGCGTCTTCAGGAACTTGAACCGTGACTTCTTCCTCCCTAATGAACACAGATGACAGATATGCTGTTTCATTTGGACTGTTTAGGATTTTCAGGCATGTTGCTAAAACTGATGCTTAACTTAGTCATCAAAGTCATACCTGAAGCTGTTTCACATATCATTTTTTTTGCTTTGGTGTACAGAATACAACACCAAACGCACCACAGTGTGACAAAACTAGTGACATTCTAATATGATGAACAACTAGTCATAATATTTCTAATTAGTATGGCTAAACAACATGTTAGAAATGACAGCAGAGCCTCTGACCTGTTAGCTCTTCTGTATTTCCGTCCACCTCCCCTGGGCTGGACTCCATGGTTTCGTCTGAAGACCTGTATTGTGAGGCATATTGTTAAAGGGGAATTGTGTGTATATATAGGAACATGCAGGGCGTTGTCAGTCCCCTAAGCAAATTTATTTTTTTAGATTTACCACCATTTACTATCATCAACTTGATACACAAACTCAGAGGACATATGTAGGTTCACTGGTTGTTTTGGATAGTACATGAAATGGCTATAGTTCCAGTGTAGATATTAAAACCCCTAAACATTTATTGTTCCAGCAGTGTATTGCTTTTGCATTAATGCCATGTCTCTATTGTGGAAGAGGACAACACATACCACAACAAATATTCATCTATGTATTCATCTACAGCATGTAAACATGTTCATACTGTTATGACTTAATTGAAGATCTGATCACATTTTAGGTCAAACTTATGCAGAAATTCACATAATGCAAAAGGTTAATCCTTGGCCTAGTTTATGCTTTTAATATCTATAGGTGTCACTATCGAATTTACACAAAGTTGTATTTAAATCGATTTGTAAACAAAGTCATTCAGAGTGGTTTGATAAGAAATGATTCACTTTAGAGTAACTTACAGACTCTACTTACAGATTTCTTTCCATTGGTGGTAATAGGAACCAGGAGTCACGATGTCTATACAGCCATTTTATTTACCATGCAAAACCACTATTGAACTCACACTTGTCTTTTGAGTTTCTATAAGTAATGTTGATAATGCTGATTCCCACTCACTGGTAAGTCTGAAAAAAATAGCTTTTTTCTCGGTTCTATTTTCCTTATATTACCCTGCATGTATCTCTGCACTATTTTAGTCTAAAACTTTGTCTCAAAACTATCATAAACCAATGTCTCAGACACTAACATATTCATACACATTTTGTATAATAACTTCCTGTGAGGAGCTTTTAGAGACATTAAACTTATCAGACGTCTGGTTCCTATCACCACCAGTGTGAACAATTCTGTCTGTTTCTCTTTTAATTTGTGCTATTCAAAACTGTAGACAGACTTTGAGCTTGTCTATGCAAACGTCAGAAGGAAAGTGCTGTGCTGCTCAAAGACAGAACACATGGTTTTGATGGCTTTGGTGTAGTTTAACAATGTTGAATATTTATGCAACACCAATAAACTGCAATAAACATGACCTTACATCAGATAAATGAGATTGTAGTAAGTTAGAGCACTGTTATAGGTCTGTCTCAAATGGGTGACAGGAATATGACAACAGATTACAGCCCTACTGTAAAATCATAGGGTACACATGCTGGATATGGCAGGGAGTGCCTTTAGGGAGTGTCATCATATTCTAGCCAGGCTTGAACTCTATAGTTAAATCATTATCATTATCTGGTTATTGTGTAGCTACTGCAGTGAAGAATTCCTTGGAGTTTTAGTGCTGCCATACAGACAATAATAAAATGTCAGAGTGTTAATACATCGTAATAATTTCCTGTTGGTCCATTCATGACATTTTCACCAAATGTAAAGCCCAGAAAATTAAGTCAAAAAATAAATAATGACAAAAATGGAGCTACATGGTTTTGTTCTGAGAGCAACAATATACACCGACCATGTCTATTTTATTAGATCTACTCACCATATAGGTGCACTTTGTAGTTCTACAATTACAGACTGTAGTCCATCTGTTTCTCTGCATACTTTGTTAGCCCCCTTTTACCCTGTTCTTCAAAGGTCAGGGCCACCACAAGAGCAGGTACTATTTGGGTGGTGGATCATTCTCAGCACTGCAGACACACTGCTGTGGTGTTAGTGTGTGTTGTGCTGGTCTGAGTGGATCAGACTCAGCAGTGCTGCTGGAGTTTTTAAACACTGTGTCCACTCACTGTCCACTCTATTAGACACTCCTACCTTGTCAGTCCACCTTGTAGATATATAGTCAGAGACGATAGCTCATCCGTTGTTTTGCACAGTTTGTGTTGGTCATCCTTTGGTCCTCCACAGGACGCTGCCCACAGCATGTTGCTGGATGGATATTTTTGGTTCTGGACTATTCGCAGTCCAGCAGTGACACTTACAATTCCAGCAGCACTGCTGTGTCTAATCCACTCATACCAGCGAAACACACACTAACACATACCACCAGTAATGCAAGGACGCGTGTTTAATGAAGTGGCCAGTCAGAGTAGATGGTGGGCCACCACAACCTGTCAGAACAGCTCCAGGGCACACTGGTATAGACCTGGTGACTGTGACGGCCGTAGTACATGATTTACACCACTTTCATACTCGTCAAACCATTCTGTGACCCCTCATGCCCTGTGGATGTGGACCTTTTCCTCTTGCTATCTTAATTCAACCCTAAGGTCATCTAGGTCTGCACTGCACTTTTATATATGCCACAGAGTATTGTAGGATGTAAGTTGCTTGATCGGTATCATGCAGTACACCTGTTTGGTTGACATAATTAGAAAACACCAGCTGCCCTTTACATTATGTTGAAATTTCATGATGAATGGACTGCTAACACTTATTATGAATCCTGTATTTTGCAAGACCTTAACCCCTTACGTGGTCATGGACCCACCGACAGGCCCAAAGATTTATTACACACTTCTATAAACTAATAGTTCAACTCGTTTACATGTGAAATGAGGTTTTCAGGGTGTCTTATAAATGTTGAGGAAATTTCATTGAATTACATAACACTTTATAGAGCATTATAAGTGCTCTTTACTGTCTTCAAGTGATGTGAGATAATCATGTGCAAACTGTGTGGTGTGGGAAAGTCATTCCACAGTTCATAGTTCATGCCATCGAGGGGTCTGTCTTGCACACTAAGCATCAACCGTGAGTATACTGCTCTGCTCCAGTGCAGGTAAGCTTGAATTAGCAAAACTAGCTCAAAACCACTGCTAACGTTAGCTATGTCCCAAAAAGTGTTGTTATCTACCGGCTAACAGAAAGCAGTTTCTGTGCTGCTAACGATTTAGCTTTGATTACTAACTGCTAACAGTCTAGCACCTGAAGCAAACCTAGCTTAGCAATGTAGCTACCACTTAGCTAAAATAAACTATCAAATTCACACTACCTATAAAAGTCATGATAAAAGTCTTGCTTTTTTAAAAAACAAATTCTCAAAAAAAATTCTTTTTTAGTTGGAGGCTTAAGTGATTATACATCTTGGATGTACTCCTTTGTCTGCTGTGATGCAGAAAATATACCAGAACCTTGTTATATTCTGTTATAGTGCATTACAACATTCATGTTTACTATATTCTATATTCAGATATTGTGATGTGTTATGAAATCTGATATCATAAAGTTGTATACTCTTATTTTATAAAGTATTAAGCCCTATAACTTCTTATAAGCAAATATACAAGCTTATACCAGGTGTTATAAGGTATCATGTACGCCATTTAACACGTTGTGAATACAGAATTTATAGGAAGTGTAACCAATTTTTTTTCCGTCTCCTGCAAAGTGACTTTTTTGGAGATATGAGGTTTGTTTTGATATGTTTCTTCACAGTATGTTTCTCTTTCCTATGTCACGCGTGTATATATTGACATCAAGAGGCCATTCTACTCATTTATGCTGAACTCATTTTAATACAGCATATGCTTGAATTGCTTGATTGTACTCTTTCATTCTCATGTGGTTTGTGTGCTATGTCTGTAGCCTCCCATAATACAAACAGCTCTGTGTCTGGGGATAAAAGGTTGTTTAATGGAGACAGAGCCACCTGATGCGGGTGCAGCGTTGACTTTTGCCCAGGCAAAGGCACCGGTTGCCTAGTGATACACTCCGCTGGGATGACGTGACGTGACATTAAATAAGTAAGAGACGTGGTTAGCTGTGTGTGATCAGTGCTGCGACCTAGGAAACACAGACTCTGCCTAAATTCATGAATCCGTTAAACACAAACACATACATTTACACGTTTAGGTTTTTTTCTGTGCAGAGATATCCAGAAAATGGCAAAGCTCTTAACACACATTTTCTCTAAACGGCAGGTGCTCCTGGAGGCCTACATGTGAAAAAACAACAAACAGCCCTTTATCGTCGCTGAAACTTTATCCTGAACTAGGGAGGCTCTCAAAGAGCAAATGCAGGTATTTAGTGTGTGTGTGTGTGTGTGTGTGTGTGTGTGTGTGTGTGTGTGTGTGTTTGTTTTAATACATTTTCAGGGCAAAAATGTTCTGACTTTGTTGGAAAACCGGAAGAAAAACCAGGTCAACCTACAAGACTTTTGTAAGCGCTTTTTTTCAAAAGCTAGATGTTTCTTTTTGTTTCTTTTCACAGCTTACCTACGTTATACTTATTTAGGTCCCTCAGTTGAACCATGCCAATTTTTCTTCAATAATGTTGATGAAATAAATTCAATATATTTAACAGAGACGCGTATGATTCACAGCACTGCAAACTGGACTTTCATTTTGTGAGCAAGCAACATTTATAACGGTGTTTTTATTATATGCTATATATTATTTATTTATTATTTTCTATATGCTATTTTTATTGTGGCAGATGTACACGATTTTTTACTATAAAGAAAGCTGCAGTTGTGCTGTTTGTATTATCGCAGCACTGGGGTCTTTGTAGAGAAGTGTGAACTGTTCTCACTCCTCCCCTTTCGGTCCTCATTGCTCACTAGCAGCTCAACACAGAGTCACAACATTTCACACCCAGAGAAACTACAGTGTCCTAGTTAGTCTGATAACAGAGTTAACAGGGAAATACAGGTCTTTTTCTATTCTGCCAGTGAAATGGCCACTAGGTAACCTGCACAAGTAAAAAGATGACCCATTTCTTTCTGGTTAGTCAGATTACAATTAGGGTTGCTTGTTACAAATAGCTACTTACATATATGTAGTACGTATTGGTAATACAGAACTGTGCAAATGTCTTAAACTGAACTTCATCTCAAGGTTTGAATTGAAGCAAAATAATGCTGTTCTTAATGATTTTGTTTCATTCAAAGTATTTTTTGAGTTGATTAAAAGCAGTTAAACCCTTTATTACAACATAAAGTAATTTTTTAAGTTGAACTCAATAAACATTTTTTACAGTGTAGGCATCTGAGAAAATAGTGGGGAAAACAATTTATCATGGCAGTAAAGATTAATTTGTTAAAAAAATAGCGCAAATACAAATGAACAAGTAAACAATCCAAAAGATACATTAAACTTAAATTTAAATATAAGATCATTGCACAGTACCGTATGTATGTTCTGACACTGTATAAAAGAAGTTTGTGAGTGTGCCTGTGTGCACGTACTCTATTACCAATGAATAAGGGAAAGAACTCCAGGTCCACACCTGTCGTAACTATTGTTTGCTCCCTTTTTAACCTAAAAACCTGATATTAGGGGATTCTCACAAGGCTTTTTCAATCCTGCCTGCAACAAATCACTGTACATTATTGTCTGAATAGACAAAGAAAACAGTTAACAGCACACAATAGGCTCTTCATTCAAACGACAGATCAAAACAGTTAAACTAACACACTCTATACCAATTCCAAACTTCTAAGACTGTATTATACTGATTCCACTATGGTTTGCTTTCAGAGAGCTAAGCTGGTGAATTAAAGTCAATTTGCACAAAATGCAGCCAAAGGTAGCCCTGACCATGAGCCACAGTCTTTGTTCTGGTTTTATCATAGCAGCATTCAGTTTGTGAATGTAAAGGCCGATCACATGCAGGGGTGGAAAGATTACTAAAAATTCCTACTGAAAACTAGTGAAAATTACAGGCCACCTAAACTAACCTTGAACATTGCAAAAAAAAAAACAGCTAGCAGACACTCACAACAGAATAAAAACAACAACTTTAACTTTAATAAAGAGCTTTTTTAAACTGCTTTTTCATTTTTAAAAGACACAATAAAAAGAAAGGAAAAGACAGTGGTAGCTACTTAGGTAAGAATAGCTAGCCAACCAGGTAACTGCTTCCTCAGGCTGGAAGTCTGGTAGTAAAAGTTATAAAAGTGTTTTTTAAACACTAAAACTGTTATTGGAAATTGAAACTCACATACTACACTTAATTCTACTCTAAGAAAATGTGCTTAAGGACTGTAATGAAAGTAGATTTAATATTTTAGGTTATGCCTCTGCAAATGACAGATAAATAATATAAATTAAGAGTGACCACATTATAAAACCATTTGCAATAAACTGAAGGAACAGACCAACAACATAAAATCTTGTTACATAACTTGCATTGACAGTTAAGGTTTTTTCCTTCTCCTGTAAAGTTACTTTTGAACACACATTTTTTTTCAGTTAATTTTCTCCCCAATTTAGTCTTTTTGTGAACTTCATCCACTAGCTAGGTCTCCCCCAATCAATCGATGGTCGATGACCATCCTACCCTCAGTTGAACTATTTTTTTTTTTTAAATAACGAGATGGAGAGCATTGGCCCTATCATCAGGAGATCATGAGTTCAATCCCTGGTGATGCACAGCCATCTGTGGCCAGGAGTCCAAAAGAGCACAATTGGCCTCGCTCTCTCGGGAAGGGTATGATGCTCCCCCATACCTCAGCATAATGCTAGCCAGTGCAGGCATCTGTTAGCTAACATAACAGAAATGGCGGTTGGTGTTCCTTTTGTCTCGGCACAGCCGTCTTTGTGGAGCCATCTTCTGCTCGCTAGCAGCTCAACACAGTCGCAACATTTCACACACAGAGAGCCATCAGTGTTCTCGTTAACCTGACACTCCCACTGGCTAACATCGAGAGACGAGAGGAGAGGGGGACCATCCTTCCCACCCAGAGAGAGCAAGGCTAACTGTGCTCTCTCGAATTCCTGCCCACAGATAGCTGTGGCACTGCCACATATAGGGATCATACCTTCTGACTTTAACCCCTTAAATGGTCAGGACCCACTGGTGGGGTCCAAAGTTTTACTACGCACCTCTATGACTAATAATAACTCAGCCAGTTTGCAACGTAGTCCATATAGTAACTGAATAATAAACCTTAGTCTGTAATAAGCTTTAATTAGGTTAGTACAGTATGCCAGTAATTCATTTATTAAAATATAATTATCTTCAGAACATGATCATCATAGTGTCTTCCTTGCTATGAACAGCAGGTTTTTACTAAATTGTGTTTGTTTGATAGTTTTCCTTTCTATGCCGTTGTACCAAGCTAATCTTTTGACACAGAGGTGGTTTAAACATTAAGTTGCAAAAGGTCAAAGAAAACAGGCTCATTTGTACAAAAACATTTGGAAAGCTCGGTGCCCCCAAATTTCTGATAGACAGAGCAGGTAAAGGTTTGCACATGCATGACGTAAACTCACCGGCAGGTTAAAATGCGGCTTCAGTCTCTCTCTTTCTCTCTCCTGACGGCTGCTGTGGTTTCTTCTTTGTCACTTGTTTGCCTGCGTCTCTCTGAGGAGAACACTGCGCCCACAAACACACACTCACACACACATGTGCACAAACACACACACACACACACTAGGATCCACTGCTCAAAGCCATTACATCACCAACACCTGCAAACAAAAAGGGAAGGAAAAGGAAGTGAGTGTGAATGCGTCTCTGAGACAGAACAGAGGGCAATGGGGGGGCAAGAGAGGAAAACATAATGAATACACATGAAACATATACAACATATTATATAATGTATAACATATAAATGGTTACCAAATCTGTGAACTACTTAGAGACCCTAAAGCAGCATGCATAACTCATGCATTAATAATGCTATTCCTCATTGTGGTTCTGCTGCAGTTGAGCACATGTATGTGTGTGAAACAGAAATTACAGAACCCCTGCGGTCACTAGTTTTTAATAACCATTTATTAGCTTTTTAAAATTCCTTTAAATCTCAGTCTTATTTTCAGTTATTAATCTTATGACTTTTTATTTGGTAACTACTATGAATTATTCAGTAACTACTATAAATCATTCAGTGTGAATAATTCAGTAGGTGCCATCAATTTTTCAATAACTACTACAAATTATTCACTAAGTACTATGAATTATTCAGTGTCTACTTGTCTACTATCAATTATTCAGTAACTATTATAAATTATTCGGTAACTACTACAAATTATTCACTAACTACTATGAATTATTTAGTGTTTATTTGTCTACAATCAATAATTCAGCAACTATTAGGTAACTGTTTTGAATGATTCAGTGTCTACTATCAATTATTTAGTAACTATTTCACATTATTCAGTAGCTACTACAAATAATTCACCACCCGTTCTCAATTATGCAGTAACTACTATGAATTACACAGTAGCTATTATAAATTATTCTGTAACTTCTATGAATTACTATGTAACTACTAAGAATTACTCTAAAATTATTATGAATTAATTTGTATATATTATGAATTACAATGTAACTTCTAAGAATTATTCTGTAACTATCCTGAATTATGCTGTATTATGAATTACTATGTAACTATTATGACTTACTCAGTAACTACCATGAAACTAATATGTAAGTCTAGTTATGAGCGTGAGGAACTGAAATGTGGGCCACATAAAGACCATTGCAGTTTAAGGCATTCAGGTAGGTTTTACAGTATCCTTACAACAATATCATAATGAGAAATAATAAATATACTGCATACACCTAAAATGCTGCCACTAGCCACAATATCATTGTTTTGCATAAACTGCTGCACAAACTTATAAATCTTGATTTGTTTTGAATAGAATCATTAGCTGTTTGCCTTCTGCATCTCTCCTGGCCCTTCTCACTTTGTTTAATCCCATCCACCCTCTCGCATTCAAATGAACCTGAACCCACACTAAAACACTGGGAAGCCTCTTTGACACATGCTTACCTGGCATTTTCTGCCAAAAGTCCATCTTTAACACAGATACTGCAGCATATGTTCTTCTTCACAGTTAATAATTCTGAGAATAAGTAACTTTTCTGACTGTGTTAAAGTAAACCCGGCCAAATACAGCTTGAGAGAGTCAAGGTAAAGGATTACAATCACTCCCTGTTCACAAGCGTAGTGTAAGTGCATTTAACCAGCCTGTGAGGGGTTCAACACTGAAAAAAGTAATGCAGTGAACTCACTTAATTCAAATGTGAACACCAGTTTGATGAAATGAAATCTAATACATCAACACAAACTTAGTTTTCAGTTGACCTACAATAATTGTGTAATATATGTTATTTAAATCAATCATATCTAATTTGAATCAGGTAAAAGTGCACCATGTTTTCCAGTAAAGTGGACAGTGGATCTTAAGAGTTTAAAGAGTTAAGCTCCAAACTAGTTTCTTTTCTAGACAGAAATGCCTTTGAGAAACAAGGAGTTGAACTTTTCAACATTCTGGCAGAGTACAGAGGACTGTGCACTGCTCCCATTCAGTGCCAACCACACACACACACACACACACACACACACAGAATAACAAAGATATGTCCTCCTCAGTTTCACTGCTTAAACATAAGGCAATCCGTTAGATCCTTCACTTAACAGGCCAAAAATAAATGTTAATCTGTAAACAAATTGTGATAAAATAAATTTAAGTGTGAATCTGGTTATCAATGAACACTGCACAGTTTCATTACAACAATATCTATTTGCTGTGCATGGCATTTATTATCTTCAAGTCTATTTTTACAGATAACAGTATGTCAAACAGTGTCAGAAATAATCCCATAAACGTATATGAGAAGGCCCATATTACTCATTTTCCTTACATTTTTTTCCCCCCTGTGATCTAGTTATAATATTTGTATGGTTTTATGTACCAAAGACAGTCATAATTCCATTTTACATGACCATTTTCCAAACTTTCCTTATTTATTATTTAGAATTAAATAAGCTGTATCTTTAAGACTGATATATGTAAATGAGCTCTGTTCTGACTGACTGCCCTGTATTGCACCTCATTCAACTTCATCATGAGTAGGCGGGGCGGCCAGGTATCCAATAATCCTGTTTTTCTCTTCTCTAACCTGAAATATGCAAAATTTGAGACTCTTCTTTGACTTTAGCCTCCTTTTAAATCTGCTTTTGGAAAAAAACATGTATGTCCATGTCTAATGTAACGCCTCTCTTCACTCTCTTTGTGTTTAGTATGGAGAGGGTCATGCGGGGGGGCTGATGGACACTGCAAATGCTGTAATGTAAACTTTAAAAGTCACAGTACTGCTAAAGGAATAAATCTGAGATGGAGAAAAATCATCTGGCATTGAAACATTGCGTTTAAGCTCCTAAGGCCTACCAATAACTGTGCCTGTGGGTCAGGCTGAATTGCTGTAGGGTGTATAAGCAGATATATGTAAATGTGGAGACACAGAAATTAATTTGACAATGGCTGTTTTTTCAGCTTAGCTTCCATAGATGGACGGTATGGACTGGGCAAAAAAAGTGAGGAAAAGCTTTTTTATGATAAGTCTCTTTTAACAAATCAGTTTGAAGGAAGTGTGTGATGATTTAAATGCATTTCAAGATTTCCAGTGCAAAACTAAAGAAACAAACACCAGACACCAAACACGTCTTGGCTGTTCACCTACTGAGTCTCGCAATAAATTCAGAAGTCCTTCCTTCTTTCCTGAGCAGTTCAGTATATGGAATTTCAAATTCAGAGCTCATTGCTTTAAGTAGGAGGTGTTTCCCTGTTGTATGTATTTGCATGATTTTGTGGCCCAACCGTCTCTGCATGATCAGGTTGTTAACTGCTATGCAAATTTCCGCTACTACAGTTAAGGGTTCCCTGTAGATTAGCTAGTGTGTCTCTGAGCCTTCCTGGAGTGCTAATCAGCTGGGCTTTTCTGCACTTTTGGTACATTATGTCATGATTCAAAGCAGCACAGAGCATCACAACTCTGAAAACAGCTGATGAATGAGATATTCCTTTAAATCTAAACTTTACCTGTCAGGCTATTAACTCAATTTAGTTCAAAATTCACAGAAGCAAGTTTCACAGAAGCAAGTTCACACAAACTAGTGAATGCTAACATGCCTGTTTGTAGTCAGTGTAGCTATGTCTCAAATGCATTCTACCATATATCAAGAATTTGAAATTTAAACAAAGTTACAAAACAGAAAAAAGATATTTGATTATTTAAAGAAGCACAAAGCTCATTTATATTCTTATGAAGTGTCTTCATAGACATTTTAATGGGTTTGTCTAAAATAGCACAGATATTTTGAGTCTAAAAGCACAGGTACACTATATGTCCAAAAGTGTCCAGACACCGTTTGTATTCGTTTCACTATGTACTTGTATATAGCTGAAATGACAATAAAGCCTCTTGAACTTGAACCCATTACTGACACAGGTGTTCAACTGCGCACACACAGCTTGTATAATCTCCACAGAAAAGCCCTGCCTGTAGAATGGGACACTTTGGAGCATGAGTATAAGATCACTATGCCAAGCGTCAACTAGAGGGGTATAAAGCCCCCCAGCACTGGGCTGTGGAGCAGTGGAACTGTGTTCTCTGGAGTGATGGAGCTCCATCCAATAGCTTTGGGATGAGTTGGAATGGAGTTTGTGATCTAGAACTGATCATCCAACATCAGTACCTGACCTTACTAATGCTCTTGTGGCTGAATGCACTAAAATCCTCACAGCAATGTTCCAACAACTAGTGTAGAGCCTTCCCAGAAGAGTAGAAGCTGTTACTGCAGCAAAGGGGGACAAATTCCCTATAATAACCTTGATTTCAGAAGAAACACTAGAGGAGCAGGAGTCTACAAACTTTTGGAGACCCAGCACTGCACAATATATCAAACGTTCAGTGCTTTCTTAGTACTACAACATGCTATACTAGTCTAAATAATGATGCCTTCAACTGTTTATTAAAACGCAATAGCAGTACTTTGACATATTCTGCTAATTCTGCTAAGGCAATCAAAATACATAAGCTAATTTGATATGGACGGGCAGATGTGTCCATTAAGAGTTTTACTGCATAATATAGTGCATAATTTGTGCTTCAAGAAACAATCCAAATAAGGGATAACCTATTTTCTATTTGTTTTAAATACAGTGTGATGTTAAGCTATTTTGTAGTTTAAACTGTCTTCTCATTGTTAATCTTGCGAACATGTTGAATGAGACTACAATTACATTATATAGTTGCTTATTTGATTTACTTAACATTGGACATAAGTGGTTAAAAAAGCTTTAAGAAACAGAATATTTGTCTCTGCTCTCTGCTTTTTTTGCCATAGTATTGTTTCGGTACGGAGCACTGCGAGCACTTGGTTTCAGTATCAAAGTCAAAATTTTGAAATTTAGTCCAGCAGTGAGTGGTGTACTGCTGTCCGTGCTCTAAAATACCTGAGTCATCTAGTAAAATCCCCCAAAATTAGCTAAAGAAAAGTAGAACCGAGAAGGCACTCAGTCGTGCAGAGCTGTGGGTGTCTTGGACTGCGGCTGGACCACCACTGCACAGAGTCGATCACGAGGTCAGTCACACTGCTCTGGCGTTTAGTGTACAAGGAAATTCCTCCCTGACTCATCAATTAAACATTTACAGGAAGATCTGCGCACTTGTTGAT